TGGCCATACAGTGATTGCTCTGAGTGCCAAGAGGGGCGACGGGGTGGATGCGCTGCTGGCATGGATGCTCGACAACATTCCCCAAGGCCCCGCTTACTACCCCAAGGTATCACTGCATGCTTGCGGACTAGCCTCATTGAGAAGTAGGCTTGGAGTGTTACTGGATGTAGCAATGAGGGGAGGGAGGGGTGGATGGGCTGCTGGCTACCTCTCAGGGAGGAGTGTTGTCGAGGGGATACTCGACAACATTCCCCTGAGGCCTACTTACTACTCCAAGGTGCCTGCCCGCTCTCTAGGTGAATGTTCGCTGAATATTCTCAAGGTGCCTGCTGAGAGAAGTAGGCTAGGAGTATAGGCTCAGGGAGGTGGTGGGATGGGCTGCTGGCGTGGATGCTGGACAAATAGCATTCCCCTGGGACCCGCTTACTACCCCAATGAGACCAGAGAACTGTCGTACTAGGTTTCTAGGTGATTTCGGTTTGGGAACTCACAAAGTGAGGGCAACATACGGTTTTAAGGCCTTCCCACACCGCATCCCACACACGCCACACGCCTCTCTCCCATCATGACGTGTTGAGCGAGCTGTCAGAGCGGTTCGTTGTGGCGCGGCAGAGTACCACCACAGTCACACCACTTGCCACACACCCAACCGCATCCCATGCCATGCCATGCCATGCCATGCGTACCCAACTCCCACCCCCATCAGGGCGTGGCGTGAGAGCTGTCAGAGCCGATCTCTGTGGCGCCTCGAAATACCACACCCATGCCACCCCATGCCACACCCATACCACCCCATGCCACACCCATACCACCCCATGCCACACCCATACCACCCCATGCCACACCCATACCACCCCATGCCACACCCATACCACCCCATGCCACACCCATACCACCCCATGCCACACCCATACCACCCCATGCCACACCCATACCACCCCATGCCACACCCATACCACCCCATGCCACACCCATACCACCCCATGCCACACCCATACCACCCCATGCCACACCCATACCACCCCATGCCACACCCATACCACCCCATGCCACACCCATACCACCCCATGCCACACCCATACCACCCCATGCCACACCCATACCACCCATGCCACACCCATACCACCCCATGCCACACCCATACCACCCCATGCCACACCCATACCACCCCATGCCACACCCATACCACCCCATGCCACACCCATACCACCCCATGCCACACCCATACCACCCCATGCCACACCCATACCACCCCATGCCACACCCATACCACCCCATGCCACACCCATACCACCCCATGCCACACCCATACCACCCCATGCCACACCCATACCACCCCATGCCACACCCATACCACCCCATGCCACACCCATACCACCCCATGCCACACCCATACCACCCCATGCCACACCCATACCACCCCATGCCACACCCATACCACCCCATGCCTTGCCGCACCTCATCCCACACCTTCCCATGCCATCCCACAGCCCCTCATCAGGACGTGGTGAGCGAGCTGCCAGAGCGGTTCTTTGTGGCGATTGAGACTACCCCACACACACGATTCCATGATATGCCTCTCGCCCCCCTCCTCCCCACCCCACTCCCACCTTACACCTCCCCCCCACATCAGGACGTTGTGAGCGAGCTGCCAGAGCGGTTCTTTGTGGCGATTGATACTACCCCACACACACGATTCCATGATATGCCTCTCGCCCCCCTCCTCCCCACCCCACTCCCACCTTACACCTCCCCCCCACATCAGGACGTGGTGAGCGAGCTGCCAGAGCGGTTCTTTGTGGCGATTGAGACTACCCCACACACACGATTCCATGATATGCCTCTCGCCCCCCTCCTCCCCACCCCACTCCCACCTTACACCTCCCCCCCACATCAGGACGTGGTGAGCGAGCTGCCAGAGCGGTTCTTCGTGGCTGAGATAGTGAGGGAGAAGATTCTGCTGCAGTACGCACAGGAGGTGCCGTATGCCTCGCAGGTATGTGTGTGTGCATATGAGCATGGGACAAGAGGTTCGAAGCATGGGGGATGAGGTTGAGGTCAATGGGGGTCAGGGGTTCTTTGCGGCGGAGATAGTGAGGGAGAAGATTCTGCTGCAGTACGCACAGGAGGTGCCGTATGCCAGCCAGGTGCGGCAAGAAGGGTGTGATGTGTGGGGATGGGGAGGATGGGACATGTGTGCATGCACGTGCATGGCGTATGGACTAGTAGTGAGGGAGAAGATTCTGCTGCAGTACGCACAGGAGGTGCCGTATGCCAGCCAGGTGCGATAAGTGGCGTGTGGAAGATGGTGCATCGGGCATGGTGGGAAAGGCATGGGGGTCAGGGCTGCTTGGTGCACGGGTAAGTACAGAGCATGGGGCATGACATGGTCCATGGAGCATGTGGTATTGGAGAGAGCGCGGCTTGGATACTTACTGGTCTGAAGAAGGCTGATACGCCGAAACCGGTTACCACGGAATTTCATTGCAAGAGCTTTTTTACACAAGCACACAAAACAACTTTCAAGGTGTCATTCCTAAGAGTTGGTGCCACGTATTGGCACCATGGCACCTAAAGGGTGCTCGATTGGTCCACGGAGCATGTGGAATGGGACAGAGCACGGCGTGGATACTTACTTTCTACCTTACATTGTTTTGGCATGGTTGACATTACATGACAATGATGACACGACGTGATACTTATGGCATTGCATGGCACTGATGGTATGGCACATGGAACGGCACTTATGGCATGGCATGGCACTGATGGTATGGCACATGGAACGGCACTTATGGCATGGCATGGCACTGATGGTATGGCACATGGAACGGCACTTATGGCATTGCATGGCACTGATGGTATGGCACATGGAACGGCACTTATGGCATGGCATGGCATGGCATGGCATGGGCATGGCAGGTGTTGGTGAGGGCGTTCAGAGAGAGGGAGAACGCAAAGGACTACATCAGCCTTGACATCATGGTGGAGCGGGACAGCCAGAAGGCGATTCTTCTCGGCAAGGTGAGGGATGGGTGGTTGGCTTGAAGAGCGAGGGGTCAGGGGTACGTGCGTGTGGGTGGAAGGGGAAGAGGGAGGGAGAGGGAGAAGGCGAAGGATTACATCAGTTTGGACATCATGGTTGAGCGGGACAGCCAGAAGGCCATTTCGCTGGGGAAGGTGAGGAGTTAGGTTGAGGGGTATGTACATATGAGTACGAGCATGAGGGTCAAAGGAAGAGGGAGAGGGAGAAGACGAAGGACCGGACCAGTCTGGACATCATGGTTGAACGGGACAGCCAGAAGGCCATTCTGCTGGGGAAGATGAGCTGTGAGGAGTATGTGAGTAGGAGCAAGTGAGTATGTGCATGTGGGTCAAAGTAAGAGGGAGAGGGAGAAGGCAAAGGACTACATCAGTCTTGACATCATGGTTGAACGCGACAGCCAGAAAGCCATCCTGTTGGGTTGAGGGATAGGGGATTGTGGGTCACAGAGAGAGGGAGGAAGCGAGGGCGCAAAGGACTACATCAGTCTTGACATCATGGTTGAACGCGACAGCCAGAAGGCGATTCTGCTGGGAAAGGTGAGGAATGAGAGGTGTGAGGGGTGAGGGGTGAGGGGTGAGTAGCAAGCACGAGCATGTGGGTCAAAGGAAGAGGGAGAGGGAGGGAGTGAGAGAGGGAGAAGGCAAAGGACTACATCAGCCTTGACATCATGGTTGAACGGGACAGCCAAAAAGCGATTCTGCTGGGGAAGGTGAGCCGAGAAGGGTGAGGGATAGGTAGAAGGCGATTCCGCTGGGAAAGGTGCAGAAGGAGTGAGGGAGCGAGGGAATGAGGGAATGAGGGAGTGAGGGAGTGAGGGAATGAGGGAGTGAGGGAGTGAGGAAGTTTGGGAAGTGAGGAAGAAGGAAAGAGGGACTACTGCAAGATGGCATTATTATGGCTGAGGGAGAGGGAACACCAGAAGCCCATTTGGCTAAGGGTTACCATTACAAGTTGTGAGGCGCCTCAAAACCCCTTGCACCTAGAGATTACCTAAATTTTGCCCTATCACATCCTTCCCTCACTTCCCCTCTTCTGCCACCATCCCTCCCTCCCCCATCTCTCCTTACCCTGTCCCTTCTTCCCCACCCCCTTCCTCCCTGTTCCACCATCTCTTTTGTGAATGCGAGCGCCGCAGGAGGGCAAGCAGCTCAAGGCGCTGGCAACGGCAGCTCGGATGGACATTGAGGAGTTTCTGGGGCGAGAGGTGTTCCTCGAGGTGAGAGGTGGTGCTTTGGCTGGGTGGAGATGGGCAGTGGGGATTGGCTGGAAGGGTATCTGCAACAAGCTTGCTTGGACATGCGAGGAGTTTCTGGTGCGAGAGGTGTTCCTGGAGGTGAGACCGTGAGGGGAGTTGCTTGAGGTGAGGGGTGCTCCATTTCCGCCAGTTGTTTCTCTGCTTCCTTCCACCTCTCTGCTCTGCACCCCTTGCGCAGATCCGAGTGAAGGTGAAGGAGAAGTGGAGGCAGGATGAGACACTGCTGAAAGAATTTGGGCTTGACGTGCGCAAGAGAGGCTCCTGGTACTGACTGCTGCTCTTTGGCTGAGGCGTGAAACAGCTGGTGAAACGTGGACACGTGGACACGTGGACGGTCTGACAGCTCGTGGCAGACACGTGGAGCAGCTGTGCTCGTATTGCATGGAGGCAGGACGAGACGCTGCTGAAGGAGTATGGACTGGATGTGCGCAAGAGTGGCTCCTGGTACTGACCGCTGCAGTCATATGCAACACCTGATATCTGTGAACACCTGATTGTTAGTTGGTGTTACTATGGTACTAGCTTTTGGACAGAACTTTGTTGGTTCATACATGAAAGGCTTTTCGATATGGGTTGGTAACATCCTATAAGGCTGGGAACTTCAGAGCAAGATACCGCAATTCAACGTCTCTTCTATGAATGAATGAATGAGATGAGATGAGACTAGGCTTACTCTAGTTTCTGCGGGTTTGCTGTGACCCGTCATTCGACAGAGACGTTCAGAGGATTCTCTTGGAGGCCCCAGTTGTCATTGCGTGCAGGCACTACTGCCTTCCCCCTGAGCGTTCTTTGTTTAACCATCTGGTCATCGTACAATCTGCCTGATTCTTCCTTGTCAACAACTGCTGCTGCTGCTTCCAAAGCGAATACTTGATCACTGTCCTCATATTGCTCTTCAATTCGTTTGTCATGGCCCAGACTGCCTGCTCCCCTCACGCCACTATCATCAACACCTCTTGCTGACAGCGTGGACGCCTGACCACCACCATCCTGCTGAAATTCATCAAAGTCCTCTCCCTCCCCTCCAGCACCAGTGCCAGTGCCACGAGCCAAAGCACCAGGCATAGCGTGAAAGTTCTGCTCCTGCTCTTCCCTGCTGTCATGCCGAAACCGGTAATCCTGCAGCAATGCAGCAGCTTCCTCCCTCCTGTCATCTTCCTCGTCCATCGTTCTGCCAATGCCACCCAGGCTGACGTCACCCGTGCTGACGCCACCCGTGTTTTCCATGCTGATGTCATCTGAGCTCCTGCTGACGTCCTCATAGTCCCAATCCCAAACCCCATCTTTTCCAGGCCTGAAACCTTTTCTTTTCCCGTAACTTATCCCAGTTTCTATTGCATCGAGTGCTACAATCGTTCTTGGAATCTCCATCCTCGTTATAATCTTCATCTTGATCCGCTTGTGCATCAGATGCTTGAATTGAAGTTTCTCTGCCATGCATTTTCTGTCCTTTCATGCTTCCTGGCCTGGCAGTAGGTGCTCTCCATTCTAGAAGCTCAGACAGATCCCCCGTCTCCTCTTCTTCGTCAGCCATTTCATCTGATGTTGCCATGTCATCCAATGTGGGGATTTCATCCAGCGTTTCCCCTGAAACATAACCTATTTCTCCAATAAATTCTTCACGAGGGAAAATATGCATACCACTCAAAGCATCCTCTTGATTCTTACCTCTTGCTGATTCAGAAACTGTGTCGTCGTCCAAGAAGCTGTCCTGGTAATCCGTCAACGCGGCGCTACGACGAGTTGACTTGTGAGTCGATTCAAAAGCCGTTTCGTCGTCGGCGAAACTGTCCCGGTAATGCGTCAACGCAGCGCTACGACGTCCATTCACGTCATACAGAAACTGTCCTGCCGTTCTCGACTCGAGACGACACTTTCTGCAGGACGAAGCGGAATAATCGTTTCCCAATCTATTTCTCCAGGAGTATCATCCGACTCATCCATGTCCTCGGTCTTCGTTAACGTCACGTCATCATCCGTTAGAGTAAGATCAACAAGCTCTAACGGATCCAACGGCTCAGAGTCCTTCAAGAGTTTCACTTCACCAGGAGTTTTACCGACAAGCGCTCTCCTACCGTGCCTCCAAGTCGTAGCTCCGACGCCCAGACTCTCCCATTCCTCTGGTTCATCCGTAAAATATTGAATCTTTGCGGAACCTCTACGGTGAACGAGGTGGAGATAGCGAGCAGTTGTCGCAGTGGCTAAGAGAGTCGTAATAAGCAGGGCGATACTGAGAGGACTGGCCATTTACAATGATTATAGAACAAGAACAGAGTAGCGGATTAAATACGACCATCTTGGCGCTTTCCCCGTCCGCCATAGCTGCCAGCAGGCGCGAAGCACAAATAGCCTTCGCAGGATTGGCATGGCGGCCCTCAAATGAGGTTTGCGAAAGAGCACAAATTTGGAGATTGAGGCTGGCGATTCGCGACGGTATCAGACTGGACGGACAAATCGCAGACGTCGTAGGAGGGGCATGGTTGGTGGCCGAAGACAGTCAGCGAAAAGAAATGTGGCGACAGTAACCAACCTTCGCATAAAGTTGCTGGTATAATTTCTGTTGTTTATTTAAGGTGCATTTGTAAGTGTGGGCATTCGAAGGCAGTTCACACATTACCTTATTCCTGATTATCAGACGTAGAGAACTATGATAGCATTGCTTCATGAGGAATCCTCCCTGCGTGCCATTGCCACAGGCATAAATGATGTTTTGCCGGAGAAATCTGTCAACCTAAATTGCATTGACCACTAGTTACCCTCACTTATTTCCGCCTCTCCTCACCTCTCTGTATTCGACCGAACAAACTCTTGACATTGGGACTACACCTCTCCCCTCCCAAACTCTACAAAAAACGGAACACGGGTAGGCCAACCCACAACCCGAACAACAAAAAAACCCAACACAACCCACGGAATGAGATACAGACAGAACAAGGAGAGAAAAAAAGACGAACACAAGGAACAGGGGCGGGAAAGAAAGGGAAGGGTACAGCATTACAGAAGCGCTGAGAGTGACAAGGATCGTGGACAGGATAACGGAGGGTGGGAGGAGTGACAGCGAGAGTGTGTGTGAGTGTGTGTGTATGTGTGTGTGTGAAAGAGAGAGAGAGAGAAGAGAGAGAGAGAGAGAGAGAGAGAGAGAGAGAGAGAGAGAGACAGAGAGAGGGGGGGGAAGGGAGGGAGGGAGGGAGGCGAGAGAGAGAGAGAGAGAAGAGATAGAGATAGAGATAGAGAGAGAGAAGAGAGAGAGAAGAGAGCTGGAAGAGATGGAGAGATAATAGAGAGAGAGAGAGATCGATCTGCTCGCTAGCTGCTACGATCTCGTCTCTCTCATCGCGATCTCTCGATCTCGCTACCCCCTAGGAGAGAGATAGAGATAGAGATCCCTCGAGAAGAGAGAGCCGGAGCCCTCGCAGGCAACCCCTGAAGCACTTAAGGAGATAGGAGATGGGGAAGGGGCCCAGTGGGGACGCGTGGCGAGAAGATGAGGCGTTGAGGACAAGGTGACACAAAGAAGGGGTTGAGAGGAGGGAAGGAAGAAACAGGAGTTCACAGTAGACGGGAGCAGGGTACAAGACGGGCGGACGAAAGGAGAACACAAAAAGAAAACGGGCGACACACAGGGCCCCCCTATAGCTACCCACATCCATTCGATGGTCATCCCCGCTCTCCACATTCACTGCCGACAGTGGAACCCTAGTCAGGATTCCGTCCCAAACACCAACCAAAACACCCTTCCACACAACCTTCTAAATACCATCCCGGCCAGTGAAGCCCTCTTTGGACTTCGAGCTCCCACCCAGTGTTCGCCATGCACGTCATAAAAGACGAATGCCAAGTAAAAACGAAAATACCTTCCCTGCTGATTACTGACTACGCGTCTGTATGGAACCACTCAGTACATCACCGAGAACCTCTCCGTACCTCCACGCCTACACGCCACCTATTCGTCCTTCGGCGAGCACTCGTCCCACTGTCCCCTCTACTGGTCGACCCAACTGCCTCCCCATCCCACTGCGTACACCTTCCTAGCGACCCTTCCAAGGCCAGCCTCCACCGCAAGACAGTCGGACACCCAACACTAACAACTGCACCTCTAAGACAACCTCTCGACTCTACTCTGTAGTGCTGTATTCAACCAGACACCTCCCTTCTTCATCCCAGCACCCGGCGTCCCTTCTACCTCCCCCTGCCCGTTCATCCCTCTGAATCCTACGTGAGAATGTGAGGAAGGACAACAAAGGTAACGTAAAAATGGAAGAGCCTACCTTGCGTCGAAGCTTGGATGTTTGGATGTTAAATGCTGGGACTGATAACAGACATCATGGCCGGAGCAGGCTCCGCTGCCATTGACACAGGTGCCATGGCAAAGGGAATCCGTATCTTGTATCAGGAAATATGTACCCATTATGGAGGAACTCGTAACAAGCAAAGCAACTGACCAGTAACCTACAGGAGACCAGCCGATCAGCAGCCTTGCAAGCCTAGTCCCTACTCCTGGATCCCTGACCGAGCCAAAACGAAACCCTAGCCGCTGCCTGCCGATATCAGCTGCCGATAGAAATCCGCCTGACGCCTAGCCGTCAACTTTACGCCGTCAATTGAACCGCTCCGCCGGCCTCCTTGATCCGCCGCTCCGCCAGCTTGCTGAACAGCTTCGCCTTCACGATCAACGGCTGCGGTGGCAGCTCGCCGGCGCCGAGCACCTTGAAGAACCCGAACTTGGTCACGTCGAGCACGGGAGCGGATCCGGCGCCGCTGGCCTTCTCCTTAACGTCGGCGGGAATGAGCGACCAGAGCTCGTTCAGGTTGATGTGTGGGCAGTGGAACTTGTTCATGGACTTGTGGAAGTAACGCATACCGACTTTACCGAAGTAACCCGGATGGTACTTGTCCATCATGATCCTGTGGTGGTGCATGCCTCCCGCGTTACCGCGACCGCCGGGATGCTTTCTGTGCTTGCCGATACGGCCATGGCCGGCGCTGACGTGGCCGCGCTTTTTGCGGTTCTTCCTCAGAGAAGTCGTCATGGTGAATCGAGGAAAAGAGGGAAGAGGAGAGGCGGGGCTTGCCCTGAAAACGTAACCACGAGAAGTGGGTGGGGAGGGGGGTAGGAGTGGGAGGAGCAGGAGGGGAGTTGCAAGGGCGGGAGAAGGGAGGGAGGGTCCCGTCGCTCGAGTCGAACAATGCAGCGCAGGGGGGGAGGCGCAAACGCCAACAGGGGAGGGGAGTGGAGTGGGGTCGGGGTGCGGGGAAGGGGGCTGGAGCTCCATTTTGGCTGGGAGCGAAATGGCTCTGCCAGGGGTGGTGCAAGGCGTAATGGGTTTGGTATGGCATAGGCCACAAAGCTTGGTGGTTAGCCACATGTGGTCGAGTCGCGAAGGCCTGGAGTGCAGTTACAGACTTATGATCAAGAATCAAGATGGCCGCTCGAGTATTTGTATTCATAAATAATTATTTATTCGTTCTAAATAACCATTTCCTGGTATGTTTCCTCTACCAGTAATGCATCTCTTCACAACTCTACTTGCATCATTGTCGGTGATATGTGAATCCAGACTTCTGTTCTGTATATTTCATCGAATGACAACCACCTTTGTTTTTAAAGCATCCAGAAAGCAGTCAGAGTGCATCCAGGAGGTGCACATGATTCTGCTTTCATAGGATGCCTTGCCACCATCATATAGAACGTTGGGATTGTTTTAATGTGACCAGAACATGAAATGACGATGTTTTCCCTATATCTACTCAGAGGCAGCCTCATCAGTGCCCTCCTCATCGGCATTCTTCTTCTCGTTTTGCACATAGATGAAGCTCTTAGAGCGGCCTGTAAGCACTGACTTGGCAAGGGACAAAGCCTTAAGAGCCTCGTCCCGAGCCTGAGCCTTCCATACAGCCCGGCGGACCTTGGTCTTTGTCCGTGAAGTTCTCTTCTTCGGCACTGCATAAGGTGGGGGATCAGCAAGGGTGTTGATGTTGAGAATTTTGACTTAAAAGACAGCCGCGAACGAACACATTTGAGCTCCAAACATCGCCTTCACTCAAGAGGTCTTCTCAGGCACCATCCAGGAAGGATGGGAGTAGCAAGCAAGGGTGCTGAGAAAATGAGTTCCTAGAAAGTGAACAGAAGCATGATGGATTCTAATCTAGCCACATGGTTTTCTCCACATTGAATGAAGGGCAAGCAAGGGTGTTGAGGACATGATGCCTAAGTAAGCTAAGCAAAAACACACTTGCTGGCACCCAAGTGCTTATGATTCGGGTTAACAAACGACTCTACGAAGAAGGTGCATCAACCAGACGTCACATAAGCCAATAAATTCCGTCCTACCGTCCTCAGGGGTCCGACATCACGTGATCACTGCCCGTTCAAAGGAACCAAACGAAGGCAATTTGGAAAATCGCCATTACGTCCAAACGAGCAGGACGACGAACACCACATGAAACAGTCAGGCGAATTCAGAACCCGATCAACTTGGTTACATCCCCCATAGACCGATCCAACCACTTCAACCGTCTAAGAACCTGATTATACCTCCAACAAATCATTTTAGACATGGATTAAGGACGCTTACAAGCGTCATTGGGCTAAACTTGTGCGAGTGAGATTGGTACCGGGAGGACTCGAGGGAACCTAAGAGTTGAAAAAAATGTCTGAAAACAGAGGCTTCTCGACAAGGACGTGACGACGACTAGGGGGTTAGGAGTTTTTCTAGGAATGGTCGAATGCCAGATACGGCCTGTGCATTTACGACCATACTCACAAATGTTAACATAGAAAAGGAGGGTGCTTCTTGTGAGGGCGAAAAATGTGGAGTTACGAGGGCGGCTCGCTGTCAACATTAGGGTAATCACGACTCTACCCACCTGCCATGACTACAACGCTGCTGTTTTGCTCGGTCTCCTGTGTGCAGCCGCCGAACAGAGCATCGCCACGCGCAAACTCGGAGCCGCAAGCGGACACGTGGACACTCTCACATCCGAACCCCCGCGCGCACGTCAGCTCAGTCGCAATGCTCCTAGCCCTAACGGTCGCCTTGCTGGAAATCTGCAGTGACGACAACGACGCAGAGGCAGCAGCAATGGAAGCCATGGCTGACCACACTAGCCTTGCAAAATTAGTAGGTCAAAGCCTCAGCGCTCACAGCAGCACAATACGGAGAAAAAGCTCCCCTGTAGTTCAGTCGATTCGAAAATCACAAGTTTCGAGACCTAACAGCCCAGGACAAAACAAGGCAGATATGTCCAGGGAAGAGACATATTGCGGAGTTCAAGGTTGCAAAGACGTGTATTCGTACGGTTTAATGCGGTGCCGTAGGGTTCACACGGGAAAACACAAGGGCGGGCGGGAGGGAGTGATGCTGGCGTGGCGAGCGGAAACGGATGATGGGTTGGACAGGTAAGATAATTTCGCAACATAGATTGGAGAAGGTTACCAACGAAATTCGTTACTTTGTAAGCATGGTCTAAGGATTTACAAATCCTTACTGAGGCGCTCGATAGCGAGGCCATCCCGAGGGCCACGCGACCAACTGGTTCGGCCTACAATTTCGCATCCCAACCTCACCGAGCCGCCTCCGCACCAATCGCGACACTTCGCGAGCCAACTCTACCACACCATCCCCGCCTAGCTAGGTTTTCCCCTATTTAGGCCTCGCTACTTCATTGTTCAGGCATTCGGTAGTTCAACATTCTCGTTATTCGATATCTGCGCACTCTGACAAGTTCATTCATAACACCTGGTATCAGAGCTACTTTCCTAGCCTACCCCGTTTTTTAGAGTGTATTACCCCTCGGGGGGGGGACGAGTAAGGATGCCTTGGGGTCCAGGAGTTGCGTAGGCCGGCCAAGAGAACTCGTTAGTTGCTCTTCGCGGCCATGGTTTTACGGGGCACTCCTTCGGCACCGCCAGATCCTTAGCTCGAACGGTCGCGATCGACCGTGGCCTCCCTCCCCCCGGGCAACGGACAGCTGGAGCTGTCGCGACTCTGAACGTGAGTTACTATTTCCGCTGCGGTTTTAACGACGATTTCGAAACTGTGAGGCAGCTGGCGTCAGCGGATCTGCGTCGGCACCTGCACGAAGATTTCGGAAGTCGTCACGATGTGTGGCAGTTGACGCCGTCGGACCCGAGTCAACAACTGCTGCGACAACTTCGGAGTCCGTCCCATGCGGCAAGTGACAACGGTGGCTCGTCGTCATCATGCGCGCGCGACTCACGGAGTGTGGCTCGGCAGCTGGCGACAAGGAACGTGCGTCACTGTGGCGAAAATTTCGGAGCTTCTGTTGAAGAAAACGTCGGCTGGGGAACTCGCCAGGCGCAAAAGGAGTTTGCGTCCGAAAATGTCGGTGGCGAGGAGAGACGACACAAGACTGCCCGACTTCGCGGGAGTTAACAGTCGTCCCGCCCGACCTGTTAAGTGCGGCAGCTTTTACTGCATTGGCGGGCGCGTCATCAACAAATTCGGCAGGAGTGCTCGTGGACAGACGGGACTTCATACCTGCTGACGCTTACGGGCTGCAACGGAAAACGCGATGGCTAAACCGCACTTACGAGGAGTGGGACGCAGGCGACGAGGGAAATCGGGGCAGGTACACCTCGAAAGAACTCGTGCGACGCTGCGTGCCTGGTGTTGTTGCAAGCTGGCCGGCAGTATCGAGAACAGTTTCCCCTGACCAAGGATGTTGTTTTCGGGGACAGCTGCTGACAACCCACGGTTAAACGGTGTCCAAGGTACCGCCCGATAATTTCGGAGGGGTCGGTACAGGCTGCCGGGACACGCGAGAAGAAACGGCCCAACGGCTAAGCGGGGGTTGAAGAACGTTGCGGGGGCAGATTAAAAGCCGGTGGAATCGCTCTGCGGCCCTACTTCGCCCGAACCTCACCATCCCCACCAAGTCCTGGTTCTGACTCATGCAGTCAACCTACTTGGCCGAATAACGGGGGTGAACACGTGGCCTACCTTGCGCTGGTTAAAGGTACCGGGTTTGGTGCCCGTTCGACAGCTGTACAAAAAAAATACAAAAAAAAAAAGTGGAGCTCGCGGCACTGTTCTACTCCGACAAAAGCGGGCTGGGTGAACGGCACGCGAAAAAGTCGGGGAGCTGCGAAGAAGAAATGGTGCAGTCTACAGGTTTCTCCTGACCCGGGCGTCTACACGAATCGACGGCGCGGCGGCGAAGCTGAGACCGGGAAGCTGTGGATTTTACGTGACGTGATAGGCACGGCGGGCTGCAAAACGGTTGGGCGACAGTTTCCTTTTAACTAAGGCTGCCCCGACTCCGATAGTTTTTGCCTCTCCACCGTGGCCGAGTTCGCGTGGGCAACAACGACGATACCCCATCCGACAAAAGCGGACGCTGGGTGAACGGCGGGAAGCGGAATTGTCGGGGGGTGAATACGAAAAAATTGATGACGGAAGGGAAAGTTGTGGGTGATCCAGCAGATCACTTGAGTGATAGGTTGAGCCCGTGCACCAATCTACCGCGAATTTCGGAGTCTATTCGGTAGACCCCCGAAAGGGTTTGATATCGTTACATGGAGGCGCGGCGAGCGGTACATTGCCAAGGATACCTGGGATTCGCTAAGTAGTCCGGCGGGTACGAAGATGGGTGAACATCGGAGTACCAGGGAAAAAACGGCGGAAACGTCGGGGCTATACGGCGGAGAATAACTTCGGGACTGCAGCCTCAACCACGATTTTCGGGGTTATCTTCCTACGAAAAAAAAAGGAGTTGAAGCTGAGGGTGTTTTCTTCGTTTCTTGGAGTGCGGTTGATACCTAGGACCCACGGGTGTTTAAACGTACACCGCGGGAAATTCTTCAGGGAGCGTGGGAGCAGCCGAGGCTTCGGGATTTACCTGCCGGTGACGCGCGATGAGGTGAAACATCGCAAAGCGCCAGTGGGAGTTTGCGTGGTTTTCAGTTAAGCGACATCGACGGGAGCAGTTTCGACGACGGGGTCAACGGCGTTGATGCCTCTAGGTTCCGTGAAATTCGGTCTCGGAAGACCCAGGGCAGTCCCCGGTTCTCGATTTAACCCACATGCTGGGGTCGGGTAACCGAAGGAAACTGATGGTGACCGGGTGGGCGGCTATAGCACGTCTGAGATTTTCGGAGGAGAACTGCACCTAGACCTGTGGATTTACGGGGCTACTTCTCGAGCGACGATTTCGGAGTTTGACGAAGGACTTCACGGTTTTACGGCGAAAGCGCGGCAATTTTGTGGCAGTACTTTCGAAGTTTGGTTACACGCGCGCGAAATTTACGCAGGGCAACGGCGCGGGAACTACACGGACTTTTCAAGGGGTACGAACGACTTACGACGAACTGGAGAAGGCGGCGGCAACAGTGACGGGGGGGGAGAGACAGCTGCAAATTTTCATCCCTGCCCACGAACTCTCGGCGGATTACGACAAAATTCTTGGAGAATCCATCCCAACTCTGCTTCCAACAACTCGCCATCGACCCGCCCACGACAAACATATTTAATTTCAGCCACGTCAGGTGCTGCCAGCTGCAACTGCTGCGGATGCTGCATGATTCTGGCGATGTGAAGACAAAAAGCTTCAGTTCGAGTACTCGGCAATTTCGGTTTCGGTTTCTGGTCTACTTTCGCTGGTTCGCCCTTGACGACTTTTGGGCACGTAATTCCTGGTTTCGACATCGACATTTCCACACCGACGCATTTTCACTTGGGTTCCTTCCATTGTTGAGATAGCTAGGCAAGGTGAGTTGACTATCGAGAGAAATTTTACAAGTAGGAAAACCCTAAGGGGTTATCCCCTATAACATCTACCCCACTACAGCCTACCAATATGTATCACATATATATATCATTTGACACACCCCCATAGGCAAAGTGGGGGAGAGCAATGGGTCACAAGACCAGTCAAGAGAAACAAAACAAGCTCAGGGTGGATCACAACGTCACCACACATTCTGAGCACAAGCAAATGGCCACAAGGCCAGTTCACATGCAGAGATATATATGCAGCAATGACAGTACAGTGTCGAGCTACCTAGCAAGAGCCAGCATGCAGGTATATAGGTATATAGATCACAGTACAAGCAAAGACTACAGCAAGTGTGGAAGCATAGGCACAAGGCCTAACAGAGTACAAAAGCGCTGATGATCACCAGACGGAAGTGCCTTGGTGAATATATCAGCAGTGTTGGCCCGAGTGGCCACGTAACGAAGACAAAGCTGGCCTCGCTGCTGCAACTCTCGAGCCAGGAAGTAACGCAGAGCAATGTGCTTCGTTCTGTGTTCCAGTCTGTGCTCCTCACACAAGGCAATGGCGGCCTTGTTGTCAACGTACAGCACTGGAGGAGAACGAGGCTGCTCTCCCAAGTCAGTCAGCAGGTAGGTGAGCCAGCGTAACTCCTGTGCAGCCATGGCGGTGGCGTAGATCTCAGCCTCACAACTGGAGCCAAGAACTGAAGACGAGCGTGTAGAACGCCACGAAACTGAACCAGAGCCAAGGCTGAAGGTGTAACCCTGTGACGACCGCTGAGTAGCCAGGTCGTCAACCCAAGAAGCGTCTGAGTGCCCAGTGAGGACAACTGGGCTCGTCCCTCCAAGCACTAGCCCCATGCCTGATGTGCTGCACAAGTAGCGCAGTACCCTCTTAGCAGCAGCCATGTGCTCAGGTCGGTGTCGACCAGGAGCCACGTAGCGAGCCAGGAGACCAAGAGGGTACGCGAGGTCAGGTCGAGTGCAAGTCATCAGGTACATGAGGCAGCCGACTAGCTCTGGGTAAGGACCACTCGGCTCTACGGACTCGTCCGAAGGTGGAGCTGAGAGCGTGTGACCTGTAGCCAGAGGAGTGGCCTGTGCTGAAGACCAGGTGAAGCCGAAGCGCTGAAGGACCTGCTGCACCATGTGTGACTGAGTCAAGGTGATGGTGCGGCGTGCTCTGTCCCGGGTGATCTGCAAGCCAAGGTAGCTGCGCAGCTCACCCAAGTCAGTGCACGTGTGTCTCTTCTGTAGCTCCGACTTCACGTGGGCGAGAGCCTCAGTGTCAGCAGTGGCAAAAACCAAGTCGTCGACGTACACGAGGATGTAGAACGGCGGCAGTGAAGTGTCTGTGCGCAGAAACAGCGACGGGTCAGCAGTAGAAGGCGCAAACCCAAGAGCCGCAAGTGTCGTCCTCAGTGTGTCGTGCCACTCACGTGGCGCCTGGCGGAGACCGTAGACCGGCCGTCGGAGGCTCCACTGGGTGCCAGGAGGGAACGACCCAGTGAAGCCCGGGGGGCGGCGCAGCCAGATCTCCTCGTGCAGGCTGCCCTGTAAGAAAGCAGTGCTGAAGTCAAGAGAGTGAAGCTCGTAGTCACGGTGAGCAGCAACGTGCAGCAGCACCCGAAGAGTGGTCATCTTCGGGGTGGGGGAGAAGGTCTGGAAGAAGTCAACTCCCTCTCGCTGACTGAAGCCTCGAGCCACGTAACGCGCCTTGAAGACAGGCGGAGAACCCGGCGGCCGCTTCACCCTGAAAATCCACATGCCACTGACGATGTTCGCCCCAGGTGGGGGAACCTCGTCGACATAGGTGCCTGTGGACTTCCAGGAAGCCATCTCTGCGTCCATGGCTGCCTGCCACTGAGAGGAGTAGGGACTCTCTATCGCCTCTGCGTAAGAGCGCGGAGTCGGGATGTCTGGTGCATCCGGGTCTCCCTCAGGGGCAAGTAGCGAGGACACAAGATGAGGTAAAGCAGCAGCAAGACACTGGAACTCCTCCTGCCTGTCCTCAAGGACGTCCGTGCTAAGAGCACACTCACCCCCGACGGACGGAGGACAGACAGACGCAGACGCAGCAACAAGACTGGCGGCGTAGTCTAGACGACAGGCATCAGCAAAGTCAACAAGCTCAGCGACAAGAGCAGACGCAGCAGTAGACTCAAACGACGGGTCAGTGACAACAGTGGCTAGCAGACGCGTGACAGTAGGGTGCTCAGCACGAAACCGGTCAGACTCAGGGTCTGGAACGTCAGGTAGAGAGGACGCAGGAGGAGACGGAAGAGGAACAGGCTGCAGAGCAGAGGAAGGACGACGAACTACGAGGTGTGTGCTGGGGACAGCCTGCTGACGCGAACGAGGAACACGACGACCGGGACGAGCAGGCGAGACAGGACGCGACACAGGCTCACGACGCTCAGCAGGACTACCAGTCTGCACAGTGTAAGGAGAAGGAGCAGGCAGCGGTGAGCCAGGCTGTAACGGAAGACCAGTAGACGACGGGAGAGTAAGAACCTGACGAAGAACAGAGTCAGACGGCGGCAGAGACGACGGAGACGGCGGAGCGAAGAACAGTCGTGTCGGCGCAGCTGCATCAGTACCGGCAGCTCCAGCAGCTCCAGTACCCCCAGCAGCTCCAGTGCCTCCAGCAGCTCCAGAACCTCCAGCAGCTCCAGAAGCTCCAGTCCCAGAGTCGTCACCTCCAGTCCCAGGGTCTCCAGCCCCTGTGTCTCCAGCAGTAGCACCCCCAGAACCAGCACCCCCAGTCCCAGGGTCTCCAGCCTCAGTGTCACCAGCAGCAGCACCCCCAGAGCCAGCACCTCCAGTCCCAGGGTCTCCAGCCTCAGTGTCTCCAGTACGAGTACCTCCAGAACCAGCGACTCCAGCACCTCCAGTAGACAAAGGTCCAGCACCACTCCTAGCTCCAGCAGCGCGACGCTGACGGTGACCGTACCAGTCCTGGAGCTGCTGTGGGGTGAGAGGCACACGTGGACGAAGGCGGCTACTCCAAGGAGACCGCGCAACAGCAGACTCAGAACCCTCAGCGCCAGCACCCCCAGCTGCTCCAGAACCTCCAGCGCCAGCACCCCCAGGCTCCTCACGCGCAGGCACAGCACCCTCAGACTCGACACCCCCAAGCTCAGCACCGCCAGGCTCCTCACGCACAGGCACGGCATCCCCAGACTCCGCACCCCCAGGCTCAGCACCCCCAGAGACAGCACCCCGAGCAGGACCACCTCCAGCAGGACCTGAGTCACCAGTGACCTCAACAGGCGCAGGTACCGGAGGGTCTACCTGAGAAACACCTGAAGGAGCAGGACCTGGCGCGGGGAGGGGGTCTACCTGGGGAGGACCTGGAGCGAGAAAGAGCGGCGGGGGGGGGCGAGAGACAGTGCGGTAGGGAAAGAGACGGTAGAAGGGAACAGACTCGTCAAAGGTGACGTCCTGAGACGCAAAGACACGGCGCGAGGTGGGGTCGTAAAACTGCCAGCCAGGCGCGTCAGGAGGAAAACCAAGGAAGACGCAGGGAATGGCACGAGCAGAGAGCTTGTCCGCGGTGAGATCGCGGACAAAGGCACGAGCACCCCAGACCCGGAAACGCGACGCATCGCCAACCTCCCCCGTCCACAGCAGTGTGGGCGAGGTCTCCGGCAAGGAGACACGGGGCCAGAGGTTGAGCTGATGCGCGGCGTACCGGACCGCGAACGGCCACAGAAAATGGGGAGCCGCCGCATGGATCATGGAGGTACGAGCGACCTCCATGACTAAGCCAATGCGGCGCTCAGCAACCCCATTCTGCTGCGGAGAGGCCGGAAGCGTGAACGACTGGGTGATGCCGTGCTCCGCACAGAAGGCTGCCAAGAGGTCAGAGGAGAACTCACCACCTCTGTCAGAGTGCAGACGCAGGACAGGAAAGTCCCGCTCGAACCGCTCGCGGAGCTGGAGACGCACAGCGCGGATCCAGGGGATCAAAACAGCAGGGACGTCTCCCTTGCTGCGCAAGGGGAAGACCGTGGTGTAACGCGTGAAGTCGTCGACAACCAGCAGAAAGTACCGCTCACGGCCCTGTCCCTGGACGCGGGCTGGGCCCCACACGTCCAGGTGAAGCGTCTGCAGGGGAGCCTCTGTGGGAGGAAACGAGGAGGAGTGAGGAGCGGCTAAGCGCTCAGGTCGAGGCAGTGGCGCACAGGCAGGGCAGGGCACGCGCTGCTGCGGGCTGCGCGCGGCAGCGGGCTGCGCGCGGCTGCGGGCTGTGCGTGGCAGCTGGCTGTGCGCGGCGACGGGCTGCGTGCGGCTGCGGGCTGCGCGCGGCGACGGGCTGCGTGCGGCTGCGGGCTGCGCGCGGCGACGGGCTGCGCGTGGCTGCGGGCTGCGCGTGGCTACTGGCTGCACGCGGCGGCGGGTCGCACGTGGCGGCGGGCTGCGCGCGGTGACGAGCTGCGCGCGACAGCAGCGAGCACGCGGGCGGCTAAGGCAGCGGGGCGCGCTAAAAAAAAAAAAAAAAAAAAAAAAAATGCACGCGCGCATGCAGCCGAGGCGCGCGCGGGCAGCAGGCAAGGTAGGTATAGCTGTAGGGAAAGTAACTCATGAGTAGGTGGGCCCCAATCTTAGGTCCTTAGGACCATTGCTCTAGATGCCATGTTGAGATAGCTAGGCAAGGTGAGTTGACTATCGAGAGAAATTTTACAAGTAGGAAAACCCTAAGGGGTTATCCCCTATAACATCTACCCCACTACAGCCTACCAATATGTATCACATATATATATCATTTGACATCCATCAACGGCTTCCTTCGTGGGACTTAACACCCGGTTTTGTTTGTTTTCATCTCGGCGCAGCTGCTGGAACTTTTATGGTGTGTTTTCTTGGAGTGGGGGAGAAAGTGCTTCGCACTGTTCTTTCCTTGGCGTTTTCTTGGTCCTTTTCTGACTTTGTCAGGTTGCGACAGCACGACGGACGACCGCGATCACACCGACACGATCTACGGTTCCTGCTCAATTGCGTTTGAATTCGCGTCAGCAGGTTCCCTCCCTTTTCGCATCTGCTTCGACCGTCGGATCTACAGCATATGCATCTACGGCTCACAATCCAACTTTCATTACAATTGAGGTCACTTCATCTTCGACCGTCTTATCGAAATCTGACAACATCAACGGCCGACATTCCAACCTTTTCAACAATATTGTCTGGGGCATTTCAGCCGTCGGATTCAGCTGAAGTGAAGATCAACGGCATCCTCGCTACTGGGTGACCCTTTTCAGTACAGGGCTGCCTTATTTAGGAGGTGGGAGAGTGTAAGGATTTACAAATCCTTACTGAGGCGCTCGATAGCGAGGCCATCCCGAGGGCCACGCGACCAACTGGTTCGGCCTACAATTTCGCATCCCAACCTCACCGAGCCGCCTCCGCACCAATCGCGACACTTCGCGAGCCAACTCTACCACACCATCCCCGCCTAGCTAGGTTTTCCCCTATTTAGGCCTCGCTACTTCATTGTTCAGGCATTCGGTAGTTCAACATTCTCGTTATTCGATATCTGCGCACTCTGACAAGTTCATTCATAACACATGGGCCTTCTTATGAACGTTACTTGGTTAATACAGTCAGAACTAAAAAAATGAAAATGTTTTAATTATATTAATTGTTTTCACATAGTGGTGTACTTACACATACTACCTCATTGCTTCCTCAAAGTATTGCTTGAACAATTTCACAAACCCGGCAATAAAGTCGTGTGAAAATAAAGGAGACACAAAGTTGATGTAGACGTGGAGCTTGCCATCCTGTAACAAGTGCACGGGACAAACCAAATCAAGGGATATCGAGCAAATCTGCATGAGTACAGCAAATAAGGTGTTTGCAAGTTCATCATGCATGGTACTTACACATATCGCATCCCCAACAGATATGCTTGGGCCGACGCCATGCGTTGCGAAGATCGGCCCCACAAACCCCTCCACCTGAGGCGCCAAACCTTCATCTCCTCCTCCACTAGCCCCGTCCACATGTCCCTCCTCATTGGCCGGCCAGTCCATGGGGAAGGGCGACTCGGTGATGGCAGACATGAAGGAGGTGCGCAGGGAGCACTCGGGGGAGAACGTCGGCGTTTTCATGGCCTGAGGGGATTTTGGGGTGGGTGGAGAGGGGAGAGGAAGGTGGTGAGGAAGAAAGTTGGCCCACCAGTCCATGGGGAAGGGCGACTCGGTGATGGCAGACATGAAGGAGGTGCGCAGGGAACACTCAGGGAAAAAGGTAGGAGTTTTCATGGCCTGCAGATGGGACGAAAAGAGGCAGTGGGGGGTCCATTGGAAAGGGCGAGGAGGGTGGCAGGAAAATATGTGGAGAAGAGGGTGCCTTTATGATCTGTAGTGAGGCTTGAGAAGTTTGAAAAGTAAGGTGGCATGATGGTATGGAGGAGCACACGTGATCCCCATTCCGCGACTCACAGCCAGCATTATGTATGGAGAGGTGCAGTGCAGTGACTTTTGAGTCGACTCAAAATTTTGAAAAGCAAGGTGGCATGATGGTATGGAGGAGCACACTTGAGCCCTATTCCGCGACTCACAGCCAGCATTATGTATGGAGAGGTGCAGTGCAGGCTCTGCCAGTAATGCCATACTTGTGTTATTCTTGATATTTATTAAAATTAAAACACGCATCTATCAGTATAAGAGTGTAGAACCGTGCTGATGTGGTGATAAGTGCAGAATCTTGCTGAGTGGCGATGTACCTGCACCGTTTCAGCTGAGGTGCCATACAGGAGAAGAGAAAATAGTTCTTACTGTAGAAAAGAGCAGCTCCAGAACGGGCATGTCAGTAAATTGTTTCTTCTGCCCGACCGCAGCTGCCAGGTCAGCATCTACAGCGCGAGCCACGTCCCAGAGCGGAAGCTCCTGATTGGCTGGCTGCTTGAGAGGCAATCCCGAGGTGAACACTCCCATAGCGTCGGGCGGCAGGGGCGGGTCGAGCAAAGGCCTGCAGTTCATGATGCTGGGAGGGGGAAGGGGAAGAATGGGTGAGCTGCAGGCCTTTGCTCATGGGTGAACACCCCATGGCGTCCAGTGGGAGAAGGAGAGGTGGGTCCAGCAATGGCCTGCAGATCATGATGCTGGGAGGGGGAAGGGGAAGAATGGGTGAGCTGCAGGCCTTTGCTCATGGGTGAACACCCCATGGCGTCCAGTGGGAGAAGGAGAGGTGGGTCCAGCAATGGCCTGCAGATCATGATGCTGGGAGGGGGAAGGGGAAGAATGGGTGAGCTGCAGGCCTTTGCTCATGGGTGAACACCCCATGGCGTCCAGTGGGAGAAGGAGAGGTGGGTCCAGCAATGGCCTGCAGATCATGATGCTGGGAGGGGGAAGGGGAAGAATGGGTGAGCTGCAGGCCTTTGCTCATGGGTGAACACCCCATGGCGTCCAGTGGGAGAAGGAGAGGTGGGTCCAGCAATGGCCTGCAGATCATGATGCTGGGAGGGGGAAGGGGAAGAATGGGTGAGCTGCAGGCCTTTGCTCATGGGTGAACACCCCATGGCGTCCAGTGGGAGAAGGAGAGGTGGGTCCAGCAATGGCCTGCAGATCATGATGCTGGGAGGGGGAAGGGGAAGAATGGGTGAGCTGCAGGCCTTTGCTCATGGGTGAACACCCCATGGCGTCCAGTGGGAGAAGGAGAGGTGGGTCCAGCAATGGCCTGCAGATCATGATGCTGGGAGGGGGAAGGGGAAGAATGGGTGAGCTGCAGGCCTTTGCTCATGGGTGAACACCCCATGGCGTCCAGTGGGAGAAGGAGAGGTGGGTCCAGCAATGGCCTGCAGTTCATGATGCTGGGAGGGGGAAGGGGAAGAATGGGTGAGCTGCAGGCCTTTGCTCATGGGTGAACACCCCATGGCGTCCAGTGGGAGAAGGAGAGGTGGGTCCAGCAATGGCCTGCAGATCATGATGCTGGGAGGGGGAAGGGGAAGAATGGGTGAGCTGCAGGCCTTTGCTCATGGGTGAACACCCCATGGCGTCCAGTGGGAGAAGGAGAGGTGGGTCCAGCAATGGCCTGCAGATCATGATGCTGGGAGGGGGAAGGGGAAGAATGGGTGAGCTGCAGGCCTTTGCTCATGGGTGAACACCCCATGGCGTCCAGTGGGAGAAGGAGAGGTGGGTCCAGCAATGGCCTGCAGATCATGATGCTGGGAGGGGGAAGGGGAAGAATGGGTGAGCTGCAGGCCTTTGCTCATGGGTGAACACCCCATGGCGTCCAGTGGGAGAAGGAGAGGTGGGTCCAGCAATGGCCTGCAGATCATGATGCTGGGAGGGGGAAGGGGAAGAATGGGTGAGCTGCAGGCCTTTGCTCATGGGTGAACACCCCATGGCGTCCAGTGGGAGAAGGAGAGGTGGGTCCAGCAATGGCCTGCAGTTCATGATGCTGGGAGGGGGAAGGGGAAGAATGGGTGAGCTGCAGGCCTTTGCTCATGGGTGAACACCCCATGGCGTCCAGTGGGAGAAGGAGAGGTGGGTCCAGCAATGGCCTGCAGATCATGATGCTGGGAGGGGGAAGGGGAAGAATGGGTGAGCTGCAGGCCTTTGCTCATGGGTGAACACCCCATGGCGTCCAGTGGGAGAAGGAGAGGTGGGTCCAGCAATGGCCTGCAGTTCATGATGCTGGGAGGGGGAAGGGGAAGAATGGGTGAGCTGCAGGCCTTTGCTCATGGGTGAACACCCCATGGCGTCCAGTGGGAGAAGGAGAGGTGGGTCCAGCAATGGCCTGCAGATCATGATGCTGGGAGGGGGAAGGGGAAGAATGGGTGAGCTGCAGGCCTTTGCTCATGGGTGAACACCCCATGGCGTCCAGTGGGAGAAGGAGAGGTGGGTCCAGCAATGGCCTGCAGATCATGATGCTGGGAGGGGGAAGGGGAAGAATGGGTGAGCTGCAGGCCTTTGCTCATGGGTGAACACCCCATGGCGTCCAGTGGGAGAAGGAGAGGTGGGTCCAGCAATGGCCTGCAAATCATGATGCTGGGAGGGGGAAGGGGAAGAATGGGTGAGCTGCAGGCCTTTGCTCATGGGTGAACACCCCATGGCGTCCAGTGGGAGAAGGAGAGGTGGGTCCAGCAATGGCCTGCAAATCATGATGCTGGGAGGGGGAAGGGGAAGAATGGGTGAGCTGCAGGCCTTTGCTCATGGGTGAACACCCCATGGCGTCCAGTGGGAGAAGGAGAGGTGGGTCCAGCAATGGCCTGCAGATCATGATGCTGGGAGGGGGAAGGGGAAGAATGGGTGAGCTGCAGGCCTTTGCTCATGGGTGAACACCCCATGGCGTCCAGTGGGAGAAGGAGAGGTGGGTCCAGCAATGGCCTGCAAATCATGATGCTGGGAGGGGGAAGGGGAAGAATGGGTGAGCTGCAGGCCTTTGCTCATGGGTGAACACCCCATGGCGTCCAGTGGGAGAAGGAGAGGTGGGTCCAGCAATGGCCTGCAAATCATGATGCTGGGAGGGGGAAGGGGAAGAATGGGTGAGCTGCAGGCCTTTGCTCATGGGTGAACACCCCATGGCGTCCAGTGGGAGAAGGAGAGGTGGGTCCAGCAATGGCCTGCAGATCATGATGCTGGGAGGGGGAAGGGGAAGAATGGGTGAGCTGCAGGCCTTTGCTCATGGGTGAACACCCCATGGCGTCCAGTGGGAGAAGGAGAGGTGGGTCCAGCAATGGCCTGCAAATCATGATGCTGGGAGGGGGAAGGGGAAGAATGGGTGAGCTGCAGGCCTTTGCTCATGGGTGAACACCCCATGGCGTCCAGTGGGAGAAGGAGAGGTGGGTCCAGCAATGGCCTGCAAATCATGATGCTGGGAGGGGGAAGGGGAAGAATGGGTGAGCTGCAGGCCTTTGCTCATGGGTGAACACCCCATGGCGTCCAGTGGGAGAAGGAGAGGTGGGTCCAGCAATGGCCTGCAGATCATGATGCTGGGAGGGGGAAGGGGAAGAATGGGTGAGCTGCAGGCCTTTGCTCATGGGTGAACACCCCATGGCGTCCAGTGGGAGAAGGAGAGGTGGGTCCAGCAATGGCCTGCAGATCATGATGCTGGGAGGGGGAAGGGGAAGAATGGGTGAGCTGCAGGCCTTTGCTCATGGGTGAACACCCCATGGCGTCCAGTGGGAGAAGGAGAGGTGGGTCCAGCAATGGCCTGCAAATCATGATGCTGGGAGGGGGAAGGGGAAGAATGGGTGAGCTGCAGGCCTTTGCTCATGGGTGAACACCCCATGGCGTCCAGTGGGAGAAGGAGAGGTGGGTCCAGCAATGGCCTGCAGATCATGATGCTGGGAGGGGGAAGGGGAAGAATGGGTGAGCTGCAGGCCTTTGCTCATGGGTGAACACCCCATGGCGTCCAGTGGGAGAAGGAGAGGTGGGTCCAGCAATGGCCTGCAAATCATGATGCTGGGAGGGGGAAGGGGAAGAATGGGTGAGCTGCAGGCCTTTGCTCATGGGTGAACACCCCATGGCGTCCAGTGGGAGAAGGAGAGGTGGGTCCAGCAATGGCCTGCAGATCATGATGCTGGGAGGGGGAAGGGGAAGAATGGGTGAGCTGCAGGCCTTTGCTCATGGGTGAACACCCCATGGCGTCCAGTGGGAGAAGGAGAGGTGGGTCCAGCAATGGCCTGCAGATCATGATGCTGGGAGGGGGAAGGGGAAGAATGGGTGAGCTGCAGGCCTTTGCTCATGGGTGAACACCCCATGGCGTCCAGTGGGAGAAGGAGAGGTGGGTCCAGCAATGGCCTGCAGATCATGATGCTGGGAGGGGGAAGGGGAAGAATGGGTGAGCTGCAGGCCTTTGCTCATGGGTGAACACCCCATGGCGTCCAGTGGGAGAAGGAGAGGTGGGTCCAGCAATGGCCTGCAAATCATGATGCTGGGAGGGGGAAGGGGAAGAATGGGTGAGCTGCAGGCCTTTGCTCATGGGTGAACACCCCATGGCGTCCAGTGGGAGAAGGAGAGGTGGGTCCAGCAATGGCCTGCAAATCATGATGCTGGGAGGGGGAAGGGGAAGAATGGGTGAGCTGCAGGCCTTTGCTCATGGGTGAACACCCCATGGCGTCCAGTGGGAGAAGGAGAGGTGGGTCCAGCAATGGCCTGCAGATCATGATGCTGGGAGGGGGAAGGGGAAGAATGGGTGAGCTGCAGGCCTTTGCTCATGGGTGAACACCCCATGGCGTCCAGTGGGAGAAGGAGAGGTGGGTCCAGCAATGGCCTGCAGTTCATGATGCTGGGAGGGGGAAGGGGAAGAATGGGTGAGCTGCAGGCCTTTGCTCATGGGTGAACACCCCATGGCGTCCAGTGGGAGAAGGAGAGGTGGGTCCAGCAATGGCCTGCAAATCATGATGCTGGGAGGGGGAAGGGGAAGAATGGGTGAGCTGCAGGCCTTTGCTCATGGGTGAACACCCCATGGCGTCCAGTGGGAGAAGGAGAGGTGGGTCCAGCAATGGCCTGCAGATCATGATGCTGGGAGGGGGAAGGGGAAGAATGGGTGAGCTGCAGGCCTTTGCTCATGGGTGAACACCCCATGGCGTCCAGTGGGAGAAGGAGAGGTGGGTCCAGCAATGGCCTGCAGATCATGATGCTGGGAGGGGGAAGGGGAAGAATGGGTGAGCTGCAGGCCTTTGCTCATGGGTGAACACCCCATGGCGTCCAGTGGGAGAAGGAGAGGTGGGTCCAGCAATGGCCTGCAGATCATGATGCTGGGAGGGGGAAGGGGAAGAATGGGTGAGCTGCAGGCCTTTGCTCATGGGTGAACACCCCATGGCGTCCAGTGGGAGAAGGAGAGGTGGGTCCAGCAATGGCCTGCAAATCATGATGCTGGGAGGGGGAAGGGGAAGAATGGGTGAGCTGCAGGCCTTTGCTCATGGGTGAACACCCCATGGCGTCCAGTGGGAGAAGGAGAGGTGGGTCCAGCAATGGCCTGCAGATCATGATGCTGGGAGGGGGAAGGGGAAGAATGGGTGAGCTGCAGGCCTTTGCTCATGGGTGAACACCCCATGGCGTCCAGTGGGAGAAGGAGAGGTGGGTCCAGCAATGGCCTGCAGATCATGATGCTGGGAGGGGGAAGGGGAAGAATGGGTGAGCTGCAGGCCTTTGCTCATGGGTGAACACCCCATGGCGTCCAGTGGGAGAAGGAGAGGTGGGTCCAGCAATGGCCTGCAGATCATGATGCTGGGAGGGGGAAGGGGAAGAATGGGTGAGCTGCAGGCCTTTGCTCATGGGTGAACACCCCATGGCGTCCAGTGGGAGAAGGAGAGGTGGGTCCAGCAATGGCCTGCAGATCATGATGCTGGGAGGGGGAAGGGGAAGAATGGGTGAGCTGCAGGCCTTTGCTCATGGGTGAACACCCCATGGCGTCCAGTGGGAGAAGGAGAGGTGGGTCCAGCAATGGCCTGCAGATCATGATGCTGGGAGGGGGAAGGGGAAGAATGGGTGAGCTGCAGGCCTTTGCTCATGGGTGAACACCCCATGGCGTCCAGTGGGAGAAGGAGAGGTGGGTCCAGCAATGGCCTGCAAATCATGATGCTGGGAGGGGGAAGGGGAAGAATGGGTGAGCTGCAGGCCTTTGCTCATGGGTGAACACCCCATGGCGTCCAGTGGGAGAAGGAGAGGTGGGTCCAGCAATGGCCTGCAGATCATGATGCTGGGAGGGGGAAGGGGAAGAATGGGTGAGCTGCAGGCCTTTGCTCATGGGTGAACACCCCATGGCGTCCAGTGGGAGAAGGAGAGGTGGGTCCAGCAATGGCCTGCAGATCATGATGCTGGGAGGGGGAAGGGGAAGAATGGGTGAGCTGCAGGCCTTTGCTCATGGGTGAACACCCCATGGCGTCCAGTGGGAGAAGGAGAGGTGGGTCCAGCAATGGCCTGCAGATCATGATGCTGGGAGGGGGAAGGGGAAGAATGGGTGAGCTGCAGGCCTTTGCTCATGGGTGAACACCCCATGGCGTCCAGTGGGAGAAGGAGAGGTGGGTCCAGCAATGGCCTGCAGATCATGATGCTGGGAGGGGGAAGGGGAAGAATGGGTGAGCTGCAGGCCTTTGCTCATGGGTGAACACCCCATGGCGTCCAGTGGGAGAAGGAGAGGTGGGTCCAGCAATGGCCTGCAGATCATGATGCTGGGAGGGGGAAGGGGAAGAATGGGTGAGCTGCAGGCCTTTGCTCATGGGTGAACACCCCATGGCGTCCAGTGGGAGAAGGAGAGGTGGGTCCAGCAATGGCCTGCAGATCATGATGCTGGGAGGGGGAAGGGGAAGAATGGGTGAGCTGCAGGCCTTTGCTCATGGGTGAACACCCCATGGCGTCCAGTGGGAGAAGGAGAGGTGGGTCCAGCAATGGCCTGCAGATCATGATGCTGGGAGGGGGAAGGGGAAGAATGGGTGAGCTGCAGGCCTTTGCTCATGGGTGAACACCCCATGGCGTCCAGTGGGAGAAGGAGAGGTGGGTCCAGCAATGGCCTGCAGATCATGATGCTGGGAGGGGGAAGGGGAAGAATGGGTGAGCTGCAGGCCTTTGCTCATGGGTGAACACCCCATGGCGTCCAGTGGGAGAAGGAGAGGTGGGTCCAGCAATGGCCTGCAAATCATGATGCTGGGAGGGGGAAGGGGAAGAATGGGTGAGCTGCAGGCCTTTGCTCATGGGTGAACACCCCATGGCGTCCAGTGGGAGAAGGAGAGGTGGGTCCAGCAATGGCCTGCAGATCATGATGCTGGGAGGGGGAAGGGGAAGAATGGGTGAGCTGCAGGCCTTTGCTCATGGGTGAACACCCCATGGCGTCCAGTGGGAGAAGGAGAGGTGGGTCCAGCAATGGCCTGCAGATCATGATGCTGGGAGGGGGAAGGGGAAGAATGGGTGAGCTGCAGGCCTTTGCTCATGGGTGAACACCCCATGGCGTCCAGTGGGAGAAGGAGAGGTGGGTCCAGCAATGGCCTGCAAATCATGATGCTGGGAGGGGGAAGGGGAAGAATGGGTGAGCTGCAGGCCTTTGCTCATGGGTGAACACCCCATGGCGTCCAGTGGGAGAAGGAGAGGTGGGTCCAGCAATGGCCTGCAGATCATGATGCTGGGAGGGGGAAGGGGAAGAATGGGTGAGCTGCAGGCCTTTGCTCATGGGTGAACACCCCATGGCGTCCAGTGGGAGAAGGAGAGGTGGGTCCAGCAATGGCCTGCAAATCATGATGCTGGGAGGGGGAAGGGGAAGAATGGGTGAGCTGCAGGCCTTTGCTCATGGGTGAACACCCCATGGCGTCCAGTGGGAGAAGGAGAGGTGGGTCCAGCAATGGCCTGCAGATCATGATGCTGGGAGGGGGAAGGGGAAGAATGGGTGAGCTGCAGGCCTTTGCTCATGGGTGAACACCCCATGGCGTCCAGTGGGAGAAGGAGAGGTGGGTCCAGCAATGGCCTGCAAATCATGATGCTGGGAGGGGGAAGGGGAAGAATGGGTGAGCTGCAGGCCTTTGCTCATGGGTGAACACCCCATGGCGTCCAGTGGGAGAAGGAGAGGTGGGTCCAGCAATGGCCTGCAAATCATGATGCTGGGAGGGGGAAGGGGAAGAATGGGTGAGCTGCAGGCCTTTGCTCATGGGTGAACACCCCATGGCGTCCAGTGGGAGAAGGAGAGGTGGGTCCAGCAATGGCCTGCAAATCATGATGCTGGGAGGGGGAAGGGGAAGAATGGGTGAGCTGCAGGCCTTTGCTCATGGGTGAACACCCCATGGCGTCCAGTGGGAGAAGGAGAGGTGGGTCCAGCAATGGCCTGCAGATCATGATGCTGGGAGGGGGAAGGGGAAGAATGGGTGAGCTGCAGGCCTTTGCTCATGGGTGAACACCCCATGGCGTCCAGTGGGAGAAGGAGAGGTGGGTCCAGCAATGGCCTGCAAATCATGATGCTGGGAGGGGGAAGGGGAAGAATGGGTGAGCTGCAGGCCTTTGCTCATGGGTGAACACCCCATGGCGTCCAGTGGGAGAAGGAGAGGTGGGTCCAGCAATGGCCTGCAGATCATGATGCTGGGAGGGGGAAGGGGAAGAATGGGTGAGCTGCAGGCCTTTGCTCATGGGTGAACACCCCATGGCGTCCAGTGGGAGAAGGAGAGGTGGGTCCAGCAATGGCCTGCAAATCATGATGCTGGGAGGGGGAAGGGGAAGAATGGGTGAGCTGCAGGCCTTTGCTCATGGGTGAACACCCCATGGCGTCCAGTGGGAGAAGGAGAGGTGGGTCCAGCAATGGCCTGCAGATCATGATGCTGGGAGGGGGAAGGGGAAGAATGGGTGAGCTGCAGGCCTTTGCTCATGGGTGAACACCCCATGGCGTCCAGTGGGAGAAGGAGAGGTGGGTCCAGCAATGGCCTGCAGATCATGATGCTGGGAGGGGGAAGGGGAAGAATGGGTGAGCTGCAGGCCTTTGCTCATGGGTGAACACCCCATGGCGTCCAGTGGGAGAAGGAGAGGTGGGTCCAGCAATGGCCTGCAGATCATGATGCTGGGAGGGGGAAGGGGAAGAATGGGTGAGCTGCAGGCCTTTGCTCATGGGTGAACACCCCATGGCGTCCAGTGGGAGAAGGAGAGGTGGGTCCAGCAATGGCCTGCAAATCATGATAGCGCACAGAGGGGCAGCAGGAGAGAGGAAAACGAGGATTGCGGAATTGAAAAGAACTTACATCAACTCCTGCAGTTCATGACTCTGGAGAGAGATGGACGGCGAAGTGGAGGGAACAGGGAAGAACGGAGGAAGGGAAAAAGCAAGCCGTTGTAGAATGGAAGAATGGAAGAATGCACACACCTGGTGACATTGAACGTCTCAGTGCGGCTGCCCAGCTGCTTGGCATCTGCCACGGCCTGAGATGGAACTGTGCTCACCTGGTGACACGCCCATACCAAGTGACCACCCCCCCCCCCCCCCCCCCACACACACACACCTGGTGACGTTGAACGTCTCTGTGCGGCTGCCCAGCTGCTTGGCATCTGCCACGGCCTTCAGTGCTGCCGCACACTCAAGGCTGAAGAGCGAGCAGGAGCGAGAGGCCAGGGCAGCGAGGAGTCTCTCGGTTTCTGTTGGGTGGAGGAGGGAAGGAAACAAAAGGGACAGGGATGGGCCTTGAGTGCCGCTGCACACTCCAGGCTGAAGAGCGAGCAGGAGTGCGAGGCGAGGCTGGTGAGGAGGCTTTCAGTCTCTGGTGGGTGGACGGAAACAGGGACGAACGGAGAGGAAGGCAAAGGTAAGGTGGGCAAGAGGGAACAAAAGCAGCTGCTACGGCTTTCAGTGCCGTAGGCTGAAGCGCGAGCAGGTGTGGGAGGCGAGGCTGGTGAGGAGGCTTTCAGTCCCTGGCGGCGAGAACTGACCTTGCTTGTCGAAGCACAAGCAGGAAAAGGAGTCGTCGAACTGGCAACAGAAGGGAGACGTAGTACGGGGGTTTGTGCATTGAGTGCCACAGCACACTTGGGGCTGGAGAGAGGGCAGGAGCGAGAGGCAAGGGCGGAGAGAACTGAAAATGCTTATTGAACCGCAGACAGGAAAAGGAGGAACGAAAGTCGTTCGTTCTGAAGTCAGCCCGGCCAGGCTGGAAGGGCGCGTGGGAGGAGGCCATGGCGTTGCGCACATAGCCCAGTGCGTCGTAGGCCTGAGAGAGGCTCTTGGTGGGCTGGAGAGAACTGACCTTGCTTGTCGAAGCGCAGGCACGAGAACGTTGAGCGGAACTGGTTCGTTCTGAAGTCAGCCCGACCAGGCTGGAAGGGCGCTTGCGAGGAGGCCATGGCGTTGCGCACATAGCCCAGCGCGTCGTAGGCCTGAGAGAGGCTCTTGCTGAGGTAGGAACGGGTTTCGGGAGGCTTGGGAGTGAGCGAGGAGAGGGGAGGCGGGAGAGAAACGGTTTCCAAGTCCCTGCAAGGGGAGGAGGAGCGGCATGGGGGAGAGGAATGAGTTAATTTCTGAAACAGTGGCAATGGTAGGCAATAATTGTGCATGCTCGCACCGTGAAGGCTGAAGAAGATGGGTGTGTGACGCACCTTGATGGCTCGGCATTGGCAACAGCTGTTTGTTCGTCGGCAGGTAGCGAGTGGTGCAAGGAGGGGGCATATTTTGAGACGTCACGGGACGAAATTCGAATGGCGTGTATGGTGGAGCCATTGCCAGCTGGCACACGGCACGGATGGAAAGTCATGACTGGGCGGTCCATTGTGCGAAACCCGGGGATGGCCGGGTGTGTGACGTACTTTGGGGAGTCAGCGGTGACGGCTGGTTGGGAGCGGTGCAAGGCGGAGACCAACGCCATTGCCAGCTGGCGCACAGCTGGACGGTCCAGCACGGCTCGATGGCAGCGCAGGGTCAGACACGTGGCGCGTGGGAGATGGTACACGTGGATCTGTGGGATTGGGGGAGACGGTAAGAATGGGGGGGGGGGTGGGGGGGTGGGGGGGGGGGGGGGGGGGGGGTACACGTGGATCTGACCGTTAAGTACAGGGAACGAGATGGGTAAGAGGGATAGAGGGAGCGAGGGAGGGAAGGTTGAAGCTGGAGCAATCAGAGATGGGGAGTGTAACATGACACTTGGCTTGCTGCCATTAACAGCTCAAGCGAAGGACAGGAAAGGAGGGAGCAGAAAGGAGAGAAGCATTGCGGGGAGAAGGAGGGTGGGCAGGAAAATGCTTTCGATAATCAGTGCCACCCAGTGCCACCCAGTGCCACCCAGTGCCACCCAGTGCCACTCAGACCCTCGTTACCTGCAAGGCGTCAGCTGGTGCTTCGCCATGCGCTGCTATGATTGGCTGGTTCAACTCCATCTCCACTATCCTGTGCAGATCCTCCGCTTTCTCCGCGCCCTTGAATTTACCAATCACCTCGATTCCTCCACTGCCTTCTGTTGCACTAGCTTCTAGAAATTCACCGCCCCCATTATCACCATCACCATCACCATCACCATCATCACCATCACCACCGTCACCGTCACCATCCCCATCCTCTGCATCCTCGAAAGCATCCTCCTCTTCCTCTCCCCTCTCGTCCGCCACGTTTGCTGCAGAGAACTTCTCAGTAACGGATTCCGTTGCTGACGTGGAACCGTCTCCTTTACCGCTATCCGCTGGTGCTCTCGCATCCGCATGCACGTCACTCCCTTGGTCTTTCTTTGCCACGTCAGACTCCTCCTTGAGTTCGAGACTGCTAGGGTCATTGTCCAATGGCGCAGCAGCCTCCCAAGCTGCCACGTCATCAATGCTCCGGGAAGCTACAGTGATTGGTTTCGGGTCACGGCACAAGTGTAGTTCTAGCGGACCGCCGGTTTTACCCTGACCGACAACTCGGGCAAGCAGAAGCGGAAATTTCGATCCCAGCTCCTTCGCTGCTTGCTCGACCTTTTCAAGCGAAAGCTGCCCGGAAAACTGTAGACCGACGACGCCGAGACCGGTTCCCATCTCCATCGCGCGACACCAAAGCTCTTCGTCCGTTGAGAGCGCGCGACATGCGACGGGTCCCTGCGACTCGCATGTCGCAGAGACGCAGGCCGCGACCTTCGTCACGCTGCTGCTCCAGAACATGATCATAGATTACTTTGACCCAAATTTAAAGATTGGAACCACGTAATATAGTCAGACGGTCTAACAGGGAAATTCCTGAATCGCTCAACGGAAACGGGGGTGACGCTCCCGTTTTGCCTGGGGCGACGCAAGGGGGTGACGGTCGACCGAGCGTCAGGGCGGCCAACTCCCTCGCGTGACTCCCCCGCCAGGCTGGCGCGGGGCGGGACTGGCCCCGAAGACCCCCGCCCCGGCCCCCCACCCCGAATTGCTACAGAACCCCACGTTACCCCCTCGGTTTGGCGAACTGGCGAGCGAGCGGGAACGGGCCTAGTAACCCCTTCACGGAGGCGGACGTTCGCTTCGCGCTGCCCGCGAGGCCCTAGTAACCCTCTTTGGCTGCCCTCGCCGGGCAGGCGGGTCGGATGCGAAAACCGGGGGTCCCCAACCCACCCTCGTCAACATCGCTGGCCCCTCGGGATAGGACACGTGGCTCGCTGTCGCCACTGTCGGAGTGAAAGGCCCCGCCCTCGCTTGGGCGTAGGCATTCTCTGCGACGACGTGGTGAATTCGACGAAGTGATCGTCGCATTGGAGCAGCCCGTCCTCTGAAACCGCGGGTGGTTTTCGAGGAAGGTTGTCCTCTGATTCACCAGCCCGTCAACGAGCTCTGGTCGACGGGGTGCTGTTCGACGAGCTCGTCTTCTGATCTGCTTCTGGGTCGCGCGATCTCTGACGGACGGGGTGCTGTCCGAGGAGCCGCGTTCTCTGATCGAAGGGCGCTGTTCGGCGAGCGTCAGCTCGGCGAACTGGTCGGCCGAATTCGCACGACTACGAAACTCTGTAAGGGCATGCAAAATTCGCACAGGTGGTCTGTAGCGAAATTCGACCTCCGAAATGGCATCACGTGCTCGACGGCGGACATCTGGGGAAACCGTCGGAGCGTTTTCTACCTGGCACCTGCGCAATGTCTCTGACGGTGTAACCGTCTACCTGCACCTACTCGGCAGGTGCACACCTGCGCAGATATTCACCTGCGAATGCAGCGCTGGCAGGCCGCCCTGCTGCAGCGCTGGCATGTCGCCCTTCTGCTACGCTGGCAGACCGCTCTGTTTCAGCGTTGGCGAACCGCTCTGATGCAGTGCTGGCAATTCGCCTTGCAGAATGGTTGCTAGGGGTTGCAATGCCATTCCAGAGATATCACTTTGCATGCTCATTCTTGTACTCTAATTCTCAATTTTCAATGTACTTTCAATTTCCTTAGTGGAAACTCTTGCCAAATCTCTCTGTGAACAGAGCAAGTAGTAAGATCTCTGTTAGAACGCTGCTAGAGCGCTACGATCACCCACACAACTCCGTGCTCTCCTTCGTAGTTCACACCCGTTGTAGGGTGACTCTCCGCAGCCACCCCGACCACCCACGCACGGACCGCATCAAACCCCCCCGAACCCCCTCCTCGAGGGCAGGCCCGGTTCGGGCCGAAGCCGGAGGCTCGCCCTCGGCCTCGGCCTGCTTCGCTCCAGAGCGGCCGTGTGCTGCCGTGGGCGACCGGCGGCCCACGGCCATTTCTTGAAGGGGGTCGGGCTCCGTCCTTCATTTCTCCGTTCCAAGTTCGCTTTCCTCAATCTCTCTTCTTGGCTCGCACCTCCCTCGTCCTAGGTTCTCTCTCTCCCCCCCATCGTGGTAGCGTAGCGTTCCGAGACCGTGGTGGTGTTAGCATGGCGACCGGTAGGATTGAACTGACTCCGGCGGACTTCCCCCTCGATGTGCCTGTGGGGTGCGAGGGGTACAAAGTGACGTTTGAGATGAAGGACTACGACGTCCTCCGCAATGAGAGGCTCGAGTTCACGGAGCGTTGCTTCGACTTCGCCCTCGCGTGAGCGCTCATCCCTCGTGCTTTGCTCCCTATTTCCCTAGCTGTAAAGGGTTGTTGCGCGCCTAGGTCGACGTCGTATACCGGTCGGCGTCCACCTCGTCGGCCCCAGCGTGGTCGACGTGGTCAGTCGATGATGGTTGCCGTAGCGCTAGGTCGTCGTTAAAACTCGTGGTCCACGCCGTCGTCCACCTAGCGCGTAGATGGACCCTACGTCGGCGCCGGCGCTCGGGGTGCCGGCGACGTCGCCCTCGTGCGTTCCGTTCGTCCGTGTCGGCTTGTTTCGCTGTCGTCTTGTTGGCCTAGAGGATAGCTCATCGCGCAGGCGGTTACCTCCTGCCCTTTTGCCCCTGCTTGTCCCAGGACCGAGCTCAATCGCCTCGGTAAAGGCGACAAGGTGGCGCTGTTTAACGCCGAACGGCTTCGCGCCTCCAGGACGGCGACGAAGCCGGACTATTCGCCTTACTTCACGGCCTTCGACTTCGAAATCGTGGCCGTCCCCTTGTTGACCGCGTGAGTGTTCCACGCCCGTCAGGCTTGATCGTCGCCGACCGCGCTGCTTGTTGTTCCCGGACACAGCACTTTATGTCGTCGTCCTGCATATTGTTTGTGCAGGGACGGACCCCTTCCCGGCAGGCACTGCAGCGTCCTGCTTCTTGTGCGCCCTGGCGACCTGCTTTTGCCCGACGAGGAGGAGCCCGGGACCTTCTGCCGCCACCTCGACCCCAAGACTTCCTCCAAGCTGCACGAGAAGGAGGCGGCCAGCTTTTTGAGGTGGGACAACGTCGCCGGCTAGTCGCGCTCTTCTCTATCGGCGATTGTGCCGCCATGTCTGATGGCTCTTGTCCGTCTCGTGCGTGCGCAGCTTTTTCGGCGAAGCCGCGAAGGCGCAGTTGAACAATCCGGGAAGGGTGTGGAAGGACAAGGCTCCATCCGCCGAGGTCATCTCCGCACGTGTGAAGAGTATTGCAGCCCCCATCCGAGATATGAGTTTCCGACTTCGATGTCTCAAAGTCGCTTGGGCTTTTGTCGTCGAGCAGCGTTCTCACCTTTGTCGTCGTTGCCATGTGCTTCGCCGTTGTTGCAGAAATTGGCCGACTTCCTCAGAGAGGAGGCCCCCGGCACGGGGCTACTGTCGGCGATCGCGTTCGCGTGGTCGTTGGGCCATCTGGACGCCGTGCATCGCAGCTACGATCCGCTCGTCGTCGAGAACCCGAAGCTGGTCGGCCTCAAGGCGCTCCGACTGGAGCTGTTGGACTGCGTGGAGAAGGCCGCGCTGAGCAGACGGGAGGCGTCATCCATGGGTCGTGGCGTGGGAACCGGCATCGCTCTGGGTGGGGAGGCTGAGGAGGCTGCGGCGGGGTCGCACTCGGTCGGGCACGGGTTCAAAGATGGCGGCGAAGAGGAGCAAGAGGAGGAGGACCAAGAGGGGGGCGGGGAGGAGGTTGGTGGCTTGGACGAGGAGGAGGAGGACGAGGAGAGTGAGGACGCCGACGAGGAGGCAGTGCAGTTCGCCGGTGAGAAGGTTGCGGATAAGAGCGGTGCGAAGGTTGCGGATAAGAGCGGTGGAAGCGGACCCAAGTCGGGCAAGAAGGCGCGGGGGAGCGGTGGCTCGACCACGACCCGGATGGCGTCAAAGGCGGTCATGGAGCGTCTGAAGGCGGCGGAGCGGGAGAACAAGAGGCTGAGGGAGGAGAAGCTGGTGGCGGAGAAGAGGCTGGAGAACCAGATGGTGCGGATGGACACGCTCCACTCCTCGGTTTCGGCGGCGGTCCACAAGCTGGGGGCGGTCGCCGACCGCGTGACCGCTCACGAGCAGACGTCGGGGGCGAGCCTCGAAGGGGCGGTGGAGGCTATGAAGGCGGTCGTGGAGGAGGCGTGCAGAAACCGCAACTCCATCATAGAGCACATAAACGACAAGTGGCTGCCCACCGTAAATGCCTTGAACCTGGCAACCGGTGCCTTGAACAATAGGTGACATGAAGACGACGTCCTGTTGCTGCGAGGGGTGGCAGATGCGCTGGGAGAGAAGATCAAGACGGTCGTGTCTGCCGAGGTCAAGGCCGTCATGCAGAGCGAGGCGAAGGCGATCGCCGCGGCCGTGAGTGCGAAAGTCGCCGAAGAGCTTAGGGAGGTCGTGGTGAAGGCGGTCACCTCCGCGACCCAACAGGGGCTTGGAGCCGCCGGGTTTAGCCTCCTCCCAAATGCTCTCGCGTCGGCGATGCACGGCGGTCGCTCAACCGCCGAGGAGCATGGGCCGCCGCCAAGGCACGGCGGGAAAAGGGTCGCCGACGAAAAATCCCTGACCGGCGAGCAGACCAGCGGCATTAAGCGAAGCAGAGGACCAGCGGCGAAGCGCGGTTCGGCCGTGGAACCTCCTGCCGCCCCGTATGTTCGTATTCCCGGCGTCATCGACTTGCTGAAAGAGGGTCTTGGCGCGCGTCCGAGCGCCGATTTTCGACAGGTCGACGACGGGCTCCAGGATCCAGCTCCGGTGGTCGGGGAGCAGGGTGGGCAGCCCGTGGGGGACCAGCAGAGTTTGGCCGCGACCACTCCGCCGAGCGTACACGACGCGCTACCGAGCGGCGCCCAGACGCATCTGGTGGGCGGTGTCGTGGGAGGGGCATCCGTGGTCGGGATGCTGGGCGGGCAGCCACTGCCCGAGGCCAGTCCGGCGAATGCACATGGCGCTCCACCGAGCGGCGGCACGACGCAGATGGCCGGGGAGCTCCTGCACATAGCAGCGGTGGTCGGCCAGCAGGGCGGGCAGGCCGTTGCGCGCCAGCATGTTCAACCCTCAACGGGTACGGCGACTGCGAGACCGACCGGCGACACAGTGCAGCTGGCTCTGGCGCCCGCAGCGGTGGTCGGCCAGCAGGGAGGGCAGGCCGCTGCGGGCCAGCATCCTCACCCCTCGACGAGCACGGCGACGGCTCAAGACGAGCGACCGGGGGCCCGGCTGGCCGACGACCTCCTGCACACCGCCGCGGTTGTACGCCAGCAGGGAAAGCAGGCTGCTGCGGGACCGCATCTTAACCCCTCGATGAGCTCGGCGACGGCTCAAGAAGCGCGACCGGGTGCCGAGCTGGCCGACGACCTCCTGCGGTCCGCCGCGGTTGTACGCCTGCAGGGAGGGCAGTCCGCTGCGGGCCCGCATCCTCACCCCTCGACGAGCTCGGCGACGGGTCAAGACGCCCGACCGGGTGCCGGGCTGGCCGACGACCTCCTGCGGTCCGCCGCGGTTGTACGCAAGCAGGGAGGGCCGTCCGCTGCGGGCCAGCATCCTCCCCCCTCGACGAGCACGGCGACTGCTCCAGACGCGCGACCTGGTGCGGTCAGGGCGCAGCTGGCCGACGACCTCCTGCGGTCGGCGGCGGTGGTCGGCCAGCAGGGAGGGCAGCCCGCTGCGGGCCAGCATCCTCACCCCTCGACGAGTCCGGCGGGTAGCGCGCGCCCGGGTGGCACGGCGGCTCTGCTGGCCGACGAGCCTTTCCGCCCCGTGCAGCGAGCCACAGGAGTCCTACCCAGCAGCGTGGTCGAGGCTGCCACACCGATGATTGTGTCGGCGTCGGCACCAGCGCCTCACCGAGCGGGTACTGCCCACGGGACGCCCGGCGGAGTTGAGACGAATGTGTCGCTGCCGAACCCGCCTCCGCCCACCACGGTGACTGACGATGCGGCCAGCTTACCCGGTCAGAAGGCCGGTGTGGTCGGCGTGGAAGCGATACCCGCGCCCGCGGCTTCACCAGCGGTCGAGGCTCTAATCAACAGGAAGGGAACGTGGGAGGAGTATCTGAAATGGCTCGAGGATCAGAGTGGCCCAGAAGTTCCTCCGTCGGCGGCTAGGAACCAGGCGGTCGACCCAGGAGCAGAGACAGGGAACGCCACGGCAGCGACTGCAGGGGCGAGCGTCACCACAACGGAGGAGGCGGCTCTTTGGGGACTGATGGAAGAGGTCGGCGGGGTGGACCCCGCAATCCTCGCCTCTATCGTGATGCCGGACCCTGAGGTCGAGGCCCTTAAGGATAAAGTGGAAGAAGCAGCCCCGACTGCGGAAGCGCAAAGGGATACACCGGCCGCCTCGTCTGCACCTGCGGTGGGCCCCAGCGCGACTGGCGCCAAATCCCCCCCGGCCAAAACCGGTGAGGTCGGCGACGGGAAGCATAAGCGCAAGGGCAAGGGCAAGGCCGGGACGGCTAAAGCAGCCACGTCGGAGACGAAGGGTCGGAAGGGTTCAGGCGTCCGAGTTGACGAAAAGACGGGGCTGGCCACGTCGGAGATGAAGTTTGGCAAGAAGAGCCGTTACGTCTGCCGGTCGAACGACAAGACCGAGGCAGCCTACTGCATCGCCGTCGCCGTTTCATCGTTCGACGGCTACGTGAGCGAGGTCATTCTCGCCGAGTTCGCTGGGGTCGAGGCGAAAGTGATGGAGCGGTATAAGGCGGACTGGGAGGTGGCGCGCTTGATTCCGTGCGGCATGTGGATGATCATGCGGAGCCGTGGCGCAAACGTCTTCCGCGACAGGTACGCTTGGCGAATGGTCGATTAGGTGCTCGTTTCGGTCGGTTTGCGGGGGTCGGTCGGTGACGATTTGCGTGCTGCGTTGCTTTGTTTCGCAGGTTCCAAGAGGTCGTCAACGAGTACAACAGGATAACCAAGGAGGGCCGCGCAGCTCTTAATGCAGCTCTTGGTCCGGCGCTGTGGTTCCTCGACCTGCCGGAGCCGACCGATCCCGAGAAGGCCGCCAAGAACAAGATGGCGAGCGACATGATCGCGCGCGCGGCGATGTGTGCCGCCTACGCACATGTGGTCGCGAAAGTCTCGCCCATCCCGGGCGTCACGGCGGAGCGGTTGTCGGCCATCCTCGCCGGGACGGCGTGCCGGTGTGGTGCTTTTCGGAGACCAATGCCACGCCGGAACAAGCGGCAGGCGAAGGGGGGGCGGCAGCCACCGTCCGCGGAGCGTCCGCTGCGTTCGCGAGTCGGTGCAAGAGCGTCATCGAGGCGGTGCTTCAGCAGGCGTCCGCTCGGGAGGTCGGTGAAGAGGAGGTCGCCGAAACGGTGACGAAGGACCTGCAGGCGGCTGTGGTGAGGTCGCTGCCTGAGGGCGGAGAGGAGCGCGAGCACGACGAGCTTATCGCCCGTGTCATGATCGAGAACCTCGCCTTCTGGGGGGAGTGCTATGTCGGAGGCCCGAAGCTCAGGGCTCGCGGCGTCGCCTTGCCTGTCGACCCCGCAATGAGGATTATCGTTCGGGACAGGGGGCCGAGGGGCCAGCACAAAGGGAAGCAGGTCGTGGACGCATAGGTCGACGAATGCTTTCCCGACTGCACTTGTCATGGTCTGCGATGGAGCACACGACGCTGGCTTTTCTGCCGACGACCTACCAGGCTCTCTGAGTTAGTTTAGGGCCGCGTTTGCGCATTGTTGTGTTGTTATGTGTTGCCGAACAATGTTTAGAGACTGTGAACATGATAGCTGGTTGTTTTGTGAAGTCGGTTTGATGAGTCGGCTTGATGCATGTACAGGTACCGACAGCACGAGTCACACTAGTCGGCAAGTCATTGGCTAATGTTGAGAGAAAAACATGCGGTTTCACAAGCACAAGTCGGACACCCTAGCTAAAAAGCCCACCCACAGCCCGCCCTTAGGCCACCCACAGCCCGCTGTAAGCCCACCCACAGCCCGCCCTAAGGCCACCCACAGGCCGCCATAAACCCACCCACAGCCCGCACACAGCCCGCCTTTAGCCCACCCTCAGCCGACCACCGTCCGTCCACCCTCAGCCACACCCCCATCAGCCCACCCCACAAGTGTAGGGTTCCGACGCACTTCCCTCAGCCCGCCCTCTTGCGTTTCCCGGCGGCGGAAAACTCCGCCGTCGCTCCTGCGGTCGCCTCGGCCTCCGAGCCGACCTTCGTGGCCTGCTCCTCCCATAAGTCGCCGAAGATCTTCTTTCCCCAATCAGGCTCCGCATAGCCCGCCGAGACGACGCCCCACGCAACGGTCAGCTTCCTGTGCTGCTGCTTGTGCAGACCCTTGATGCCGGTCGACTTGCCGTCGGCTGTGGTGGGGGCCTTGATGGGCGCGGTTGCACGGAGGACCAAAAGAGCATCGCTGAAAGTAGAAAGACCCGCCCGCCCCAGGTGGTCGAGTAATTTGACCACTGCGGCGGTGTCAGCGTCATTTTCGCTCCGCCGCAAGTTGTGAATGGCCTCCATGATCCGCCGCATCCGGCGAGTGCAGTTCTGCAGCGCATCGTTCTTCCCCGTCTCACCCTCCGGGGTCGTGGGACTTTCGTCGGTCGACGGTTGTCGGCCACGAGATTTCTTCGCCGACTTCGGCGAGGCCGCGGGCTTGTCGGCCTTTTCGACCTTGCAGATCATGCGCGTGTGTCTGACGAGGAATCGTTTCTCCTCATAGCGTTCGCGCAAGGGACGCGAGTAGAAGTTGGACGGGTAGTTCCACCAGCGCCAGGCAGCCTCGACCGTCTTGGACGTGCGCCAGGGATGGACGACGTTCACCTCGTACGTCAGGTCGTCGTCCTGTTCCTTCTCGATCTTGACGACCACTGCCTTCTCGTCGGCGGTCATCGGCCTCGTGGTCGGTGCTGCCGGCGCAGTCGGCCGTGCCTCGGCCAGCTTGAGAGCCTGCATCAACCTCGCGATCTCCGCGTCCTTCTCCTCCAGCTGCTTCTGCATTCCAAGCTTCTCGATCGCGGCATCCTCTCTCTGGCGGTGCAGCATCATGGTGAGCTGGTCGACCTGATGGAAGGCGTCGACCCGCGCGCTGAATTCCTGCGAATTAAGGGGAATATGGTCGGCAATCCGTCAGCAAATGTAGCAGGACGACTAGTTTTACTGGTCGCCGGAACGTGCACGCCGTACCTCTTGGGTGTTCTCGGTCGGAGTACCGCGCGTGGCGATGGTCTCGAGGTCCACCCGGTTGACGTCCTTGGCCCATTTCTGAAAGTCGGGGTCGCGGCAGAGCTTGGAACTCTGGACGTACGGGTGCCACGGTTCGCGCATCAGCATGCACGCCAGATCCTCGGCGACGATTCGGCGGCCGAACTCGATGAGCGATTGCAGGAAGTGCACCCCGGCCGTGTTGGGCTCGCTCGCAGTGGCGCACCTTTTCGCCTGCGTGTCGAACACATACACAACACAACCAACAGACGGTGGAATGTCGGCGTGGAAATGGTCGGCGGGAAGTCGGCCTCTCAGCCGTCAGAAATGCTCACCTTTTCCAGTTCCGCTTCAGCCCAGGGAAAGATATGCTGGGCGATGAGGGCCACCACCTTGGGGTCGGGCGTCACCAAGCTGCGGCCGAGGTGGTAGTCGCCGCGCTTGCCCGTGTAGCCGGCCTTTCTTAACACCGCCGCCTTCGGGATGGTCGTGATGTAGCTCTTTGCAAGCTTGTCGAGCGCCCAGTGGCCCAAGTCGGCGAAGTCAGATCGCGGAACTCCGTCGTCGGCCAGCTCCTGTGCCCCACCTGCCCGGGCGGCGTGGGTGTTGCGCGTGATGAAGATGTTGTTCGCCCGCCACATGTCTTTCGTGAGCTTATAATGGGATGAAGCCGGCAGCTCTTTTTGCGCCTTGTCGTTCCGAGCATGGAAGAGGTGCTTGTGATACCACATGTACGGAGTACTGAAGTCGAGGGGCGGCACAAGTCGACAGGTGGGCGAGCGGCTCATCTGGTCGTACACGAAGTGCAGCCACATCAGAGTGTGACCGACGGCGCACATCTCCTGCTCGAGGTGTCTCGCCGCGTAGCTGTGATGCAGACGAGCATCCTTGTTCGTCTTTGAGTTTCGTGACGCGACGACCATAACAACCGGCCGTCGCATGGAATGCTCGGGCGACGCGCTCCCCAATTTGTACAATTTGCACCCAATTTGGGTGCTTGTACGCCCTGAGACTGGCTCCGCGGAGAAGGGTGTGGTGACCCAAGAGGGTCATCGTCTTCATCAGCAGGAACCTCCACAGCGTCTGGGAGGGGGTGGCCGCGTTGGGTTCGTACGCCCGAGACGCCCATGTCGGCAGAACCTTGAGCATGAGGTGGCGGAACTGGTCGGTGGTGTACGTATCGCCGAGCGTTCCGCGGTGCCGGTCGACGCAATCCCTGCACAACAGTTCCCAGGACGACTGGGTTAGCTGGGCGAACTGGGGACCAGGCGTGAACCGCGCGGGACGACTTGCCGACTCACCTGTCGTCCCTATGCCACTTCTCTCTGACCATCGCGCGCACCTCCGAGCGGACCTCGGAGATGTCGTACATGATCTTGAGCTCCTTCACACCGAAGAGCGTCCCCTCGACCTTGCAAGCCATCTGGAGCGCTTTGATGCGCATGAGCAGCATCGAAACGGTTGTCACCTTCAGGGGCTGGACACGGACGTCGGGGTTCAGCTCCTCGAGCTCCTCGGCCTTGGCAATACCCGTCTCCCTCGCGATCGACAGAATGTACGCTCTGATCCGCGTAGCGTTGACGCATGGACCGTGCATCCATCGAAGGTCGTCCTTGGCGGTGTGCCACTGATCGCCCATGTCGTCGTCGATGTACCTCCCTAGCTCGTCCTCGTGCTCCAGCACGGCTTCCCCCTTGACTCTGGCGGTTTGCTGTCTTGGAAGGTTCTTGCAGCACCATCTCCTGAACTCGAGCAGCGCCCGCAGGTACTGAACCCGAGTCGTTCTTGCCTCCAGCGTGTCCAGATGCCGGAGACCCCACATCATCCTCAGCAGTCTGTTTTTTTTTAAGAGCTCTTTGTTGAGGTCGAAGGCGGCTTCCGCAAAGTCGTCGCGCGGGATGTTATGTAGGAAGTTGTCTTCCTTTTCGTCGGCAGCCAGCATGTCCTCTATTGTCAGGTAGTGGTAGTCGTTTTCTGGAAATGGTCCTATCGGCGGCGGCTGCTCGGTCGGCGAAGTCTCCCGCGGGTCCGGTGGGGGTGGGGGAGCCCCATTCGTCCCTGGCAGGAGGGGGATGGTCGGGTCGTCGGGAATGTTTGCCCTAGCGGCGTCTACGTCTACCTCCAAGGGCGTCTCGTTGAGGTCGGGAATCGCCCTGTTCACCGCCGGCGGCGTGACACCCGCCATCTCGGCGGGTAAAGTTGTTCCCGTCGGCTTCTAGTTGTCGCCGCGGTCACGCGGCGGTCGGTGTTCTGCCCACCAAAGGCGGTACTGCACAATCGATGCCGTGTATTGCCTTCGCACCTGGTCCCTAAAGGCCGCCCGTCTTTCGGCCCTCTCAGCGATCTCGGCGATCGTCAACTCCGCGGCAATGTCTGACAGTTCAGGAACTTCGGGCGGCGGATTGGTGTTCTGCCGGTTGTTGTTCGGAGTGGTTGTGGTCGGCGGGGTAATGGTCGGCGGTGTGTTAAGTGGCAGGGTGTCGTTAGGCGGGGTGTCGTTCGGGGGGGGATTCGGGTTGTTGTTGGTCGGGGTGTTGTGCGGCGGGGTGGTGTTCGGGGGCGGGTTCGGCGGGGGGGTGTTGTTGGTCGGGGTGTTGTGCGGCGGGATGTTGTCAGACTGCTCCCTGGCCATTCGAGGCCGTACTGGGGATTAACGTCGACGACGGTTGTGGTAGAGGCTACGAAGAAACGCGTCGGCCACTTTCGGATGTTGTCGACCTACCTGGTCGCCGTAGCCTAAAACCGCGAATCCTAAGTGGGAATTCCGGTGAGTTTGCCGACCTATACGCACTGTACACCGGCGTGGTTCGTCGTCGACCCAGCTAGTCGTCGCGAGGACACTACCGCGAGCGGGCCGAGGTCGTCGGCGACAAAGTCTATGTGGACCTATTCGCACTCAAGCTGGGCGAGTCTCCTCGTCGACCGAGCACCAAACGGGGTCGGGCGGGCTTAGGGGAGCGCGAAATTGTGACTAAGGGAATGAATGAGTGAGCGTAGCTTGCTAGGAGCAGAGTGAAGGAAACCGAAGGAACAAAATGCGAAATGGCAAAGAGGGTCCATTGACGGTTGGTCATAGCAGTGCGGCCCACCTCCGCGGTTCGGGCGGACAGGTGTTGGCAGGAGATCCCTGTGAGGTCGCCAAAAATGCATGCACGGGAAAACGGCGGCGGAGTGGACAACGTGGCAGGGAGCGTGCATGCCTTCGGCCTTCCCGACTTTCGGATGTCCGTGCCTTCTGGTTCGGGATTGCACGTCGGCGTGACGCGGCAGTGCTCGTCGCGTCGGCCGAGATGGCATCCCGGTGGATGGTTCCCGCCAACTGGCCGACCAACGCTTGGTCGCCGCGTGGACATTTGCCTGACGGGATGTTGGACGCGTGGAGTAGTGAGTTCGGGATGGGCGACATCTGGCTTGGCGCGCCAGCGAGGTGGTCGGCCAGCACGCACCGACGTGGTCAAGACATTGTCCGCGCCGATGAAACGTCGGAAGTCGTGGCACGTTGCCCGCGCTCGGCGGCGTCAACGTGTCGACCTCGTACCGAGGGTCCGTTGAGGGGTGCCAGCGGGGTATCTCTCAACGGGATTGCCGAGGTGATGCAGGGTGACGCTCGTCAGCCAGGCGGCCAGGCGTGCCCCGCAGTTTGCCATCCGAGGGTGAAGCAGGGTGGCGCTTCTCTCGCCGAGCCGCGTCGTTTTTGCACCCGGATGTAGTCGCCGCGTTTAGATATACCATGCTAAATCTACCGACGGTATGAAATTATTCTCAAAGCTACCAGAATTGAGCTGGTATCATGTGCCTCGCTAGCGGCCAGGGTGCTCAATCCCGCGGAATCGCGGTTCGTTTTATTATCGCCACGTGGCATGCCTTCGATCGCGTGACCCGCGATCTGTTTTACGACGTGTTGCGACCCACCCGGGTCGGGTCGACCACCCCCCGATCCCGAATTTCTAGGAAGCCCGCACTGCCGACCTACCCGACCAGGTCGACCCGACCCAACCCAACCCAACCCGGGTCGGGTCAACCCGGGTCGACCAGGTCGGGTCGACCAGGCCGACCAAACCCAACCCAGCCGACCGGGAGCTGGTTACCGGAGTCTGAGAAATCTGTGGTCTCGCGCGGATGTCGTTTGTCTCTCGTTTAACAAAAAGATACCCTGTAATATCGCCAAACATTAACTCGCCCACCTTCCACCTGCGGAGCACTTGCTTTCTCTTTACTTCGAATTTGCAGAGAAGGCAACGGGAAATTCTTTGATTTCTCGAGTCGCCTTGCGGTTGGGTCGGGTCGGGTCGTGGGTCGCAACACGTCATTATTGTTATCACAAACTTCAAAATTTATTTAGCTAAGTTCTGTATTGCACTGCCCGCCGACAAAAATAAAACCCATTCGGGCCTGGCATGCGTTAGGGAGGCATCAACCCTAAACACCTTGCCTCTTGGTGTTTAGGGTTGATGCATCCCTAACGCATGCCTTACCTATAGGGGTTTTATTTTTGCCCGCGGGCAGGTGCTGTACGGAACTTAACTAAGGACGTGGTGCGGAACGGGTCCAGACCCGGTGCACCGAGGCGTCCTGGGGCGTGCCGGGACGCCCCAGCTCGCCCAGTGGCACGCATCTCAGTTTCGGGGTAGCCTTCGAAGAGCTGAGTTCGAACCTTCGACCAGCAATGGGCGAAAGCGAAAGACTTAGATGCAAATTTCGGCCAAGAATGCTGACATGGCTAATTTTCGCCAAGCCGTTCGTCAAACATATTTCGTAATTGATACCTTCCCAATAAGAAGTCGCAATCATCAAACGATTTTATCGAGACTCTCGCACGACAATCTAGTTAGTAACCATATTCTCGAAAGTTCGCAAGCCTTTCGAGCATGCTGTGGCGCCCCAGAGCACGCCCCGGGGCGTGCGGGCACGCGTCGGTGCATCGCCTCGTCCCGGCACGCCCTGGGACGACGCGATGCACCGGGTTCCCGTGTGCACGGAAGCTTCGAAACCCGGTGCACCGCGGTGCATCGGGGCGTGCCAAGGCGTTCTGCACCACGTCCTAAATTCTCTTGAACTTTGTGATAACAAAAAAACAAATCGCGCTTCTCGCGATCGTTGTGCTGCCACGTGGCGATAATAAAGCAAACTGCGCTTCCGCGGATTTGAGCAAAACTCTCCTCGCTAGCCCATTCGTTTGTAAAGTGCTCCACAAATATGTGATTGAAGTGTGGGCAATCCCCGGGAGGGGTAAAATTTCATAGTACAAACGATTTGAAGGACGTAAAAAAATCATCGGATGCTCCTACAAACGCCGTCATTCAAATACCTCATTATTGCTCAGTTTCCGACAGTAGAACCTTCGTATAACGGAGTCGTTTAGGAGATTGCCCTTCACGTAGTTGTACCCTTCAAATTACACCTTTTTGAAGAATAGTCCACCACTTATTGGGACTAGCTATGAATCGCGCCGCAGGCACTACCGTGCCTGTTCGCGAGGATACGAAATTCGTTTGTAAAGTGTTCTCCTAAAAATACTTACCCAACAGTGGGGAATCCCAGGGTGAGGAGACTTCATGATAAAAACAATTTAAAAGGCGTAGAAAAATATCCAGATGTTCGATAATACCGCCGTTAAAATACCTCATTATTGCTTAGTTATCGACAGTAGAACCTTCGTATAACGGAGTCGTTTAGGAGATTGCCTGTCACGTACTTGTACCCTTTAAATTACACCTCGTTTTGGGGAATAGCCCACCGTCATTATTGGGCCCACCGTCGTTATGAATCCCGCCGCAAGCACCACCGTGACTGATTCGCGAGGTTACGAAATTGGTTTGTAAAGGGCTCCTCCACAAATTCTTCACTGAACAGTGGGAAATCCGTGGGAGATGTACAACTTCATAATAAAAACAATTTAAGGGTGTAGGAAAATCTTCAGATGTTCGGAAAAAACCGTCATTAAAATACCTCGTTATTGCTTAGTTCTCGACAGTAGAACCTTCGTATAGCGGAGTCGTTTTGAAGATTGCCCATCACCGACTTGTACCCTTAAAATTTCACCTTCTTTTAAGGCATAGCCCACCGGCATTGTGGGGCCTGGCAGTGAAATTCGTTTGTGAAGTGCTACTCCACAAATACTTTCGCAGTGGGGATTTCTTGGAGAGGTAACTTTATGGTACAAACAAACAAATTGAAGGGTGTGGAAGAACTTACGGATGAGGTTTGGAGCCTTCTCAGGGTTTCCTGCTACCTGCTCCTCTCCTTCCCTCCCCTCTCTCTTCTTGTTGGCCATGGACGTAAGGACGTGGTGCGGAACGGGTCCAGACCCGGTGCACCGAGGCGTCCCGGGGCGTGCCGGGGCGCCCCAGCTCGCCCCGTGGCTCGCGTCACTGCCCATAGTGAATTTCAGGTATCCTTCCAAGTGCTGAATCCGAACCTTCGACCAGCAATGGGCGAAGACGAAAGACTCAGAAGCGAAACTCGCTCAAAAATGTGTACACGGTTGACATTCAGGAAATTGTTCGCCAAAAACAATCTTGCGACTGATACCCCCAAGAACAATTCGCAATCAACAAACAACCCCGTCAAGATTCTAGCGCGACAATTAATCATGTCACCACAATTTCGAGAATTCGCGAGTTTTTCGAGCATGCTGGGGCGCCCCAGGGCATGCCCCGGGCCGTGCCGGAACGCGTCGGTGCATCGCCTCGTCCCGGCACGCCCAGGGGCGTGCCAGGACGAGGCGATGCACTGCGTTCCCATGTGCGTGGAAGCTTCCAAACCCGGTGCACCGCGGTGCATCGGGGCGTGCCAAGGCGTTCTGCACCACGTCCTAACAGCCCTGGACCCAGCGACAGCCCTGTAAATGATGCGCTAGAGGGTGCCGCATTGATTCAGTTGTCATCATCACTGTGTATAGCTGTAAAGTCTACAGAACATACAGAATTTAACGCCCTAACTGAAATCATAGGATGGCTTTCTTCTGTTCTGTTCCGGCTCTCGAGCATCCCGAGGTTTTTCACGTCATGATGAGCAAATCGCCTTTTTAAGAGCTACATTACGGTCATGAGAGTTGAACTTCGGTTTTGTGATGTAACAAGGAGTGATCGGATCACACTTTATGACAACCTTGAACCCCGCACTTCAAATTTCGGTCAGCTCGGTTATCTGAAATCTTCTATTTCCTAGTCGGTGATCCCTAGGGAGCCATTAGGCACATGGCTCATAGCGTGAGAGCTAACCCAACCGACGTATGATATAGCTTTCGCGTTGTCCCTCCCTTGTGATCAGCGATCGTATCCTGGTCACGACCTGAACGCTAGGCGTACTCCCACTAGCAAAACATAACCGAGTATTGACTCTGGGTTCATTAGCCTCAAGAAATCGCAGGATCCATATTCTTGGAACCCCCTTTCTTTTGATAATTTGAAGCATTGTTGTGATTCTTGCCAACCTTCCGCGTTGGAAAGCGTGTTTCTTGGATCGGACGGCGGAGAAACAGCCGGCTGCGCCTGATCAGACGGTCGAGATGTCGTTCTGGGGTGCGTCGCTGAGATGGGATTGATTGAGAATGTGAGAGTGATTGTTGGTAGTGAGAAGTGTTTTTGAAAGTGTGGAAACAAGAGTGTGGAAGGACAAGTCCTTGAAAGAATAAGGGAATACTTTCTGTCCTGGTGTGCTTCTTCTGTTGCTGTCTCTGCTTCTGTTTGTGCTTCTGCCTCGACGATCGGTGCTGCTGTCCCAATACTCTGCTGAACTGGTCGCTCCGCAGGAGTGGAGGTGAAGGCGGGCGGGAGAGACGGTGGTGGCTTTTGAGACGTCTCAAATGCTGCAACTACCAGTCATTGCTCCTTTCCCATTCTCTGCTTCTTATCTGGTGGTTCGTCAGGAGTGGAGGTGAAGGCGGGCGAGACGGTGGTGGTAGATCCTACAGAGCATGACTTCGACTACATACACCTGTCCCAGGTACCACCTGCACACCACCTGTCCCAGGTACCACCTGCACACCACCTGTCCCAGGTACCACCTGCACACCACCTGTCCCAGATACACCGGCTCTGCACGAATCTGATCCTTTTGAGGATTCTCAAAACCGTGTCAGCTTTAGCAGGTAAACCTGCACACATTTGTTGCACGTCAGTGTTTCATGTGACAATCCGGCCATTCGCCATTGGTGGTGCAAGGCCTTTCAGGCAATTGCACAAGCGAACGTCTTAGCAGTCTCATACTCCCCACCCCCTGCTCACGTGCAACCCACGTGACCTTTGATTCGATTCTAGAGTCACCTTGCAGGCAAGTACAAACGAACCGAATCCCACTCATGTGCGTGCGTACAACCCGCGTCTTGCCCACTTGATGCCAGGCGAGTCTGGGCGAGACAGCCAAGGACCACGAGCGGGTGGTGCTCAAGGTGCGACAGGTTGAATTCCCCGAAGGCTCTGACGATGATGACAGTGACGACAGCGAGGATAGCGATGATAACGATGACATGGAGGAGGGGAAGGCGGGCAAGGGCAAGCAGTCTTCCAAGTCGTTTGCAGTGGGGCCGGAGGTGGTGCTGGGCGTGCTGGTGAAGGGGCGCGTGGACTTTGCAGCCATGAACCACATCTTTGACCGGCAGTTCAGCCTGGCCCACGCGGGCAGCCACAGCGTGTTCTTCTCCGGCTACAAGACCTCTGACTCCCTGTATGGTGAGTCGTTATATGGGGAATGCTTGTACGGTGAGTGCTTGCATGGGAGGCCCCGGCCCCCATGGCCATGGGGGCCTGAACCACATCTTTGGCCGCCAGTTCAGCCTGGCCCACTCGGGCAGCCGCAGCGTGTTCTTCTCCGGCTACAAGACCACTGACTCTACTGGTGACGAGTCCTTCTATGGTGAGTGCTTATATGGTGAGTGCTTATATGGTGAGTGCTTGTACAATGAGTGCGTGTATGGTGAGTGCTTGTATGGTGAGTGCTTGTATGGTGAGTGCTTGTACAACAAGTACTTGAACGGTGAGTGGTAGCATGGTGAGTGCTTGCATGATAGAAATATGGCACTCCTTTCAGGGTACTGTCTCCCATAAATTAGGTTCCTTCACACTGAAACACCTTGAGATGGTTTTAAACCTCTGTTGATGTGCACTCTTGGTATTGTGTGATTTAGATGAGGACGAGGAGATTGAGGAGGATGAGGAGGACGAGGAGGAGGAGGACAGTGAGGATGAAGATGATGAGGATGACGATGAGGAAGAAGACGAGGCGATGGAAGGCAGTGAAGATGAGGAAGCATCAGCAGCAGCCATGGCAGGTGAGGGTACATTCGTAGCCCGTGTCAGACATCAAGTCATCAGCCCTTAATCTCCAATTTGACTCTTCCTAATCTTCAATCGCCCCACATAACGAGCCACTTTGGGGTTTCCGAACCTCAACTTCGCGTCTAGTCTTGTACCCTGAGTTGCGAAAGGACTGAGTGAGGCGTTATCAGCGTCAAATGACTGGCATTAAAGCGAATAAGGCAAGTACCAACGCAATGTTGGTCAGCTGTACCGCATCGCTCCAGAAATAGACCTGTGCATGGCGTACGTCTGTCGTTTTGTAATTAGAAGGTCTGCTGGTTGCTTCATGTGTGGGGATTCTCTCTCGTGTTACCCCCCCCTTCTTCCATCTCCAGCCGAGAAATCGTCGAAGGGAATGGCGGCCGCTGCAGCGGCGGCTGTTGAGAAGCGAGGTGAGATTCATCTCTTTTTTTTTCTCTACTGCTATTGGTATTTGTTTAACAGTCTCTTGTGTGAGGTTGTTGCACTTCTAACCTTTTTTCCAATTCCAGCTTCCGACCCTCACCTTCCTCTCACACCTGCTTCTCCATTGGCCATTGCCCATTGCCGATCTCCCATTTCCCATTGTGTTTTGCCATTCCCCACTAACATCCGCCCCAAATCATGCCATCCGCCCCAAATCATGCCTGCTCGACTGATTGCAGCTTTTATACATCTCAAACCCCTGTTGCCCATTGCCCACTACCCTCAGAACATGCCCTTAAATCTTTCCTACCCTCGTTCTGCTGCAGCACGCATCAAGTCAGGAAAGAAAGGCACTCCAGTGCCCTCCCCAGCAGGGGGGAGAGGTGCAGCAGCAGCAGGAACACCATCAGCAGCAAAGCAAGGAACTCCAGCAGCACGAGCGGAGGGCAAAGATTCTGCACCGAGGAATGGGAAAGATGTGACACCAAAGAAAGACGTGACACCAAAGAAAGACGTGACACCGAAGAAAGAGGTCAGTTCAAGAAAGCAATGAAAGTGTTTAGCTTAAAATACCACTTTTGAGACGCCTCAAAACTGGGCCTACTCTTCTCTCAGTAAGCATGGGAGAAGAAAAAGGTGGGTGGGCGAAGCAGGAGAGGTGATAGCTAAAAAAACGTAATACATGCGATGCGACTGGTGAATGAGAACCAGATAGTCATGCTTGTGGGTCAAACTTCAAGCGCTGTGCTATCAAAGTAACTAACTGCCCAGTTCTCATATTTTATAACATTGTTTGCGGACATAATACCAGTGACTGTCTGTACACTGTGGTGCACATAGCATATCCGTGCAACTCCTACCACCTGCAACGCAGCGAATGCCATGGTGTTTCTGCTCTTATCCCTCCTTCACCCCCTCTCACACGTGTCGCTCTATCAGCCTGTGACAGGCAGCAAGCGGCCATCTGTGAGCATCGTCACTCCGCCCTCATCGAAAGGCAACGGGGAGAAGACTGAGCGGAAGAAACCTCGCCCTGACACCCCCGCTGCCGTCAAGACCGCAGGTAGGGTGCGGGGGAAGTGGTCGTTTGCTCATTCAAGTTGTAAGCGCACCACTCCCTGAGTATCGTCAAGGCAATAGATGGAATGGGGGACAAGGAGGATGGGTTATCGAGCACGTCACGCTTTTAGCCCCCACAGGCCCTGTCAGTGCTGGTACTGGCAAGCCGGTGGGGTGAGGGAAGAAGATGATGTGGTATTGAAGTTATGGGATACTTGGGCATCTCACCTCTTGACACTGTTTGAGAATTCTCAACAGTTGCTTTCTTGCACCCAAATACTCAACCACCGTCTGTTGCTCCTGCTGTTGTGTGCAGCCAAGGTGAAGCCGCAGACAGCTGCTACAGTAACCCCTCCTCAAGCCCAGAAGGTACTGGAAAGTCTTTTTAAAACATGGGAGGTTGAGCTTTTCACGCTCTCTCCATTCTTCTCTAATTTCCTCGTGAATCGATGCATCAGAATGCTTGGCAAACTGAATTGTTGACTAGCTTTACTGTCGCCTAATATTTCACCATACTCTACCCCATGTTTCGTTCCCCATTTCCCCTCCTCACCCTCCATGGACTGCTTTTTGGAATGCTCAAGTCAACCTCCCCTGTCCAGAGCACCTCGCCATCTACTCCTAAATCGGGCTCCTTTCCATGCACGGCATGTCCCAAGTGAGACTTCGTATACGTTGAATCCTAATGGTGTCGTTTGCGCTCAACCTTGCTCTGCTGTCTTTGTGTGTGTGCATGCGTGCTTGCGTGCGTGCATGTGTCTGTTACTACATGCTTGTTGTGTCAAAGCATTTTACCGGCAACCCTTTTGGTCCCACTTTCAATGTTACTTGAATGCAGGAGATTCACGTCTTCTGATTCCTTAGCAAACCATGTCAAGGCGAAGCACAGCACAGGGAAATAGCATTGATTACCTTGTGTTCATGGGCCCTCCAATGTTATCGCTATTTTCTCATATTGTTTTTACTACTTTGTGTACACGATTGTCTTATACAAATGGAACGGACACACTCAAGCGAGTTTAACAGCTTCCCGTCGCCAGAATTCAACACAAGCACAGTTGCGCCTTGTGATATTTGATTTCCCCACGTATTGTGACGGGCACGGGAGTGCAATATTTTGGGTTGGTGTCTAAGTTATCCCTTTTCGCCATTCATTTCGCACGCGCCCCATTTCAAGCACAGGGGCACGAATCATACCGACGCACAGCGGGATTAGAAAGTGCCATTGCTTCTGTCACAATGGACCCAACCACGAAGGGTTATTCCTGCGGAAGTTCAAGTACAGAGTCCAAACAACAATGCAGTAGCCGTTGTGCTGACGTGCCTGGACATGATTACGACATGGGCATTCCTTTCTGTGCTGGGTAGGGCGGTGATTGAATCCCTTGTGCTGAACAAAACTGGAGACGGCACGGCAATTCCCCTGCGGAGTGGATGAGACGCTGGGTGGGGGAGGGGACACAAACTCCCTGACATGCGCCTTGGCTTTTGCCCCCTGGGTAGCCCAGTGCGCTCATGTGTCCTCCCCTGCCCCTCATTTCACCACCGACTCTTGCTATTTTCCACCAAGCTCAAAGCCTCATCCGTCCGTTGAAAACTACCAGGTACCATCTCGACCGTTTAACCCCCTACGACGTCAGGTACACCCTGGAAGCAGCGTCGAGATTTCTGCCACTGTATCGAAACCTAACTGGTAACCAGTGTCGTCGAAACCGAGTTCACCCGTGGCGACTAGCGCCCTTGCTCGTAGGGCAACTCCCCGCCTGCACTCAACTTCCCCTCTCTGTTCCCCTTACCCATCCCCCTTCGCAACTCCCTACTTCCAGCAGGAGGGAGGATCAAGAGCCGAAACTCGATCCACCACCGCAACGTACATACACTTGACGTTCCTAAAACCTACAGAACCATTAATAACCCAGTAATAATCCCAAGGCAATCATCCTCCCTCTCAACCCCTCACTTGTTCCCCGCAACCGCTTCCCTTCCCCTCGACCTTCCCAGTCTCGCATCAAGCCCTTCCCGATCGCCCAACCTTTGCGCGGCCGCAATCGCCTCCGCGCCACAACCCTAGTCCTTCCGCCGCCCCACCCTGCGAACGTGCGCAAATTGCCCGACCGATTGCTCCCCCCGGCTGCTGCGCAACCGCCTCCTTCAGCGCATCCGTCCGCCATGGCTCTCCCCCTTCTCCACTTGCTGTTGTTGCTGTCCCCTGCTGTTGTTGCTGCTCCATGTGCATCTCTGGTCGCTTTCAACCTCCCAACCTTATTCACATGATGCCCGCTGAAGGTAACAGCCACGATTCAGCCGCAACAAGAGCAAGATAGTAGCTTAGCTCAAGCCGCACAGCGTGTAACCCGCACAGCGTGTAACCCGCACAGCAACTGCTAGTTCGGCTGCGCTAGAGAAAGGTAGCAAGTTCAGTCAAGTCGCGTGGCGTGTAACCCGCTCAGCAAACTGCTAGCTTGGCTGCGCTCGCTAAGTTCCTCCGAAGCGTTCTTTTAGATTTCGTGTAAATATGGAATCATCGACAGAATCGAATGAAGAAACAGCTGATACATGCGATTGAGTGGAGTTCGAATCTGTAGTGGAACGGTCTTATTTCGCCTTTTCAGGAGGTCTGCTAATACCACCCTCGGCCTCGCTTGGCAATTTTTTCATAAAAATCTTCGTCGCTGATTGGCATTCATCAACAGAAGTATCTCCTTCACGGTAGACGCAGGGTCCGGTCGTGCATGCATCCCAGCTGTATTTTAGGGTTCCCGCATCCCTGGATGCATCGTGACCGTCGTTTTTCGAATTTCATTTAGTTTTTGGCGCGGATGTCATCGTAGCCGTACATCACGGTCCGCCTCTCTTCTCTTGAGCAGCCGCGAATCCCGGCAGCCGCGTCCAGCGGGGTCATGGGTTCGCGACGCAACTCCGGAAAGTCCAGAATCTCTCTTCTTTCAGGCTGGGCAGTTTTTCTAATATGCTCACTACTATGCGCGCATTCGCTGCGCGCGGAGAGCGCCAATAGCGCCGCCGATAGCGCTGACAGCTCACGCCCCGACAACCTTGCCTCCTGGAGAAACTCGGAATCTGTCTTATTCAGATTCCGACATAGATTCGTTCTCAGATTGGGACACGTATTCAGACACCTGCTGGCGTTCTGGGATGACACGTCAGCAGCTGCGGGTACGACCGTGGAGGGTTTGGGAGGAGCCGGGAAGGCTGCCGGGCCTAGGAGCGGCCGTCAGTTACTCCGACTTCTAGTCCCGACGGCGCAGCCGTTAACAGGCGCCGTTAAGACGAGTTTCGAGGCGCCGCAAGAGGCGGCGGAGCCTAGCAGCGGCCGTCATCTCCTCCGACTTTTGGTCGCGACGCCGCAGCAGCCGTTAACAGCTAAAGCCGTCACCGGCGTCGTTGGAACCGCCGTGAAATCCGCCGTTAAAACCGTCGTGAAAGCCGCTGCGGGTAAACTAGTACATAAACCCGTCGCGAAAGCAGCCGCCCCGGCTGGTCCCAAGGCTGGGTCGAAAACGGCAACGGCGAGCACCGCCAGTAGAGCGAAGCCGATGCATAGAGGCGGCGAGAGAAGCGAACGAGGAGATGGAAGTTACGGCGGGCGAGGCGGAGGCGGAAGAGACGGCGGAAGAGGCGGCGGGAGAGGCGGAGACGGGAGAGGTCCTCCGTGCGACCCGAACAAGAACCCTAGGAACTGTAGGAGCTGGCGCGGCCGCGGTTGGCCGGAGTGGCAGCAAGGTCAGAACTTCGGTGGCGGCGGTTTCGGCGGCGGCGACGACGACGACGGGCCGTACGGCGACGACAATTACGACGACAACGACGACATTGCGACGCCGACCCCCACGCCGTCTCCGCCGCCGCCGCCGGGGGAGGATATGGAGAGCGAGGACCGGTGGTGGGAGGGCGGGCGCGCGCACGTGATGTGCCACGATCGGGAGTGCACGCGGAGCAAGTGGGCGGGATACGTGCCGGATGTCGCGACGGCGGGCAGCGCGGTGACGGGCGGCGCGGGGAGCGGCGTGGCGAGCGACGCGTGGGTGCCTGGGATCGGGTCGGGCGGGCCGACGGAGGCCGTGCGACTGGGAATCGGCGACAGTGCGACGACGACGACGGCCATGTTTGAGTCGACGACCACTCCGCCCATCCCGCCTGACTCCGTCGCGCTGGGGTTCCCCACAGGACAGGTGAGACGTGAGAGAGGGAGCGACGCGATAATGCATTTCTGAGCCATTTAAACTCCGCCCATCCCTCCTGATTCCGTCGCGCTAGGGTTCCCCGCAGGACAGGTGAGGTGTGCAAAGGGAGCGGATAAGGAGCGGAAGGACGGTGTGGTGTAGTACTAGGAAGGGCCGTGCAAGTGGGAGTAAGAATCAGGCGAGGTGTGGTTGGCGGGGGATGGATTGAAGATGGCGGGTGATAGCGAAAGAATGGGGGAGGCGCATTGTTCTGCGTTGCGACCTTTGTCGCAGCCTTTGTCTTGCCCAACATTTGTCTTGCCCAACTTTTGTCTCGCCCAACCTTGCATTACCTTTCTGCCCTTTCCTTACCAAACCCTCCTCCTTTCCCTTCCGCTGCCTCCCCACCCGCCCCTCCGTCCGCCCCCGGCCATACTGAACGCGTCCCTGGGCGTCAAGACCAAAGGCACCCTCAGCGCACAGGCGTGACTCTATGTGTTTGCTTCTCGCTCTCCTCGCTCTCATCATTCCTTTGCCCCCCCACTCTCCCCTCCGTCCACCTCAGGCCATGCTCAACGGGTCTCTGGGCGTGGTGACATCCACAGCAGCAGCCAGCAGTGCTACAAAACTCTTGAATGTTCGTCCTTCCCCCCCTTTCCTCCCTCTCCTCCCCTCCGTCCACCTCAGGCCATGCTGAATGCGTCTCTGGGCGTGGTGACAACCACAGCAGCAGCGGCCGCTGGTGCAGGCGTGACGGTGACTGTGTCGTACAACATTCTCGTCGTTCCAGTCAACACCACCACCCTCTCATGCTTTTCTTCCCTCTCAATCCTCCATGCTGCCCCCCTCAGGCCATGATCAACGCATCACTGGGCGTGGTGACATCCACAGCAGCAGCCAGCAGTGCAACAATACTCTGAATGTTCGTCCTTCCCCCTCTCTCCCCTACCTTTCGCTCCCGCTGCCCCCCTCAGGCCATGCTCAACGCATCACTGGGCGTGGTGACAACCACGGCAGCAGCAGCCGCTGGTGCAGGAGTGACGGTGACTGTGTCTTACAACATTCTTGTCGTTCCAGTTGACACCACCTCCGACACCACTGCCAGTGCCACTGCCGGCACTGGAAGCGCTGGTAGCACTGCTGGTACAGTCAGCACCGGCAGTGGGAGCACTGTTAGCACTGGCAGTGGGGGCACTGTCAGCACTGGCAGCAGTGGCAGCAGTGGCAGCAGTGGCAGCAGTGGCAGCATAGGTACCACTGGAAATGCTGGTGGCACTACTGGTACTGGCAGCACTGGTAGCACTGATAGCGGCAGCAGCACCACAAGCAGCACTGATAGCACCACCAGTACCGCCAGCACCAGCAGCACTGGCAGCACCGGCACCACAGGCACCAGTACCGATTCCGGCAGCACTGGCAGCAGCGGCAGCAGCGGCAGTAGCGGCAGCAGCGGCAGCATTGGCAGCATCGGAAGCAGCGGGAGCATCGGAAGCAATACTGCCTTCGGTGGTGCCTCGTATCTAGCCTCGACATCTGTTTCTCCTTCCGTCTCTCCCAATCCATCCTCATCCCAAACTTTTTCCATAGCTGCGGTTTCAGGCAGCAGCACCACTGCCACCTCAGCAAGCAGCAGCACTGCTGCCAGCTCAGCAGGCAGCAGCACAGGCTCAACAGTTGCACAGGGAGGGCAGTTACTCCAACCCTTCACACCTGCCCGATGGTTCTTAACCGGTCCCGATGCCCGCGCCGCCGCTGCTGCTGCTGCTGCCACTGGCAGTGCCAGCGCAGCGTCTGCATCTGCCATGTCAGCATCCAAGGCATCTGCCACGTCAGCTTCCAAATCAGCGTCCACGTCAGCAGCATCATCGAAATTCATGGCGGCAGCAGCGACGGGGACAGCATCAGGGGGTGCGGTGAATGGCGGTGTGCCGTCCGCCACGCCGCAGTGTCAGGACGGGCCGTATGTGAGCGCTGCGCTGGTTCCTCTCGGCAAGTGCCAAGTGAAAGCGACAGCTACTTCAAAGGTTGTCAGGTAAGGATTGTGTCTCTCCTTCCTCCACTTCTGGGCTGTCTTAAAGTCAAAGCCACAGCTACTTCGAAGGTTGTGATGTTTTCACCTCTTTCTCATTGTCTCTTACCGTATTATGCTCTTCTTTTTCCATGTGGTCACACCTGTCTTAATACTCGACATCGGTAGGGAGATCAAGTTTAATACCTTACGCATAATGAAAACCGCCTTATGAAGGTCAAAACATGTTCGTAATCCGCCGTGCTCACTCTCTTTTTTTTTTTTTTTTTCCCTCCTCCCTTCTCTGCAACCTCCTCCCAGAATTAACAAGGCATGGTATGCCAAGCTGTCATATGGGGAACCCTGCGCTTCCAAATCGTCCTCCGTGGTTTATGTAGGCTGCCAGCGGAAATACACTTTCCAGGTGCCCAATTTTCAAGGGCAGGTGCGCCAGGGCCCGGTCACACTGCGCGTGTGCCAAGCGGGCACGGCTAAAGCATCCACTTGCGGACCGGTTACCATGACTTCAGCAGTACCTTACTGTGGCTAGCAAATCTACGTGTTTGCTTCCAGATGGGTGCTTAGTGTATCATAGTAGTTGATTGGTGGTGATTCAATTTCACCAACATATTTTATTCAGTTTTGTTTTTTTACTCCCTCTCTCTCTCTCGTCAATGAAAAGGAGACTTCTGGTTTGTGACTGGATGGATTTCGTACACCCTGTCCTGTAACTGGCTGCGCCCTAAATCGCGAATAATCTGGTGCGCCGTCACGCCACCACCACGAATCTCGCAAGCCAAGAGTTTGACCTGTGATCCACGGTAGCACTCGCTCGAAGCTTACATGATGTTTTGAACGTTCCAGTGACGTAAATATCTAGAATTCGAAGTGAGACACTCAAATAGCACATGAAATCGAAACTTGCTTGCCACCTGCAGCCAGTTCTGGCAACACGAGGATTTTACGGAACGGGATCTAACAAACCCTGATAATTCGCGGCGCCGCGCTCAGGGGCACGTAACGCGACTCCAAATGTCGCCCCTCTCTCCACCACTCCACTGCAGTCTCGTTCGCCTCGTTCATCCCTTCCCTTCCCTCGCCGCCATCCACCTTTGTTGCGTTGCGTGTGGCGCTCGGCATGACCTCACCCCGACCTGCCACCCACGCTACAGTAAAACAAAATGGCACCCCTCTCTGCATCGCCTACTCCATTCCGATCCCTACCAAACCTTCTTTACCGTAACCAACCCATACACCAATATCTGCTCCCTCCGTTCCACCCTCACCCCGCACCATGGTGACTTTTTTCCAAGTCAACAATCTCGTCTCCTCGAGTACCTCATCCCCCGCTGCACGACAACCATCGCTCTGCCCTTTCTCCACATTCAATACCATGGCGCGCTTGTCGTGTAAAGCTACGAGCCTCCTCCTCCTTCCCTTTCAGGCTTTTAGGACTACCGGGTCAGCAACAGGCTAGCGGGCACGCGAGCAGCACCAATCTTTGCGACCTGTTTGTCGTTTCCAGCTGGCTCATTAGCAAAAAAAAGAAATCTGCGGCATGGAACGGACCGCAGGGATGTTCGCGATCAGACGAATGGAGTGCTCTTCACAACACTAGCAGAACAACTGTAACAAATGTTTTCTCGTCCTATCGCCGCGCCCTCGTTTTCTTGACACTTCAGTTCCGCCCGAGGTAGCACTCCGAGCTTGCCGTGTTGACGGGCCATGGCGTACCAGGCTTGGGGGCGAGCGACCACAACGCGGATTGAGATGCTACAGTCGTAGCCTGTAGAATGTTCGGGTCGTGATTTCCTAGTCGAGTCAAAATTCACCTTATTGAGATGTTACAGTCGTAGCTTGTAGAACGAGTATGCGCGGCTCGTAGATTGAGTTGAGCCTAGGGGCGCTTTATGTCCGATTCGCTCTTGTTTCCCGCCGATAAGTGACTCGCTACGCGAATAAAGGATTGAAATCAGATGGCACGCGATCGCCGAAGGTGGCTGTTTCGAATTCAAATGTGGGTTTTAATTTCCGTTATTGTAGTACCGCATATAGTCGACTTAGCCACGGCCACGGACTTCAATACGAGAACGTCGGCCGCCGAAACCGTTGCAGCGGAATCGGCGCGCGGCGGGAGACATCTTATGCCTTGGAGCGTCAGCATCGTATTTAATCGCCAACGACGGCATGAACCACTTTTCGCGCTGTGGACGGCGCGGCAGCGAAAGCGCGATCCAAGCGCTGCTACTATGGAAACAACTGCCGCAGTGCCGGAAACTGATCCCGCTGCTTCAGCGGATATTAACGCTCGATTGATTGCTAATGCGGCTGGCTCATTTGCTGCGTCTGACGCTGCTTCTGCGTCTGTTGATGTCGAACCGAAGCAGTTCAGTTCGGAAAGAGGCTCGGTGCGGAGGACGCTCGCTACAATCACTCCTAAGACAGCCGGTAGTGCCATTAACGGTGGCACCGGCGTCGGCAGTAGCGGTGGTAGTAGCGGCAGCAGCAACAGTAACACCAGCACTAGCAGCAATAGCAACAGCTCTGGGAATAATAGCGATTGGCTTAGGAACAATGCAGCGGGCAACGTTAGTAGTAATAACGGGGGTAATAAGACGCAGCCTGTTGGTAGCAACAGCGGAGATTCCACTAGCAGCGGAGCGGTTAATAAAGGGAACAGCAGCAACAGCAACAGCAACAGCAACAGCAACAGTAACAGTAACAGTAACAGCTCAAGTGGCGGCGTGAGCAGCATGATTGTAACGGTAACACCGACGATTCCGGAAGACGCGGTAGCCACAGGCCTGCCGGCCGGCAAGGTACGGCCGTCTTTCTTGACAGCAAGCTGTTTGTTCGCTGGCTGGCTGGCCTCCTTCGCGTGCTTGTGAGGCCAAGATAGTATTTCTCAGTGTAGTATGAGAAAAAGGCACTCCACACGAGCTACCAACAAAATTTGTACTAATATACAACAATGCTCACAGCTCATGCATTGTCACTGTCCCCACTCCTCCAGCTCCAGTAATCTTTAGTCCGCCGTCCCAAGCTATCTCCTCCTTTGCCGTCACTGAGCCGTCCCGAGATTTCCCCTCCTTCGCCTCACCCCCTTTCCCTCCTTCCCCTTCCCCCTGCCCCCTCTCCCCGCGCCAGGCGGTGGTGAACGCCACGGTGGACATTCAGGAAGAGCCGTCCCCGAATGGCACCGCCACGCAGCCCGTGGTACGCGCTGCTGCCGTCCTCGTTACCATTTCTGTTTCTCTCTCCACTTAGGCGATTACGGTGACGCTTTCCAGACTGGAGAGGGAGAGGGAGCCAGTGGCTTACACAACAAGAGAAAACACGAGCTCACAGCACGAGAACACAAAAAACACGAGAACACAGTAGTAAACGGCAGCACCAGATAGTTGCGCCATCTCAATTCACCGCAACACACCGGCTCGCATCCCTCTCCCTCCTCTTTCTCACCCTTCGCCCCTCACGCTTTTCGCCCCGCTAGTTTCACCTTCCTCGCATTCAACCAGACCACACCGCCTCACATTCCCCTCCCTGCGTGTCGGCCCCTCTCTGCCTGTCAGGCCGTTTTCAACTACGACGCCTTCTATCTCCAACTCCCCGACACCTCTTCCACTCCCTCTCCTCCTCCTCGCACTCCTCCTCCCTCCTCCCCATCTCTTCCTCCTCCCTCTCCCCCTTCTCCTTCTCCCTCACCACCAATTTCCAAATCAACACCACCTCCCTCCTCTTCCTCCACCTCTCCTCCCCTCCCACCTAATTCCGGGACCCTCCTATCCGACACGTCAGGGCCCCCTAACGACCCTCCCAACCCGGGGCAAACTTCAGGTTCGGGAGGTGGGCCTGCAGGTTCGGCAGGAGGCGCGGGAAGTTCGGGAGGTGGGTCTGCAGGCTTGGCAGGTGGTTCGGGAGGGAAGGGGCAGAGCAAGCCTCAAAAGCCCTCGCCTCCTCCCTCGTCCACATCTCCTGCTCTCCCTTCTCCCCCAATGTCCCCCTCTCCATCCTCCCCTCCGCGTAAGCCTCCCTCCTCCCCATCCTCCTCCCCATCCTCCTCCCCTTCCTCTTCCCAGTCCCCCTCTCTTACGAAACAACCGCCTTCTGCTGCATCAAAGCAGCAACTGCCATCGCCCACCAAAGCAACCTCAGATGTCCCTGCTGCGCACCCCACCAAAGGAAAGCCTATCAGACCCAAGAGCCCATCCTCCCAATTCTTCCCTTCCTCTGATCCCAGCAGTAACGGCGTTCAGCAGCAGCAGCAGCAGCAGCATGAGCAGTGGCAGTGGCAGTGGCAGCAGCAGCAGGCCCAAATCCACCACCAAGTCATTTTCTCTCGCCACCACTGCCTCTGTAACCACACCGACGGTAACCACACCTGTGGTAACCAATCCAACTGCAACCCCAACACCCGGGGAGACGGAAGTGGAGACTCAGCAGCAGCAGCAGGAGGAGGAGCAGCAGCAGGCGCAGAGGATACTGGAGTGGCATCGGCAGCAGCGGGAGAAGCAGAAGGAGAATCCGCAGGTGCTGGCAATGGCCATGGCGGACCAGGCTGCAGCCAAGTTCCCCTCTTACACGCCCTACTGCTCTGCTGGGCCCTATGTGACTGCGGTGCTGATACCATTGGGCAACTGCCGCGCTTACCCCCGCGGCAACAACGCAAGAATCGTCAGGTGAGAATTTGGTTCGGGTGGCGAAGCTATTGGCTTGGTGTGGAATCTGTGATCTGGTGCCAAGGCTGTCAGGTAAGGAGGCTCTGCAGCCAAGTTCCCCTCCTACACGCCCTACTGCTCTGCTGGGCCCCATGTCACGGCTGTGCTGATACCTCTGGGCAACTGCCGCACTGTCCCACGAGGGAACAACGCCAGGCTTGTCAGGTGAGACGCCAGGCTTGGGTGCCGAAGCTGTTGGATTGGTGCGGAAATCTTATGGTCTGGTGCCAAGGCTGTCAGGTAAGGAGGGTTCCCCTCTTACACGCCCTACTGCTCTGCTGGGCCCCATGTCACGGCTGTGCTGATTCCACTGGGCAACTACCTCCTTCTAACCCGCCTCAACCCAAGCTTGTTTCCCCTTCCACCCGCATCTCCTCCCACTTTCCCAGGGCCGGCAATTCTCGTTTTATTCGCCTGGACCTTGGCCGGCCAGTGCGGGGGTGCCAGCGCTCGTACCGTTTCCAATTGGTCAATTTCCGAGGGCGTGTGGTGCGCGGCCCTGTGACTTTACGTGTGTGCCGCGCTGGCAAGCCCGGAGCCGCCACCTGTGGCCCCGTTACAGTCACATCCGCAGTGCCCAGCTGCTGATCAACGGGTGCTTGCAGGGAAGGGTTGGGGTTAAACGGGTAGACAGACAGGGATGGGATTTTGTGATTTTGGTGAGAAGCCTTTCTTTTGTTTGAAAAAGAGGCAGTTGTAAGCAATTATAGCCGTAGCGGTGTAGGTACAAAATTATCAAGAACCCATCGCTGTGTATTGTAGATTTCCTAACCAATAAATGCTGTGTCAGGTGAGGTTGTATGGTTTTACTTGTTCGTTGAGAAGTCATTTTAGCAGCATTGTGGAGCTACTTCACTAATTCGGCATTTCCAAGGTTATTTGCACACTTCTGAATCTTTAGCGCGTATGCGCAAGGACGAAGGCTGGCAGTGGCAAGGGAGAATGCTCACATGTCGTTGTGATTGGCTGCTCTGCTGCTTTGCTTTTCCCGCGAGCAGATGGAAACAGAAACTTGTCAGCGCGCCGCGTGTCATAGGCATGGCTGATTGTTGTCAGCCTCTTTCTTCCGACTGACCAGGCAAACATGGCAGCCAGTCTGCTTTCCCGAAGCTAGCTTCCAAGTTTTGCGTTCGTAACTAGGCTCGCTTCTTCCCAGGGTTTCTGCTAGTCGCTTAGGAGGAACCATAATAGCTTCTTGGCCGATCGAAGCCAAGAGATTTACTGGCAACCGTGTCTGATTATTCGGTGAATTCTCGCAACGTCGACTACAGATCCTGACGTATTAGTAGATTATCACTACCTGCATTGGCTCCCGTCCCATACCGATTTCTATCGAATACCGTCCGGGCACGCGCATCTTGGGAGTCCCACGGAGTTGCATGGTTTGAAGTGATTCGCCGTTTTGACCAGTTCGACAGCGGATTGACCAGTTTTGACCAGTTTGACCAGTTTGACTGGTTCGACCAGTTTTACGGGCTCAAGAGGCTCCGACACGGTTCGGATTCGAGAGACTCTTCAGCTGATTCTCAGGAAAGTTCGAACAGGTTAGGGCTTGGTTCGTTCGCGGGGACTTGATCTCGCGAATGGGCTTGGTGGTGGCTCTCCTGCACGGCTTGCAGGTGGCACCGGGCGTGCTGCTGCTTTGAGACGTCGCCTCCAGACGTACGGCTGGTCAACTCAGAAGTCGACTAAAAAAACACCTGAATGGGTCCGCTCGTCGCGCTCCTGCACGGTTTGCAGGTGCTGGGCGTGCTGCTGCTGCTCCTCCACACGTACGGCTGGTCCGTCGCCGCCCGCAACCGCCGCAAGTCCCTTGATCGCCTCCGCTCGCGTCGCCGCGCGTCCGCCGCGAAGCAGCCTCAACCCGCGACGCGAAAGCGCGGCGCGCAGCAACCAGGTGAGGGTAGTATCTCCACGGACGATGGCGGTGCGGGTGGCGATGGCTGTGGCGATGGCGGAATCGATCCGCGTGCCGGAGCGAATCTCACAAGTGGTAACACGACGGGAAACGCGGAGAGCTCGTGCTGTCCGCATTGGCCGGCGGTGGCGGTGGTGATGCCGGTGCGCGGCTTTCACGCGCACACGGCGAGCAACTGGGCGACACACATCACGGCGGATTATGCGGGGGCTATCGAATTTCTCATCGTTGTGGAGAGCGAGGCAGACCCCTCGTACCGGGAGGGGTGCAATCTCGCAGCGCGATTCAACGCTGCGCATAATGCGGGGAGGGAAGGGGAGGGGGAGGGGGTGGGGGAGGAAGGGAGGGGGCAAAGGGAGGAAGGCAAGGGGCAGAAGGGAGCAGGCGGAAGGCAGGGGGGGGCAGACGGGGGGGAGGGGAGGGAATCTATGAACGCAGGGGATGAGGATTGTGGAGAGGAGGACCTAATAGGCGAATGCGATAGTGCGTGCAGGCAGCAGGGGGAGGTGCATCTGAGGAAGGTTCGTGTGGTGGTAGCTGGCACCTCCACCACGTGCAGCCAAAAGATCCACAACCAGCTGGCCGGCGTTGCTGCCGCCCGTCCGGAAGCCGAATTTGTCCTTTTCCTGGACGACGATGCGAGAATGTACCCAGAGGCGATCACTTACCTCGTAACAGACATGATTTGCCGACCCGACACGTTCCTTGTAACCGGTTACCCGTTTGACATTCCGAACCCGGGGTCGCTGTTTTCGTACGCGGTGTTAGGGTTTCATCTGGTCCCGCTGGTTAACTTCTCGTATGATGCGGGCACGGAGTATATCTGGGGCGGGTGCATGATGCTCAGGCTCGGGGATTTCCGAAGCAACAGGCTCGGCATGGTGGATGTGCTTCGGAAGGGAGGGTACTCGGATGACATGACGCTGGGGGCAGTGGGCAACAGCATAAGTAGCAGCAGCGGTAGCAGCAAGAGCAGCACTGACAGGGGAAGCAGCAGCAATGCGTGTGAGGAATGTGAGAAGGCATTCAAGAAGTGGGAGCAGCAGAGCAGCAGCAGCCTTCCCTGCAGAGCCATCGAGTGTGCACAGCGACTCAGGCTCAGCAGACTCAAAACCATGCCGAACTGCCCTGGGCAGCAGCAGCAGCAGCAGCAGCAGCCCCAGACGCAACCCCAGAAGCAGCCCCTGGAGCAGCCCCGGCAGCAGCAACCCGCCCATGCTATCACCAGCCTACGCGCTCCTGGCGCACCCCCTAGACCCGCACTTCTCCTTCCGGCAGTTCTGGAGGTACCAGCGGCGGCAGCTGTTCACGCTCACCACGCACTTCTCCCCCCTCAACCGCCGCCTCAACCTCTGGCTGCTAATCATGGGCATCGCCTTCTCCTCCGTCATGACCGCTTCCATTGCCGTCTCCCTGTCGTGTGCTTTCATGGGCCTGGCGACACATTTGCTGCCGTGTGTGGGCGGTTATGCTGCACCGGTTTTGGCTGGAGTGCAGGAGGTTGGTTCGCTTGTGGCTGCTGCTGTGTGCTTGGCTCCTGCGGCCGGCTTACCTGAAACGAACACGACATGCAGCATTCCGAGTGGCGGGTTCTCACCAGTAGCTGCCCCATCGCCAGCAGCAGCAGCAGCAGCAGCAACATGGCTCACCGCAACCAACAACACGCTAGGAGTTTACCTAAGGCAGCCTGGTCTCCTCCTCCCCCTCATTCCCTCACTCCTTCAGCACACCATCACCCACCTCTCCCACCTCCCTCTGGGCGTCTCACTGGCTCTGCTCCACCTGGCCTCCTTTGCCCTCGCCTCTCTCGCCCTCCGTGCCATGATTGCCGCGCACATTCAGACCTGCCGCTTTCTGGACCCTCAGGCTCCAATCTGGCCAGATCGTGCGTCTGTGGCGGTGGCGGATAGAGGGAAATGTGACTGTAGCGAGCGGCAGTATGCGCTGTGGCGTGTGTGGGTTGGGTACCTTATACACAACAGCATGTACACCTTTTGTGCATTGCTGACATGTTGGGTGCCTTACATAGACTGGGCTGGTATTCGTTATAGTAGGCGTTCTGGCCGAATTATCAGTGGGTAGGGAGTTGGATGTTCACCCGTCAATGTCCTTCAATCTAGCCAAGAATCCGAGTATTTTTCTTTCATTCACATAAGTTTGTGTGATACAGGAAACAGGAGCTATTGACTTCTGGCTTATATGGAAACAAGGAATGTGATAGTAAAACCAACTATTATTTGGAAGGGGCTGAGCTTGCCCCATTATTTGCGTGCGCTTTGGGCAAGCTAAGCTTGCCCAGCAACGAATTTGCGCTTATGGGGGACATGTAGTGCGGCGATTACGTTGTCGGACCCAGGAAGCGACACCGTGAAAACATCGTCCGTCGTCGCATTCGTCTCTGCGACCTCGTTAACCGCCGTCTTCGTTTCTGCGACAGCTGGCTCTGCGACTTCCGCCCCCTCTGTGGCGACAACGGTCAGCCCCTTCCTCTCGGGCACGCCGTACGCGGTAATAACATTATCGGAACCCGGAAGCGACATCTGAAATGAGGTAGTCTTTTTCTTATTTCCACGAATGTTGAACGCCTGAATAACGTTGTCTGAACCAGGCAGCGACACGGATGCAGTGTTGTCGTCAGAAGAGGAAGCAGAAGCAGACTTGGAAGAAAGCGAGGCGGTTGCAGTGGTGGCCGTGGCAGTAGCGGTGGTGGTGGTTGAATCGCGGTCTGACTCGTCGGTAATCGCCACTACGTTGCTCTTCCTGTGGGGCACGTTGCGGGCCCAGATCTCGTTGTCCGATCCAGGGAGCGACACGTGGAATGTGGAATCCTCCTCGTCCTTCGTCACCTTCTCGTCCGCAATTTCCACATCGTTCGCGACGACGACCGTGCTGCGAGTCGCCGGCGTCGCAGGAACGCCGAATGCGACGATCTCGTTGTCAGAGCCAGGGAGCGACACGCTGAAGCTGCTTCTGGGCTTGGAAGCCACGTGGCTCCGGGGCTTGCGGATTGCCGCGATGACGTTGTCAGAACCAGGCAGGGAGACGGACGTGAGACCGGCCTCCTCGTTCTCCTCGTTGGCGGCCAGGCGCGAAAAGACGTCGTCGTTTTCGTCGTCCCAGACGATTTCGTTGTCCCTGTTGCCCGTTTCGCCAGCGGGTTCGGCGACGTCGTCGTCCCAAACAATTTCGACGTCACTGTTACCCGTGTCGCTAGCGGGCTCAGCGATTTTCGCCGCCCTGACATGCACGCGGGAGATGATCAGGTTGTCGGATCCGGGGAGCGACACCGCCACGTCAGCAGCAGCGGGATCCACGTCCTCCTCGAACGGAGCGACTTCGGGCGCAACGACGGCAGCGGATCTCGTTGGCTCGCGAGCTGGGTGAAACGGGAATGGGAACATGTGTTGAATTGGGTTGAATGGGTGCGTGACATGCGATCAGAGAGATCAAGGGGACTGGATGCGTGACTTGTGGTAGGGAAATGCTCGACCGGAGCCGGAAACAACTACAGCTGAGTCACTCAAAAGAGACGTCCGAAGTGTGCGGCAAGTTTGCAACCAACCCAACGGCGAATGCAACGATAATGATGGGTGGCTGGACAATGGAGGGGAAGTGATGGGTCTTCCTAGTCGGCTTTTGATGAGCCGAGTGCTCACCTTGGGAGTCGTCAAATTCGGAAGCGGAGGGAAGGATGGCGCCATGCGCGCCGTCGTTCCAGGCGGCCATGGCCATGCGGAAGAGGCTCGACGCGGAGAAGGGGGATTGGCTCTGCGGTGCGGTTTCTGCGCTAAGAGTCGAGGGGGTGATTGGCCGAGCGCCGTGAGCGATGGTCGCGCTAGCAAGCACGCAGAGAACGAGAAGGGGTACCGCTTTGTGAGCCATGGTGTTTCGTTTTTTCAGTGCTTGAGTGAACGCGCGAATTCAAACGACGACCAGGGCGAAGGAGACTAACGTGATAAGAAAGGAGTTCGGAGCAGCACTGCTAGATAGATTTGGAAACTTGCTCCACGCTAGAAAGCACTGAACTGGAGTTAGATTGATGAAAGCGAGGCAGCTTCAGCTCTACTTTATACGATGTGGAATAAGGACCTTCCCCTAGGTCTTGCCTGTTTTGTGGGGGGGAATGACTAGCTGTGTTGGGGCGAGTGTGACAGGATCTCACAGAGGGAACCCCTGTGGGAGTTGGCCGCAATGTGGCGCAGCGACATGACGATTTGCGTGAGGGGAGATGGGCTGTGCTGGTCAGGTGAAATTCATGGCTCTATTGCGACGAGGGAAATTCGCTGGCGAAATTCCAAATTTTCACGAGCGGAGCGAAGTCCACAACGGTTGCTCCGATAGTGGCCATTGGATGACGTCGAAGCGCACTAGGAGCGATTCGGTTGACCTAATGTGCCCACTCGCAAACATGTTGGCTCCATAGATGGCAAGCATGGGAACAGGTCATGGCTACGTAGCCTTCTAAAGCGTACGAGGTGCACATTACTTTTCCGTTGAAGGGCTGAAGTAAAGACTTATATGCAAATCTCCTAAAGAACGCCCATTAGAGCGATACATTTTCTGCAATACATGACTTTTGAACATCACGCTTACGGGATCTGACTATGAAGGTGGTTGTCGGCTACAAACGCGAGCTGACAACCATCTGACTATCGTCGCGTCAGCAAGTTTATATTCCACGCCCTCACAAAAACTAATGGACCAATCACTGCAAAATACACAGAACTGTGACGTGGAACGGCGTGCATTGAACTGTTGAGTTGCTAGGTTGGAAAGATCACAGATTCACCGAATTCACCGAACTGGTTTGGAGATGAACATTTTGTAGGAACAAGACTGGAATGAACGGCTGGATTCTCTCCTCCGTCAACGCAAACGCCCCAAAAACCAATGAACATGTACAAATACAGATCTTCGTGCATGCTCCCGCTACCAACTTCATTTGCTCTTCCTCGCAAATCCTCTCTAGTTCTCCTCTGATCGACCACAAAAGTTATTACAGGCCTGGACCAGTAAGGCAAGATGACGTGCCTGGACCAGGCCCTACTCGATCCGCAAGCACCGCGCGCTGTTCTCACCTCCGTTCCCTGCCGTCCCGCATTCGCCATGCCCAGCCACCTTGCGAGTCGCGACAGATTGGAGCAGCTCTGCTCGCGAGTTACAAACGCCGCCCTCCTTTGCCATCGAGATGTTTCATCGCATCCCAGCGGATCTTCAAATCCCACCAAATCGCCAGATCCAATCGGTTCTTTCCTAGAAAGAACGTCGAATAATGACGGCTCGTTTCTGGAGGGTTCTTCGGATCCGGTTTTCCGATTACTCGAAGAACGTCACGATCTTGATGATTTTGGCGGCTTGGGTTGTTTCGCGGTCTCCCTGCCGACGGAAAACGTGTTCGCGACCAGCCTACCCCGTGACGGTCGTCTGCTAGAGTTGACGGCTAGGGGTTTGGAAGACATTCTCGCGATTCGGCTTTCTGCAGCTGATCTGGCGGGAGCGTCAGATTCTGTTGCCGTGCCGTCCGCTCGAAGCGCCTGTGAGGATCTTGCCGCTAGCGTTGCTGCTGACGTGGCAGAAAAACCTGCCAGTGAGGATCTCGCCAGCGTGTCAGATCCCGACAGTGATTGGATCCTGCGGTCACGCGACTGGCTGCTTGAAACGCGGGATTCGCTATTGGAACGCAAATACGAGGTCACGGCATTCACGACTCGCGAAGTAAGAATGGGTTTGGACTGTGAATGCAAGTAGACAAGCCATTCAAGTTTGAGCAATGTTTTCTCCAAAGTATTTCCAACGCGATCCACTTAGCGCCTCGTCGCTTCCATCCCTTCCCTCCACCACCATCACTCACTCCTCTTTTCCTCGCCCCCCACCCTTCTTCACCCCCCTTCTCCCCACCCTCTCTCCGCCGCGCCGCTTCCGCTTCCGTCTTCTCCTCTCCCCTCCCTCTCCCCCGTCTCCCCATGCTTGGACCTTTGGTCTCTCGCCGCGCAGTGCGCCAGCCCGTCCCCTTCCCCCCTCCCCTTCCCACTCCCTGACCTCACTTCCACCCCCCCTCCGCTCCTCCGTCCCTTCGTGCCTGCAGGGGTTGGACCTTTGGTCGCTCGCCGCGCAGTGCGCCAACCCGTACGAGCTCCTTGCTGACGTGGCGTCGCTAAACCCCAACCCCGTAGCGGCATCGACCTCCGCGTCGGCCTCTGGAATCCCGGCCTCCCCCATCGGCGTGTCCCCCCATCCCAGTTGCGCTTCCCCGCAACCCTCAAGCTCTTCCCCCCAACCCATAAGCGCTTTCCCCCACGCCTCCCCCGCCCTGCGCGCCATCAGCCGCGCATTCTTTAAAATGGTCGAAATGGCGCGCCTGTTCCGCCTGCTGGGGGGAGCCGAAGGGGGAACCGCTTCCCAGGAACTTCTCCTGAAGGTTACCGCTTCCCCCGTTTCCCCTCCTCCGCCCCACCCGTTTGTCTCCGCGCACCTGTGTGAGGGGCCGGGGGGGTTTATTCAAGCGGTGCAGCTGCTGCTGCCGGAACAGGCGGTGGGGAGAAGCGGGGGAATGGCGGAAGGCGGAAAGGGAGGGGTAGGGGGAGTGGGAGCGGATGTGGGAGTGGACGTGCCGAGTCGTGGTTGGCAGCACTTGTGGTTCGGAATCACTCTCCGAGGCAAGGCTGCTGTAGGCTCGGCAGCTGTTGGCTCGGTTGTTGGTTCACCACCTGTTGGTTCGGTTGCAGATTCGGGAGTATGTGTGCCGTTGGGTGCTGGTTCTGTTGTGAGTGCCGGTGAAGAGGGGTGCAGAGCGGTGGTGCAAGGGCATGGGGGAAGGGGGAGTGGGAGGGGTAGTGTATTGGGTGGGACGGTTCATGGAAGGGGAAGGGGGGAAAGGGGAAGAGGAGCGGGAGGAGGAGGAAGAGGAAGGAGAGGGGAGTGGGGAAGAGGGGAGGGAGGACAATACAGGGAAGGAGGAGAATCCACAAACGATATTAAGGGCGATTCCAGTGGTAGAGGGGAACGGAGATCAAGGGCTATTCCTGTGCCAGCGTCCGCTTTTGAGGCGCCTCAAAAATTCACAGAAGATATTCGGGGCACTTCTAGTGGTAGAGGGGAAAGGAGATCACGGGCTATTCCTGTGCCAGCGTCAGTAAGGGGGGCCAGAGGTGGGGGGAGGAGCGGTAGGGGTGGGGGAGGCAGCGGCTGCAGCAGCCCTGGCAGCAGCAGAAGCAGCGGCAGCTGGGAATAACAGCAGCAGCAGCAGCAGCAGCGGAGGGAGCAGCAGTGGCAGCAGCAGGAGCGGCAGCGCTGAGTGGAGGGAGCATCCGCTGCATTGGAAGCCGCATCAGCAACAGCGCCAGCATCAGTATCAGCATCAGCAGTCACAGCAGCAATGGGTGCAGCGTCAGATGGAGCAGCACCAGCACCACCGGCAGCAGCAGCAGCAACAGCATGAGAAGTGCGATCCGCAGAGGACAGGTGTTGGCTCGGCAGGTGCAGGCTCGGCGGGTGTTGTCTCACTTGTGGCAAGCAGCTGTTCAGTCGAGAAGGGAGGGACCCAGAGTGGGGAGCGGGGAGGGGGGGGCAAAGCGTGTAAGAGCAGGAGGAAGAGCGAGAAGAAACGGTCCAAGCAGCAGCAACAGCAGGTCACAGGGGAGGTGCAAGCAGTCACAGGTCAGGTGCAGCAGCACCGCTCGCCTCTGCGCCCTGTCAACCAGCAGCCCCCTCTGATGCCTGCCTCTGCCGTTGTTCCCACCAATGCCTTTCACTCTCCTCTCCCTGCGCCTCACCCTGCTTCCCATCCTGCCGTCCACCCTGCCGTCCATCCTGCCGTCCACCCTGCCGTCCACCCTGCCGTCCACCCTGCCGTCCACCCTGCCGTCCACCCTGCCGTCCACCCTGCCGTCCACCCTGCCGTCCATCCTGCCGTCCACCCTGCCGTCCATCCTGCCGTCCACCCTGCCGCCCATCCTTCCTCGTACTCTGTCCCGCACCCTGCCCCCTCTGCTGCCTCTGCCGGCCCTGGGCATGCGCCTGACTTTGTGCTGGGGCTGCTAGGGTGGCAGGGAGGGGTGCAGGGAGGGGCGCAGGGAGGGGCGCAGGGAGGGGCGCAGGGAGGGGCGCAGGGAGGGGCGCAGGGAGGGGCGCAGGGAGGGGCGCAGGGAGGCGGGCAAATGGTTAACGGTGGTGCGGGTATCTTGGGCAAGTATGGTGGTGCAGAGAAGGACGGGGGATGCAATGCTGTTGGGTTAAAGGAGGGGGAAGAGGAGGGAGAGGAGGGAGAGAATGAGGAGAAGGAGCACTGTGCCCTCTGCAGTCCTCTGCACAGCTCTGCTTCGTTACAGTCACACTCGTTGCAGGCACAATCTAAGCTGCTTCCACAGTCGATCGTTTCGCCCGCCATCAGCTTCCAGGCAGCTTCCTTCCTGTCCCACGGTCACGTGCTGTACGGCACGGACGGCACAGGGGACTTGACTCGTCATGCCAACGTGGCAGCCTTCGCTGCTGACGTCATCCGGGGCAGCCACGTGGTCGGGGGGTTGAACGGTTCAGCAGGCTGCCAGGCTGGCAAGCCTGAAGGTGGCAAGTCAGCAATCGAGGGAGGGACGGCAATGGAGGGAGGGACGGCAATGGAGGGAGGGACGGCAATGGAGGGAGGAGGGGCACTTGAGGGAGGGGCGGCACTGGTGACAGCAGATGGGGGGTTGGACAGCTCAGTGGACTGGGACCGACAGGAGGCCATGCACGCCCGCCTTGTCTTCTGCCAAGTGCACGCGGCTCTCAAGCTGCTGGTGAGACTGATGGTGCTCAGTTGTCCCCTTGTGGTGTGGTGGTGGGTGGGTTATTGTGGGTTTAGTCGCACTCCCTGGGAGGCCATGCACGCCCGCTTTGTCTTCTGCCAAGTGCATGCCGCTCTCAAGCTGCTGGTGAGAAATTTTGGTGCTTGTGTGTAAGGACGTTTCGTGTGGAGGGTCTGATTGGGTGAGTGTCTTTCAATGGTCTATGGAGTGAATGTCATCACACGCATTGAACGCCATGACTCCCTCACACTCCCGCCTGTCCCCTCCTTTACAACCCCTCTATTTTCTCTCCCCTGAACCCACCAGGCGCCAGGGGGCACGTTCGTTCTCAAGCTGCTGGGCTGTTCGCTGCTGTCAACGGCCTCCCTCCTCGCCCTCCTCGCCCTCTCCTTCCGCTCCCTCCACCTCGTCCGCCTCCTTGTTTCCTCACATCCCCTTCCCCTTTCTCCCCCCCGCCCCCCCCCTTCACCAGGCGCCAGGGGGCACGTTCATTCTCAAGCTCCTGGGCTGTTCACTCCTCTCAACAGCCTCGCTCCTCGCCCTGCTCGCCCTCTCCTTCCGCTCCCTCCACCTCGTCCGCCTCCGCTCCTCCCGAACCTGCAACGCCGAACGATACGTGGTGGCTCGGAGATTCAAGGGAAGGAATGTGACCTGTCAATCCTCCCCTTCTTCCTCCACCATCCCCTCTCCTGCCCCTACCTCTCCCTCCTCCGCCTCTCCCTCCTCACACCTCCCCTTCTCCACCTCTCCCTCCCCCCCCTCTCTCTCTCACATTCTCCTAGACTTAGACCGAGTATCCCTTCACTGGGAATCCCTCCCTCCTCCCCTCTCCCCTCTCCTCGCTCCCTCACTCACTCTCCCCCTCTCCGACTCCTTCCTCCGCGCTCTCCTCTCATTTGAAGCATGCATGCAGCAGCAGCAGGCACACGCCATGGGGCGCGCACTGCTTGTAGGGGAGCAGCTTGTAGAGGGGATACCGAGAGGGCCGACGAGGAAAAGCAAGTGCTATAGGAAGAGGAGGGTGCTGTGGCGGGAGGAGGAAGGGATGAGGAGGAGGGGGTGTGAGTTGGCCAGGGGGCTTGGTCTGGGTGTGAAAGAAGGCATGGGGTGTGAGTGAGATTCTCGCTCCCTCACTCACTCTCCCCCTGTGAGTGAGAAGTCTCGCTCCCTCACACACACTCCCCCTCTCGGACTCCTTCCTCCGCACCGCACCCTCCTCTCGTTTGAAGCATGCATGCAGAAGCAGCAGTCACAGGAAGAGGAGGGTCCTGTGGGAGGAGGGGGAGATAAGGAGGAGGGGAAGATAAGGAGGAGGGGAAGATAAGGAGGAGGGGAAGATAAGGAGGAGGGGAAGATAAGGAGGAGGGGAAGATAAGGAGGAGGGGAAGATAAGGAGGAGGGGAAGATAAGGAGGAGGGGAAGATAACGAGGAGGGGAAGATAAGGAGGAGGGGAAGATAAGGAGGAGGGGAAGATAAGGAGGAGGGGAAGATAAGGAGGAGGGGAAGATAAGGAGGAGGGGAAGATAAGGATGAGGGGAAGATAAGGAGGAGGGGAAGATAAGGAGGGGAAGATAAGGAGGAGGGGAAGATAAGGAGGAGGGGAAGTTAAGGAGGAGGGGAAGATAAGGAGGAGGGGAAGATAAGGAGGAGGGGGTGTGTGCTGGCCATGGGACTTGGATTGGGCGTGAAAGAGGGGATGGCGTGAGTTTGATTAGTGTTGTGTGTATCGTGTATGTATGTATACCAGCGGCTGTAGTAGCAGCAGCAGCCACAGCAAGTAGAGGGCGTGGCGCAGTGCGTGTATGGTACCAGCTCGTAAAGCGGATGCGGATGAGGAGCAAGTGTTATAGCCTTTTAGGACGAGGAGGGTGCTGTGGAGGGAGGAGGGGGTGTTGAGGAGGAGGGGGTGTTGAGGAGGAGGGGGTGTTGAGGAGGGGGGGGTGTTGAGGAGGGGGTGTGTGCTGCCCAAGAACTTTGGCCTGGACATGAAAGATTGCAAGGAATGGAGTGTGTGTGAGTAGTCTGGTGTGTATCATGTACCGGTATGTATGTATACGAACAAGAGCGGCACCAGCAGTAGTGGGTAGAAGCCATGGGGTAAGCATTGCCTGTAGGGGCGCAGCTTGAGGAGGTTGACGTGGAGTGGATGAGAGGAGGGGGAGTGTGCTTGGCTTGAGTGTGGTATTGATATGCAATGTGTGTGATACGGCTTTTGTATGTATAGTAGTCCTGCTTGTGCAAGTACCGTAAGCACTAATAAAAGTGGGTCCTTGAATCGAGCGTAGTGTACAGGGTGGGGAGGAGCTTGGAGTGGAAGCACGGGCATTAGTTGATGAATGTCTGTTGCAGCAACTTGGTACTGATTCGTTACACAACAAGGTACTGTAAATGAAAATCATGCGTCGTGTACCCGAACTTATAATTGTCCACACTTGGAAACGCGAACCTGTAGCGAGGATCGCTTCTTCCTTCCCCTCTCCCCACCACCACCGCCTCCACCACCGCCGCACTCTCTCGTGTCTCCTTGGAGAAGAAATCGCGTAGCAGCCTCGTAGTAGCTTGATCCTGCTTGAAGCCTGCTCGCGTCTCGCGATCCCACGAAAGAGCCAAGGAAACCCACAAGCTAGTGGGATCAAGTCTGCCCTCTGCGTAATCCTGCTCTTCGGTTCGCGTGGCTTCCACTGACACAGCTTCAGAGCGCTTGAGATTCGATATAGCGAAGCCGTTCGTATGGTGAACCGGTACTAGCGAAGCGGGCCATGTGGTAACCTGATGGTAGAGGCCGTTTTGCTTCTCGAGGCGTCATTACGCCAGGCCCATGCGTAAGGGAAGTGACCACTGAATTAGGTACAACATCACACCATTTGTCGCCAGACTCCGTTCGCGAGCTTCGCCAGGCTCCTTTCACGAGGGTCGCCGGACGTCTGCCCACTCCCGTCCCCCCACATTCGTCTCGCGAACGTCGCCAGCGCCGTTCGCGATCGTCGCGATGGCGAGTCAGAAGACGGTGGCGACGGTGATCCGGCTGGTGATCAACGCGGGCCAGGCGAAGCCCGCTCCCCCTGTCGGGCCGGCCTTGGGCCAGCACGGGCTCAACCTCATGGCCTTTTGTAAAGACTTCAACGCGCGCACACAACACATCAAACCGGACGTGCCCATTCCTGCACTGATTACGGCGTACTCGGTAAGTGTCAAGGCACGTCAACACTCGGTTTCGTTGACTTTTTCTGAGCTTGTCGCTGTCAGAAGGCGGTGGCGACGGTGACGACGGTGACGACGGTGATCCGGCTGGTGATCAACGCGGGCCATGAGGTTCAGCCCGCGCTGCCCGTGGGACCTGCGCTGGGCCAGCACGGGCTGAACCTCATGGCGTTCTGCAAAGACTTCAACGCGCGCACGCAGCCGCAGCACATCAAACCAGATGTGCCCATTCCCGTGCTCATCACCGCGTACTCGGTAAGTGTCCCATGCTGCCTGCCTGATGATCTCTGTCGCGCCTCAGAAGTTGTTTTCAGTGAGTGTGTATGCTGCTTGACATAAAACCCGACATGCCCATTCCCGCACTGGTTACTGCATACTCAGTGAGTGTCTGTGCTGCATGCAACCATACCACACCCTGCCTTCCCTTATCCCTTATCACCGCGTGATTGCTGCCATGCAGCACCTCCCTTATCTTCTTCATCAGAATCGCTCATCTTACATCATATGCTCCGCTACAACCTCCGGCTTCCCCCACCAGCCCACACATTTCCCTTTTTTTTCACCTCCCTTATCTTCTTCATCAGAATCGTTCATCTTACTTCATGCCCTCCCGCTCCTCCTTTCCCTCCCCTCCAATCATCTTCCCCCCTTATCCCCCACATGTCCCGCGCGGTCCTGCTTTCACCAGGATCGTTCGTTTGATTTCATAATCAAATCCCCACCCACGTCCTACTTCCTTAAGCGGGCGGCGGGGCTGTCTCTGGGCGGCGGGGAGGCGGGGCATCAGGTGGTGGGCGAGGTGTCGTTAAAGCACGTGTACGAGATCGCCAAGATAAAGCAGCAGGACCCTGGGTGCAGCTACATTCCTCTCGAGTCCATCTGTCGATCGGTCATTGGCACGGCTAGGTCCATGGGGATTCAGGTGAAAAGATCACTAGAGGTCCCCAGCACGAGCAGCTGATTGGATCAGGCTGGATACGGTTGGAACAGTTGTTACCCGTAACGACGTTGTGGTGGTGGCATGGTTTTTCCAGACAGCAGGGTGTTCTAGGCAACCGTAAGATAAAGCAGGAGGAACTGGGGTGCAGCTACATCCCTCTGAAGTCCATCTGTTGCTCGATTTTAGGAACAGCTAGATAGGTCGATGGGCATTCAGGTGACAAGATCACTTGGGTTGCAGGTTCCCACCTGATTGGACTGTTGTGGAATTACCGTAACCTGGTGCTCTGCTCAGTTAATTTCAGCTGCTACTTGAGCCTACAGCAAGCCCACTGTCTGTCAGGTTTGGTTGGCAATGTTATTGGTCTGGCAGCTCCAGGTTTGCCCTGGGTGACAGTTGGCAGAAGAATATGCATACATACAGATAGCCTGAATTTCATGTTACGGTACAACTTGCAACGTTCTAGTACAAGTGAATCACCTCAACTTCAATGCCCGAAATTCACAATTTGAAACTCAGATAACAAATACGGTAACAAATATTCACGAGCAAGGCATGAGGTCCAAGATGAATACTCTATTTGCAGCTTCTCAAATGAGAAGCTTCTCAATAGCGTCCTGCAGGACAAACAAGGGGGGAAAAAAAATCAGAAATGATTGAAACCCTCACACTTTACACCTGTGCGTGCACTCAGCAGAAAATCACGCGATCACAATATCCGGAAATGGTCGAAAAGAGGAAGCATTGATCACCGTACCTTGAGGTTTTGGATCTGCGATTTGAGCTGGCTACCCTCGTTGGACGTCACCGAGCAAGCAATCACAGGCCGCGACACGCCGCACGCGCGCCCCAGTGCCTCCCGCGACGGCACAAACACGTACGGCACGTTCTGCATCGCAGAGGAAGCGGGAGGGTGCGGTGCGCGGGGGAGAGGAGTCGGGAGATGAGTGGAGGGGAGGGGGGGAAAGTGGGGAAGGGGGGGGAGGGAAGGGGGGAGGATGTTGGGGGAGGTAGCTAGTAGCAGCAGGAAAAAAACAAATCAGACATGCAGACGCGACAGGCGCGAGAAGCGCGACAGACGCAAGAACGCACCTTGTCCTCGGCGAGCAGCGGCAGGTGCAGCAGAATCTCGAGGGGCTCCGCGTCGGCCGCCATGACGACGAACTCCGAAATGCCGCGGTTCAGCGTCTTGGTCGCTGCACATGCGTGAAATGCGCGGAATATTGAACACGGGAAGAGCGGGATACGATGGGTATTTGAGACGTCGAGGCGGGAAAAAAGGGGTCAGGGGAAAGTGGGGGTCTCTTGGTGGCGGAGGGGGTTAGCGGGGGAGGAGGGTAGGGAGCCAGCATATAACTAAGATAATGCATGCGTTTATCAATCCAAAGGCATACTCCTCGCGACTTGAAAACTTTGGGAAAACGTAAAACCCTGGGGCAGCACAAACCAGGCACACATGCTCGCTCTACGACCAGCTTAGTCTGGCGTAACCCTGGATCTGAGCACGAGACGAAGGTATGCGGCAGTATCGCCGAACTTACCTTCATTCGCTCCCTTGCGAAGCTGCTTGTAGTTAGAAGCCTGCTGTACAATGTCGAGGATGGTGATGGTCAGCTGAGCATCAGCCAAAGGGTAAGCCTTCGGATTCACAGCCTCAGAGCCCTGCGCGAAGAACAGGGAAAAAACGATTAGGCCGTTGTGAAGAACCCCACAGATGAACTCCTCTTAAAACTGGTGATTTGGTTCACCACCAAGGTTTAGACACGAGCTAAGACGTGAGGTTCTTGCCAATTCCATCATACACGAGCGGTGAAAAGGAAGAACGATCGAGGAGGCTGCTTACCATGGCTAATCCCTGGCCGTGACCCGGGGTAACTAGGTTCAAATGGTGGCGGGAACTAAAGACCAGAAACTCTGGTAACACCTGATGCTTTGGCGAGGCGAGAGGTAGAAGTGCCGATGAGGTTTTGGCGAGGAATAGACATAGCAATTGGGAGGGATCTTCGAGAAAGCAAAGCCGCTCCCACCCACTATCGAAAAGTTGATTCTATCGAAGGGAGTCCTGACGAATTCGTAGACAGAGTTTGATCTCAAGGGGAAGCTGTTCTATGTGTCTATTTTTTGCGAAGTGTAGCGTAACATTCAGGCGGTTGCGACTTCTTGGCAGCCTGACTCCGAGAAATCAAACCAAGCTGGTTTTCGCCGGGCCGCTCTGACACAAACGGCCTCAGTTGACAAGCTCCCTTGTGGGATTATCCCATTTCCAAACCTCACTCCCGCCACTCGCCTTTCGTCTTCCAACCGAAAGGCACCACTGGACAGCTACGGGAAGTATAACCGAACCTCCCTGTGCCTTGTGGAGGTCAGGCGCAAACGCGCTCCTTGGTGTACCAAGCCTGCGGAGGTTTGGTCTCGGTGACATAATGACCCTGTCGAACCTGAACAAACACCGAGCCCTCCAACTGGTTCTTCCCCACAGTTGACCAACCTAGAGAAATCCGAGAACAGAGCATGAGGTTGAGTTCGAGTTCTAGACCAGATGATCTAGCAGGAACTTAAGTTATCTATCCATCAGGAGCCTCGTCATGATTTATCATCAATGATATCAGAGCGTTTGACCGTTTGTACGGCCAAAACAGGAAGATAGACCATTCTACCAGCTTCTGCCAGATTCTGGCCATGGCGTTTTCTCAGTCTGAAGCACGATGCTGATTGCCTCGTCGAAATGGTGGAATTCCATGCTAGTTTTCTCACCTCTCTGGCCTTTCTAGATAGACAAGCTATTTATTAGCCTTCTCTGAAGTCCTGGCATGTTCACTGCCTCTTAACAGCAACGACATACCCATACATCAGCAGCAGCAATCATGGTCGCTCCCTCGTCAGTCCTCAGTCTGAAAATGATTCGCAACGCGACATGGGCCAGACAGAAGCAGGACGAACCATCGCCAACCCCGCCTGTTGCTCGCCCAGAACGCATGCTGTACGCCTCCTTGCTACCCTTTCTGTTGAGATGCCTCTAAGGTCTACCTCCAGTCGTATTTTTAAGACTCTGTGAATTCCGTTTGATCGCTCGTACATTTTTCGACAATTCGCGTTCTGCCCCTTTGAACTTCCAAAGCCAGCTATATACCAGCTTTTACTATTCGCGTTCTGTTTTTTTTACTCGCCGGAAGCCAGCCGATACTAGAGATACCATGTCCAGCTTTTTCCTGTGTGCTCTTACCCTAAGAGCGTGCAAACACAGAAGCAGTCAGATCGTTAAGTCGATTCAGAAGCTACCAGATGGGACGTTGTATGTTGTATTGGGCAACGCATTCTGGTCGCCTGGTCGTGCGTGAATCGACAAGCTTGGAAGCTGAGCGTGTGCACAGCGTGTGCACAGCTTGTGCACAGGCTCATGTGAGCGTGTGTGTGCATGCGAGCATTTGAACATATTTGTCGTCTACACACGCGCCACACCGCGGGTTTGTCATGGATTCGTGTTCCCCTCCATTCTGCTACTGATGGTGTGATGGCACGATGGTATGACGGTCTGATGGCACAATGGTATGATGGGACGATGGTATGACGATATGATGGTATGACGATATGATGGTATGGTGCGATGCTGTTGCTCTACCCTGCATCAGGGACATGTACGGGTTCGCGGTGCAGCCACAGTACGTGGATGTCTACAAGGCCTACGTTCCCGTTTACCATGTGAGTTGCCCTCATGCCGTCCGCCCGTCCTCGACTTTCTAGACGTCTCAAATCGCGGTGCAGCCACAGTACGTGGATGTCTACAAGGCCTACGTTCCCGTTTACCATGTGAGTTGCCCTCATGCCGTCCGCCCGTCCTCGACTTTCTAGACGTCTCAAATCGCGGTGCAGCCACAGTACGTGGATGTCTACAAGGCCTACGTTCCCGTCTACCATGTGAGTTGCCCTCATGCCGTCCGCCCGTCCTCGACTTTCTAGACGTCTCAAATCGCGGTGCAGCCACAGTACGTGGACGTCTACAAGGCCTACGTTCCCGTCTACCATGTGAGTTGTCCTCATGCCGTCCGCCCGTCCTCGACTTTCTAGACGTCTCAAATCGCGGTGCAGCCACAGTACGTGGACGTCTACAAGGCCTACGTTCCCGTCTACCATGTGAGTTGCCCTCATGCCGTCCGCCCGTCCTCGACTTTCTAGACGTCTCAAATCGCGGTGCAGCCACAGTACGTGGACGTCTACAAGGCCTACGTTCCCGTCTACCATGTGAGTTGCCCTCATGCGGTTTCCGGTCCTCGTCTACTCAGCCGTGTACCATCTACTACCATTAAAAATACAAGTCTGCTGTGTCCCCGTGCTGTGTAGGCAGGCAGCCCATTGTCCCTGTGCTTCTGTCCGTCATCCCACCCCTCCCCCTCCTCTCAAACCCCCACGACGACAACCACAACCTCCCTCACCCCTTATTTCCCTCCCCACTCGCCAGGATGAGGAGACAGAGCGGTCGGAGCGGTGGGACTCGTTCCTGGGCGCGCGCGACCTGCCCTTCCTTCCGCCCTCCACTGTGCCGACCCGCGCGCCTGCTGGAGAAGCAACCTCTGGCGAAGGCGCTGAAGAGGGGGGCGGGGAGGGGAGGTTCCGCGCAGGGTTTAGGGAGGAGCTGTGGGCGGTGGAGCGCGTTTTGAGGGGCGCTTCTGTGGCAGGCGCGGGGAACGCAGGGAGGAGTGAAAGGGATTTTGGAAAAGAGAGAGGAGGAGAGCGAGTAGGAGAGGGCAGCGGGGAGGGCAGCGTAGCAGGCAGTGGAGAGACGGGAGGAGAGGAGCAAGGAGGAGGAGGGGGAGAGGGAGGAGGAGGGGGAGAGGGAGGAGGAGGGGGAGAGGGAGGAGGAGGGGGAGGAAGCGAGGGAGGAGAAAGTGGAGCAGGCAAGGGGGCGAGTGGGAGTGTGGTGACGGAGGAGGCATGGAGGGCGGAGCTGACGTCCCTAGTGATGGGGGGCATACCCATGAACATGCGCGGCGAGGTGTGGCAGATCTTCGTGGGGAGTGCAGCGAGGAGGCAGGAGGGCGTGTATGAGGCGCTGCTGAGGGATGCGGGCAGGGAGGAGGAGCACGGGCCCAACAGCAGCCTGGCGGAGATCACTGCAAGGATCCATGAGAGGGACGCTGAGGTCGCATGCACCGTGCAGATCGAAAAGGTGTGCTGTATTGAATGATAACGCTTGTGGGTCGCTGCTGTCCCCGTTGCTGTCGTTGTTTCTCTGCTCTTGCAGCTTTTACCCATTGTGGTCTCCCCGTAGGACCTCCCTTGCACATTACCCCCACCACACTGCCTTAGACACCAAGGGGCAGACGCTCTGCTGCGGTTGCTTATAACTCCCTCACTTGTTCTCCTCCGCTGTTGTCCCTGCTCTCCGCTTGCCTCTTTCACTACTCTAGGACCTGCCGCACACCTTCCCGGGTACCCTGCGCTGGACGCCAAGGGACGGGACGCACTGAGGCGGCTGCTGAACTCTTCTTTCCCCTCCATTCCACTTCCTAACTATCCGCCCTCCCGCTGCCCCATTCCCTACTCTAGGATCTGCCTCGCACGTTCCCCGGTCACCCCGCCCTGGACGCCAAGGGGCGGGACGCGCTGAGGCGCCTGCTGGTGGCGTACTCGCGGCGCAACCGCGCGCTGGGGTACTGCCAGGGCATGAACTTCCTGGCGGGGCTGCTGCTGCTGCTCATGCCTGAGGAAAACGCCTTCTGGTGGGTGGAAGTGTGGAGAGGTAGAGGGCAGTGGGGGATGCATGGGTTGTTGAGGGAAGTGGGGGATGCATGGGTTGTTGAGGGAAGTGGGGGATGCATGGGTTGTTGAGGGAAGTGGGGGATGCATGGGTTGTTGAGGGAAGTGGGGGATGCATGGGTTGTTGGTGGCGTACTCGCGGCGCAACCGCGCGCTGGGGTACTGCCAGGGCATGAACTTCCTGGCGGGGCTGCTGCTGCTGCTCATGCCTGAGGAAAACGCCTTCTGGTGGGTGGCTTATAGGGAAGTGAGGGCACAATGGCAGGTGGTGTGGTGTGCGGGGAGGGAATTGAGGTGTGTGAGGAGGTGTGGAGGAAAACTGCACGCTGGGGTACTGCCAGGGCATGAACTTCCTGGCCGGGCTGCTGCTGCTGCTCATGCCTGAGGAAAATGCCTTTGGTGGGTGGCACTGGTAGGGGTAGAGTGGTCATCCTGGTAAACGTCCAGTGGGTTCGAAATGCGCTCCCTGATAGGCCTACCTGCTTCAAGTCAGCTTTCCTTGAGGTACCTTGTGAATTGGCGTCGCATCCCACTGCTCCCCTTTACCTGTGTTCCACCTCCGGTCCCCACACGTACCATGCCTATTATGTCAACCACCCCCCTTGACCCTCTCCCCCTCCCCTCCCCCCCCCCCCAGTGCGTCACGATGCTGACAGCCATAGTGAATGATCTTTTCTGAGGATACCACGAGTTTTGAGTCGACTGGGATTCTGTTTTCCCCACCACTCGCCCACACCCACCATGCCTATCGTGTCGATCCCCTCCCTCCCCCTCGCCCACATGTGTCAGGACGCTGACGGCCATAGTGGACGAGCTGTTCCGAGGATACTACTCCGACGAGATGGTTGAAGCTCAGGTAGGATGGATGGGGGGGTGGTGAGATGGGAGATGGGCGGGGTGGGATGGGGGACAGGTGAAATGGAGCACTGGGTAGGCACAGGTGTGTGGGGCGGCATGGGTGTGAATGAACTGGTGTCCGAGTATTGCTTGTCAAAGGGCAAGACATGGGCACTGCTGTACACAATCAGTTGCTGTTGGGTGCACGTGCCCTCTCAAGTCCCGAGGGTACACACACTTACAGTTGCTGTTAGGTGCTTTAAAACTCATTTCTCTGTCCCGCCCCATCGGCTCGTGTTCTCTCCCTCTCTCACCAGGTGGACCAGCTCGTGTTTGAGGACCTTGTTCGCCAAAACTTCCCCAGGCTCGGTGAGTGGTTCCGGCCCTGCAGGCGAGTGATTAGCTCTTGGCTCGGGGAGTGGTTGCAACCTGGCACACAGAGAGGCTAGGTGTCAGCTCTTGGCTCAGTTAGGTTATGAATGAGAGGGCTGTTCTGCGTCTCAGCCCTGATCAACGTGCTCATGCCCTCCACACGTTCGCATTGCCCCATTCACTTTCTGTGTCTGTTTACATGCACGCACACATCCTTTTTCCACACACTTCCATTCCACACACACATGCGCTTGTGCTCACACCATGCGGCGAAGCACATGGATGAACCAGGAGTGCAGGTTTTATTGATCACAGCGGTTGCCTTCCCGTGGCATCTCCCAACGTGTTTATGCCCACTGTTGTCGCACAAACATCCATTCCACCCTCACGCCCACCCAATGCAGCGGAGCACATGGACACGGGGTTGCAGATCTCATTAATACGGGGCCCTGGTTCCTCTCACCGATTCCACACACACGCTTGCACTCCACTTACACGCGCATTCCATCCCCTCCCCACCCCTTGCAGCGGAGCACATGGACACGATGGGGGTGCAGATCTCATGGATCACGGGGCCATGGTTCCTCTCTGTCTTCGTCAACGTGCTGCCCTGGGAGAGCGGTGAGCGCATTGCCTTGTCATCTTGCAAGGACTAGCAGGGAGAGTGGTGAGAACGTGGGCTGGCATGGGAGAGCGGTGAGAGCATTGCTTTGTCATCTTGCAAGGACTAGCAGAAAGAGCGCCTAGAGCAAGCCCCTGTTTGGTCCTTTCTACCTCTCTGCTCTCTTATCTCTCCTCACCTCTCTTTGTCTCTCTCAAAGCCTATCTAGTCTTTCCCTCCTCACATGTGCAGTCTTGTGAATTTTTTAGTCGACTCACAAAACGTGATTTTTTGTGACGTCTTGCTTCCTGTCTCTCGGTTCAACCCATCTCCCCCTCCCCCCCCCCCCTCTCCCCCCTTTCAACTGCAGTGCTGCGTGTGTGGGACGTCATTCTGTACGAGCGCAATCGCAGCATGCTCTTCCGCACATGCCTTGCCCTCCTCGACATGCACTGTACGTGTTGTGCGGTGCAGTGCTGTGCGGAGATGGTGTACTGTGCGGTGCTGTGCGGTGATGGTGTACTTTGCAGTGCCGTGCGTGCTGTGCCGTGCTTTGCTTTGTTGTGGGTGCAGCGCAATCGCAGCATGCTCTTCCGCACATGCCTCGCCCTCCTCGACATGCACTGTACGTCCCGTGCTGCTGTGCTCTGGCGTTGCGTTGCACTGTACGTGATGTCGAACCTGCAGTTTATGGCAGCACACTAGTGTAATGCGAGACCAGGCCTCTAAACCTTGACCCTGCCTTTTGCCCTTTTCCCAAAACCACCAGCCACGCTGCTGCTATCAATGCAGGAGACGGGGGACATGATAGCACTGAAGTCCATGGCAGCTTCCACCTTCACCCTTCTGAAATCTATGGTAGCCCTGTTGCTTCCAGGCGTCTACCTCTAACCCTAACCCTGCCGATTTCTTCCCTATCCAACCCCAGCCACGCTGCTGCCATCAATGCAGGAGACGGGGGACATGATGTTGGCGCTGCAGTCCATGGCAGCATCCACCTTCACTCTTCCGCCCTGTTGCTTCCAGGCATCTACCGCTAACCCTAACCCTGCCGATTTCTCCCCCATCCACCCCAGCCACGCTGCTGCTATCGATGCAGGAGACGGGAGACATGATGTCAGCGCTGCAGTCCATGGCAGCATCTTGGTGTATTGCAAGACCAGGCCTCTAAGTTCAAAATTTTAACCCTGCCTTCCCGTCCCTCCCAACCCCACACCAGCCACGCTGCTGCTGTCGATGGAGGAGACGGGGGACATGATGTCGGCGCTGCAGTCCATGGCAGCATGCTGCAAGGCCAGACGTCTGAGCTTTCATCCCTCCCAACCTCCCAACCCCCTGCACAGCCACGCTGCTGCTATCAATGCAGGAGACGGGAGACATGATGTCGGCACTGCAGTCCATGGCAGCATCCACCTTTGACAGCTCGCAGCTCGTGCTCGGTGCATGTGTGGGCTACATGGACGTCAATGAGAGCATGCTCGAGGTGAGATGTGCTGCTGGTGCTAGTGCTGGTAATAGTGGTGCTGCGCGTGCATGCAGCACCTTCGACAGCTCGCAGCTCGTGCTTGGTGCATGTGTGGGCTACATGGACGTCAATGAGAGCAGGCTCGAGGTACGTTGCTCGTTGTATTTGTGCTCTTGCTTGTGCTGCTCGTACTCGTGCAAGCAGCACCTTTGACTGCTCGTGCTTGGCGCATGTGTGGGCTACATGGACGTCAATGAAAGCATGCTGGAGGTTAGTATGTGTTCTGCTGCTGCTGATGGTGTGTGCTGCTTCTTGCTGCTGGTACTCTTGGTGCTGCTCATGCATGCACCACCTTTGACAGCTCGCAGCTCGTGCTCGGCGCATGTGCAGGCTACATGGACGTCAACGAGAGCATGCTCGAGGTGAGATGTGCTGCTGCTTGTGCATGCAGCACCTTTGACAGCACACAGCTCATGCTCTCCCCATGTGTGGAGCGCAGGGAGGTGCTCAAGAACGGCGTTCTTGAGGGCTTTCAAACCCCAAACCCTAAACTCTAAACCCTATATATCCCCCATTCGACATTCCATCATTCCCAGGATCTGCGCACCAAGCACCGCCCCTCCATAATGCATTGGGTGGACGAGCGCAGGGAGGTGCTGAGGCGCTGCTTCAAACAAGCCTTCCAGCCCCTCTCCTCCTCCCCCTTTCTCCCTCACCCACCCACCCCTTTCCATCTCAGGAATTGCGGACCAAGCACCGCCCAAGGATAATGCACTGAGTGGACGAGCGGCAGGAGGTGCTGAGGCGCTGCCTTGGAGTAAAACAAGCCTTCCATCCCTTCCCCTCTCCCCCCACCCCCCACCCCTGGCCCGCCTCTTCCTCCCCTTAGGACCTGCGCACGAAGCACCGCCTCGCTGTAATGCATTGAGTGCATGAGCGCAGGGAGGTGATCAAACGCTGCCTGGGAGTAACCATATTTTTCTACCCACTTTCCCTCACCCAAAGGACCTGCGCTCGCAGGGAGGTGCTCAAGCGCTGCCGCAGCACCCGCACTGCCACTAAGACATCTATTCCACATATCTTCCCCACGATGCTTGCTCCCAGGACCTGCGCACGAAGCACCGCCCAACGATAATGCACCGGGTGGACGAGCGCAGGGAGGTGCTCAAGCGCTGCCGCAGCACCCGCACCGCCAAGATCCACGCGGAAGCCCTGGCCGTTCTGCAGAGGCTCGCACTGCACAGCACCGCACTCGGCTCCCCTCTCGGCCCGTCCTCCTCCCGCGCCTCCCCTCTGTCCATCCCTTCGTCGTTTGACGACTCAGTGCTGCCCTCCCCCTCCCCTGCTGCTAGAATGGGGAGATTACGAGCTTTTGCAGATGAAGGGGAGAGGAGGAGGGAGGGGAGAGAGAGGAAGGGGAAGAAGGAGGGAAAAGCAGGAGGCAAAGGGGATGGAAAAATGGCAGGAGGAGGCGCAGGGGGGAGGGTAGGCAGTGCTGGTGCTGAAAGTGCTACTGACGAGAACGGAGATGGAGACACTAGTTGGGTGGATTTGGGGGCAGGAGACGCGTCCCCATCCTCCTCTGCCTTCTCCTCCCCGTCCTTCACTCCTCCTGATTCCCCCCTTGCAAGCTTCAAGCTTCCCAGTCACCTTCCCCCACCCGTCTCCTTCCCTCCACACACGCTCCTACATCCCCTCCCTCCTCCCCTGCCACTCACTCGCTCCTCCTCCCTCTCACGCCTCTCCCCACCTGCTGCGCCCTCCTTCCTCATCTGCCCTGTGCAACCGCTGCAGTTCCCCGCACACGCCTCCGCCAACCCTAATAAATCAACCGCTGCTAGTGCCGAAGCTGGTGCCGAACCTGGCGCTGAACTGGCAGCATCCGGTTCGGCAGAAGCATGGACTCAGCTGGCCCTGCCAGCCTCGGTGGTCGAGGCTCTCGATTCAATGCTGGGAGGAGGAGAAACGGAGGTGGGGAGAGAGGGGGGGATGGAGAGAGGGAGGGAGGGTGAAGGGGCAGCAGTAGCAGGTGAGAGGGACACTGAAATGGGCCTGTGGGGTAGTGCCAGGTGGCAGGAGCTCGTTGGTCCGCCTCGCCCACATGGTCATGCCCCTGGATTGGTCTCAGCATCGGCATCCAAAGCTGCAGTGAGGAGAGCAGGAGGAGGAGGAGAGAGAGGGGTGGGAGAGTCTGTGGGAGGTGGGACGGCAGCAGCTGTAGCAGCAGCACTGGCGTCGGTATCGGAAGAAAGGGAGGCGTCTGCGGTTGTTGCTTCTTCAGATGCAGCATTAGCAGCAGCAGATGGAACGGGGCCCTCTGCTCCTACCACTGCCACTGCCACTACCTCTGCTGCCACTACCTCTGTTGCTGCCACTGCTGCTGCTGCCACTGTAACAGCTTCCAGCAGTTACCAGCAGAGGGTGAAACGCTCCCCAGAGCTGCTGCTGCGAAGCGGATCCTTTGCCCCTGGCAGCAGCCGCAGCAGCCGCAGCAGCAGCAGTTTCAACCAGGTTCCGTCCCTTGCACTCGATGCTAAAGTTGAGAGTGTGAATACTGCAGCCACCACTGCCACTGCTTCTAGTGCCACTGCTGCCGCTGCCGCTGCTGCTGTCGCTGCTGTTAGTGCAAGCAGCAGCAAGAGCAGGAGCAAGAGTAAGAGCAGGAGCAAGGGAACATCACAGATAGAGTCAGATCTCTCCCCTACCTTTTCGCCTCCCTCCTCCCCCTCCTCTCCCCCTTCATCCGACTTCTCCCCTCCGTCCCCCGGATCTCCCTCAGTTGCTTTGGAAGAGGATGGGTTGTTTCGGGATGGTGAGGGTACAGGGAAGGAGAAGGGGAGGAGGGTCGAGAGGAGTGGTGGGAAGGAGAAGGGAGAGAAGGAGCGGGAAGGCAAGAGGGAGCCAGGGAGGGAGAAGAGGCGAGAGGGGGAGGGGAGCAGGAAGGAGAAGGGGAGAGCGAAGGAGGGAAAGGGTGATGATTTAAAGGGAGGTAGCGGTACTGGTGGATTGGCGTCAGACTCGTTACAGTCACATTTCCGACAGTCACATTCACTTTCTGGACATCAGCCCAGTGCTGGGAGGGGGGCGGATAGTAGCGGTAAAGGGGCGAGCAATAAGGGGGATAGCAGGGAGTGGAAATCGCCAGGAGGGAGAGGCAGGGGTATTCGGCCTCACAGCTTAAATGAGAGGCGAAGCCCTGGGTTGGGTATGGGCGGGGGGATTGGAGTGGGAGTGGGTGTGGGTGGTGGCGGGGAGGGGTATCCCCCTCCGCACCACCATACGGACAGGGCAGGTCATGCTGGTCCTGTTCGGGAGTCCAGAAGTCATGCTGCTGCTCATGGTGTCGCTGCTGCTGGCGCGGGTGTTGGTGGCAATACTGGTGTTGGTGGTGGTGGCAGTGTTGGTGGTGACGCAAGGGTACATGGGAGGATCGGCAGGACGAGCAGTGCAGATGTGTGGAGAGTGGCGGACAGGGGTGCTGGTGGTGGTGGGAGAGGTGGAGGGGGTGGAGAGGAGCAGGAGGAACGGAGGGATGGGGAGGGGTTGGGAGGAGTGGAGGAGGGGAAGGGCGGTGCGGAGAGCAGAGGAGGGCGGCATGTGCGGGTTGAAGTGGCGACCGAGTTGCAAGCACAGGTGGGATGCGAGCACAGTAGTTTTTGAGAACACTCTCACAATTGATTCGCTTTTATTTGAGAGCAGAAATCTAGGCACGGGCGTGTGACGAGTCGTGCTTTATCGTGCGTCAAGGCTCTTGACTTTTGAGGCGCCTAAAATGTTTTGTTGCGCCTCAAGGCGCATGCCGTTGAAGTGGCGAGAGAACGCAGGCTCTTGCCTTTGAGCGTGTTGTTGCTGTTTGGAACATAGTATCTCAGGTGCTCCTTGCTCAGGCCGAGGGTGGAGCCATGGCTCGTCCCCTTTGCCCCCTGCTTGTCCCCTTTGCCAAGGATCACTCTTCTACTCGTCCCTGCTCGACCCCCTCCCACCACCCAGGTGGCGTGGCTGAAGGAGCAGCTGGTGTTTGCACTGGAGGCGAGGGATGAAGCCATCCTCAGGTGCTCCCCAAGCGTGCTCCAACACTCTTCTGATCATCCCTGCTTGTGACCCGTTCTCACCCACCCGCCCTCCCACCCACCAGGTGGCGTGGCTGAAGGAGCAGCTGGTGTTTGCACTGGAGGCGAGGGATGAAGCCATCCTCAGGTGAGGCCGTTCAGAGATGGTGTGGTGCGGAGCGGAGAAGAGTGGAGAAGGGTGGAGTAGGGTGGTGGAGTGCAATTGAGTCCAAGGGAACGAGGGTGATTCGTTTGTTGCGTTGCAGTCAGTGTCGCCCCCTCCTGCGATGTTCTGTTGCTTCATGTTGCGCTTCGTTTGCAAGGCCTCTGCGGGTCCTGCTTGCACCCATGCGCATCTCCCATCCCATGCCCCCCATGCACATTTCTCTTCCCCCAAATGCACATGTCTCATCTAGACATTTGATCATCCCATACCCTGTTCGGAACAATTTATATCAATTTTTTGAACACACCCCATCCTGCCATGCCCACACCACACCCCATCCCATCCTGGCATGTGCACAACCAATCACACCATCACCCCATGCATGGATGCATGCATGCAGGGCCGAGGCTTTGCAAGCAGCCATGGTGGAGATGGGGCAGTCTACCACAAACCAGGCCCTCGTCGCTAAGGTAACCCCCCCTCCTAAGCTGGAGAATGCACTAATTGTCACCTCGAGGCAGATTGAAGCGCACAGGAGGGAGATGGCGTAGCAGCAGATCGCGTGGCCATGGAGGCCCAGCAGTGGGCGTCCACTCGTTTGCTTCTGGAGCAGCAGGAGGCGGCAGCACGGGCGCTGGTGGAGGCAATGAGGGACAATGATGCGGAGATGGAGAGGGAGGTGGGATAGGTGGAGGCTTCATCTGTTTCACCCCTATTCCCCTTCCCCCCGTACCACCTCCCCCTGTTCTCCCTCCCCCCCTGTTGCCCTTTCCCCCTCCTCTTCAGATTGACGAGCTGGAGAATGCACTGATTGTTGCCCGAAGGCAAATAGAGGCACACAGGAGGGAAATAGCGCAGCAGCAGCGGGCGATGGAGGCCCAACAGGAAGCGTCCACTCGCTTGCTCTTAGAGCATCAGGAGTAAGCAGCACGGGCATTGGTCGAAGCAGTGAGGGGCAAAGATTCGGAGATGGAGAGGGAGGTGGGGGCGCTGCTGGGCGCGCTGAGAGGGCGCACTGATATGTATTGCCTCTCTTCCCCTTCTCTCCTCCCCACCTCCCCCCTCCCCTTTCAGATTGACGAGCTGGAGAATGCACTGATTGTGGCTCGAAGGCAAATCGAGGCGCACAGGAGGGAGATAGCGCAGCAGCAGCGGGCGATGGAAGCACAGCAGGAAGCATCAACGCGCTTGCTGTTGGAGCAGCAGGAGGAGGCGGCGCGGGCGCTGGAGGAGGCAGTGAGGGGCAAGGACGCGGAGATGGAGAGGGAGGTGGGGGTTGTGGTTCTTTGGTTTCTTCACCCCTGTTCTCCTTTCCCCTGTACTGCATCCACCTCCTGCCCCTGCCCATGTTCCCTCAGATTGACGAGCTTGAGAATGCACTCATTGTCGCCCGAAAGCAAATCGAGGCACACAGGAGGTAAATCGCGCAGCAGCAGCGCGCCATGGAGGCCCAACAGGAAGCGTCCACTCGCTTGCTGTTGGAACAACAAGAGGAGGCAGCACGGGCATTGGTCGAAGCAGTGAGGGGCAAGGACGCGGAGATGGAGAGGGAGGTGGGGACGATGCTGGGCGCACTGAGGGGTGCGCTGATATATGTAGCTTCCTTTTCCCTTCTTCCCCCACCCCTATTCCCCTTCCATTTCCCCTCAGATTGACGAACTTGAGAATGCACTGATTGTCGCCCGAAAGCAAATAGAGGCGCACAGGAGGGAGTTAGCGCAGCAGCAGCGGGCAATGGAAGCACAACAGGAAGCTTCCACGCGGTTGCTTCTAGAGCAGCAGGAGGAGGCGGCACGGGCATTGGTGGAAGCAGTGAGGGGCAAGGATGCGGAGATGGAGAGGGAGGTGGGGGCGCTGCTGGGCGCACTGAGGGGCAAGGAGGAGCGCATGAGGGGGGAGATAGAGGCGCTACAGGACAAGGTGGAGGAGAGGGATGCTGAGATTGGACGGCTCTCACGGGTGAGTGAGTGGGCAAGCGGGAGGTTAGGGTGGGCGGGTGCATGAGAGGCTAAGGTTGTTGGATGGATGGGTTGTGGTGCTGGTGGGGTCGCTGCTGGCAGCGCTGAGGGGCAAGGAGGAGCGCATGAGGGGCAAGGAGGAGCGCATGAGGGGCAAGGAGGAGCGCTGAGGGGCAAGGAGGAGCGCATGAGGGGCAAGGAGGAGCGCTGAGGGGCAAGGAGGAGCGCATGAGGGGCAAGGAGGAGCGCTGAGGGGCAAGGAGGAGCGCATGAGGGGCAAGGAGGAGCGCATGAGGGGCAAGGAGGAGCGCATGAGGGGCAAGGAGGAGCGCATGAGGGGCAAGGAGGAGCGCTGAGGGGCAAGGAGGAGCGCATGAGGGGCAAGGAGGAGCGCATGAGGGGCAAGGAGGAGCGCATGAGGGGCAAGGAGGAGCGCATGAGGGGCAAGGAGGAGCGCATGAGGGGCAAGGAGGAGCGCATGAGGGGCAAGGAGGAGCGCATGAGGGGCAAGGAGGAGCGCATGAGGGGCAAGGAGGAGCGCATGAGGGGCAAGGAGGAGCGCATGAGGGGCAAGGAGGAGCGCATGAGGGGCAAGGAGGAGCGCATGAGGGGCAAGGAGGAGCGCTGAGGGGCAAGGAGGAGCGCATGAGGGGCAAGGAGGAGCGCATGAGGGGCAAGGAGGAGCGCATGAGGGGCAAGGAGGAGCGCATGAGGGGCAAGGAGGAGCGCATGAGGGGCAAGGAGGAGCGCATGAGGGGCAAGGAGGAGCGCATGAGGGGCAAGGAGGAGCGCCTGAGGGGCAAGGAGGAGCGCTGAGGGGCAAGGAGGAGCGCATGAGGGGCAAGGAGGAGCGCATGAGGGGCAAGGAGGAGCGCATGAGGGGCAAGGAGGAGCGCATGAGGGGCAAGGAGGAGCGCATGAGGGGCAAGGAGGAGCGCTGAGGGGCAAGGAGGAGCGCATGAGGGGCAAGGAGGAGCGCATGAGGGGCAAGGAGGAGCGCATGAGGGGCAAGGAGGAGCGCATGAGGGGCAAGGAGGAGCGCATGAGGGGCAAGGAGGAGCGCATGAGGGGCAAGGAGGAGCGCATGAGGGGCAAGGAGGAGCGCATGAGGGGCAAGGAGGAGCGCATGAGGGGCAAGGAGGAGCGCATGAGGGGCAAGGAGGAGCGCATGAGGGGCAAGGAGGAGCGCATGAGGGGCAAGGAGGAGCGCATGAGGGGCAAGGAGGAGCGCATGAGGGGCAAGGAGGAGCGCATGAGGGGCAAGGAGGAGCGCATGAGGGGCAAGGAGGAGCGCATGAGGGGCAAGGAGGAGCGCATGAGGGGCAAGGAGGAGCGCATGAGGGGCAAGGAGGAGCGCATGAGGGGCAAGGAGGAGCGCATGAGGGGCAAGGAGGAGCGCATGAGGGGCAAGGAGGAGCGCATGAGGGGCAAGGAGGAGCGCATGAGGGGCAAGGAGGAGCGCATGAGGGGCAAGGAGGAGCGCATGAGGGGCAAGGAGGAGCGCATGAGGGGCAAGGAGGAGCGCATGAGGGGCAAGGAGGAGCGCATGAGGGGCGAGATAGAGGCGCTGCAGGACAAGGTGGAGGAGAGAGACGCCGAGATCGGGCGGCTCTCACGGGTGAGTGGGTGGGGATGGGAGTGGTTGAATAGCTATGACCAAGGCGATTGAGATGGTATTTCGAGCAAGGAGGAGTGCATGAGGGGGGAGATAGAGGCGTTGCAGGACAAGGTGGAGGAGAGGATGCCGAGATTGGGCGGCTCTCACGGGTGAGTGGTTGGCTGGTCGGTTTGCTGGGGTGAGAGGTTAATCCTCTCCTCTCCATGTGTCTACGGTGGTGGCGAGTCAAGGGTGATTCTTAAGTTTCACCTCTCCTCTCACTTACCGTTACTCCTTTCTCTCTCTACCTCTCTTCCCCCATGCTTCTCAAGCAGCGGTTGGAGCGAGCAGCCAAGGACATGGAGGACATTATAGCGGCCAATGCACAGCAGGTGGAGACGCAGAAGAATGTCATTGAGATGCTCGCGGTAGGTGGAGCTTGCAATGCAGTGCCGTGCCATGCCGTGCTCTGCTGTGCTGTGTGGTCTGGTCTGGTCTGTTCTGGGTTGGGGCAGATTTGTGCAATGCAGAAGAATGTCAATGAGATGCTCACGGTACGTTGTGAGAGTGAGGATTGGTGGAGTGGAGTGCAGTGCAGTGCAGAGCAGCGCGGTGCGGTGCTCTTCAGTGTGGCCTGGTCTTGTGTGGTGATGATTTGTTTCGGGCACTAGAAACCTCATGGTGGGTACACGACGGTGCTGTGTGAGATGCACTAGCAGGAGAGAGGTTGAGCCGCGAGGATGAGGTTAGAAGCCGTAGATCAGAGGGATTAGCAGCATTGTTCGGCGCCTCATACACCAGCTCATGTCTTGAGGATTTGTTTCGGCCCTCATACACCAGCTCATGTCTTGAGGATTTGTTTCGGCGCCTCATACACCAGCTCAATTCTTGAGGATTTGTTTCGGTGCCTCATACACCAGCTCATGTCTCGAGGATTTGTTTCGGCGCCTCATACACCAGCTCATGTCTTGAGGATTTGTTTCGGCGCCTCATACACCAGCTCATGTCTTGAGGATTTGTTTCGGCACCTCATACACCAGCTCATGTCTTGAGGATTTGTTTCGGCGCCTCATACACCAGCTCATGTCTCGAGGATTTGTTTCGGCGCCTCATCAATCTTCTCCCTCCTCCATCCCCTTCCATGGCGTGCAGGAGAGCAGCCGGGATGCACGGCAGAAGCTGGCAGCCATGGAGGAGAGGGCGCTCGCAGCAGAGAGGTAAGTTGGGCACGTAGGGATGATGCAAGCTATGAGGGAATTCAATCACCGCTGGGCATGCAGTGCTGTCGCAAGCAGAGAGGTAGATTCCAATGTGCGAGGCAGAAGCTGGCAGCCATGGAGGAGAGGGCGCTCGCATCGCAGCAGAGAGGTCAGTTGGTGGCGGGCAGAGGTGCGGTAGATCCCCACTAGGTCTAAATGGGACGAAACTTGAGGTGGCGTTTGGCATGCAGAGCTGTTGCAGCAGAGAGGTAGATCCCAGAATGGGCAATGGGTGTGATTGCTTTCACTGTTGCATCCACCGCCTTGCTCTTCCACTGCAGAACCCTCCCTGGCTTCCCCACGCTGCCTGCTCGCCCCACCCTGCCTACTCTCCCCTCCATGCCTGCCCTGCGCCTGCCCTCTCATGCTCATCCGCCTTCCTTCCTGCCGTCTTCTCTCCCTGCCTGCCGCAGAATGGTGGAAACCTTCGTGGAAGCTTCCTCTCTGGAGGAGGTCCAATTGATGGTGGATGACTTGCCAGCTGTCTCTCCCGGGTCTATTGACACGTCACCTTCCGTGTTCGCTGACGTCAGCATGAGAAGCAGCCAGACCAGCGTGACTAGCAGCAGTGTTGCCACGTCAGACGCTGAGCTCGAAAGGATGACAGCGGCGGCACTTGCGATTGGAGGTGGTAACAGAGGTAACACAAGACAATACATGGGTAGCCATCACCCGTCGTCGTCCGACTATTTAATGCCATTGGGAGACTCGCAGCAATCGGTGCAACAGCAGGAGCAGCAGCGCGGGCATCGACCACACACAGCGCCCGCTAATCGCCAACCCATTGCAGTCAGGTCGCTATTTGAAGGAATTTCGGGAGCTTTTAGTTCTAGAATTGGGGGAGCTATTCCAGGTGCAACATCCCTACCAAGGACTCAACCCTGACAGAAAGAGCAGAATGTGCAATGTGCTAGTTCAAGCACAATATTTATACGTTTACTTTTCGTTTTTGACTTCAAAACACATACGTTTAATATTGTGCACTGCGCCTAGAAGTTTCAGCCCTTATCACAATAACGCGGATCCTCTGCATAACCCCACAAGTCAGACCGCAAAATGAGCTCCCACACAGCGCGATTTCCCACCACAGCTGGCTTTCGCTGAATCTGGACCGCCCATCTTATCGCACATGCTCCAGAATCCCCGCTTGTTGTTACCATTCTGTGTACTTGTCGCTGAGAAACACGCTGCAGACCTTCGCGTTTTCTCTTTTGACGAATGCGGCGCCCGAGGATTCCGCCCACGCGAAGATCCCATCCCAAGAACAGGGGAGATCCAGTTTCGCCCCCCTAGTATATTTGCGCCCCCTGACTTCCAATTTAGGCGAAATCGCGCGCATCGGCGGAAATCGTGTTTGTCTCAAAAGAATCGACCCAAATTGCTCACACTTCGCCACGTAGGCGTTGTTCCTAATTGAATCGACCCTCTTTCCCCCCGCCCCCCCCAACCCGTTTTTCCCGCCCTTCCCATCCGAAATTCGGGCATCCGCTAAAAGTTTGTAGAGTCACAAACAGTCACGAATACGTGCTCCCTACTCTTGCTAAATCCACCATCTGGTTTTGGCATGCCACATCAGCTTTCGCAATTCGACAATTTTGGCGGTTGCTTCTCAATCTCATGAGGCTAATATGCATGTTGATTGTATCATATTTTTTTTGGATTAGCCCATGCCATTAATGTAGATAAGGGCGCAAGAAAACACATGAAAAATAGCCTATATTTTTTTTGTTTTTTGTATATCTACATAAATCTTTTCCAAAAAATAAGAAAATATAAAGCTACATTTCATAAGTTTATGTTGTGTTTGAGTTTACTGCTTGATACTGATTAGAAACATATGTACGGATGTTACAAATTTTCAAAAAAAAAATTACAGCAGTCGCACATAATTAATGAAATCCATATTACTGCTAAAGTTATCATTAAAAGTAAAAGTTCGTCCAATCAGATGTCGCTCGCATGTTGAAATCTTAGCGTTACGGAAAAACATGTATTCGTGACTTTTTGTGATTTCACGAAATTCCAGCGGGTGCCCGCATTTCGGAGAGGACGGGCGGGAAAAACGGTTTGGGGGGGCTGGGGGGAAGGGGGTCGATTCAATTAGGAAAAACGCCCACGTGGCGAAGTGTGAGCAATTTGGGTCGATTCTTTTGAGACAAACGCGATTTCCGCCGATGCGCGCGATTTCGCCTCCAATTTATCATTCGCCCGCCTGCGCTCTTTGGATCCGCGATCCAAGGGACTTCGAGTACCTTACGCTCCATAGTCTTTAGGGAAGGCCCTCCTTCGTCCCCTTACGCTCGCTCGCACGATCTCTCCCATCACTCGTACAAAATCGTTGCGCCGCCGCTGCCGCCATGGGCTTCTCAATCTCCGCCCGTCGCGTCGCTTTCTGCTGCCTTTTCCTCGTCGCAGCCGCGCCGTGTCTGCTGACGTCAGCGCAGTTCCCCATCCCCTCGCAGTACGACGGCTTGGTTTATGGTGCTGACGTCAGCGAGCGGCAGCCGGTGCTGCTGGAGGCGTTCCTGGATCTGACGTGTCCGTCCTGCCAGAGCGCGTGGCCCGTGTTACGCCACGTGGCGAAGTTCTACGGGACGAAGCAGCTTCGGTTTGTCGTTCATCTGTTTTCCAACGCGTAAGCTTCGGTCCCCTTGTTTTGGGAATTCGCAAAGGTCGCACAAGCCGTCGCCCCCTTTCTTCCCCTTCCCCAAGCTTCCTCCACCATTCCGCTTATTCCTCTCGTTCCGCCCCTTCTTCCTCTCAAATCTCCTACTCCGCGTCTCCCCCTTCCACACCCCCCTCCCCCGCAGCTTCCACCACAACTCCTACTTCGCGTCGCAAGCCATCAACGCTGCCGCCGCCATCAACGGCTCACCCGCGTTCGATCCGTCTAGTCCCACGTTACTCCTTTTCCCGCCCAAAATCTCCCCCCCTCTCTCCCACCCCCTCCCCCGCAGCTTCCACCACAACTCCTACTTCGCGTCGCAGGCCACCAACGCCGTCGCCGCCGTCAACGGCTCGCTCGTACTTGCTCCGTCTTGTCCCCATTCACTCGCTTCCCCACCCACACTCTCTCCCCTCCTCCCCCACCCCACCCCCTCCTCCCAGTTTCCACCACAACTCCTATTTCGCCTCGCAGGCCACTAACGCCGTCGCCGCGATCAACGGCTCGCTCGCGTTCGACTGGATCGACGCCGTCTTCGACGCGCAGGACGACCTATCGCTGAGCGCCACGTGGCACAAGACGCCTGAGCAGGTCGCGGCGCAGCTGGCGCGGCTCGCGGCGGAGCGCCTGGGGATTGACGAGGAGAGATTCAAGGGGGCGTTTCTGGACGCTGAGGTTGAATGGCGCACTCGACTCGCGTTCAAGGTGTGTGGGTGGAAGATTGGTTGAGAGGTTGGTTGGGTGAGGGAGGGTGACTGCGTGAGTGTGTTTGTACGGGGGAAGGAGGATGAATCCTGAGATGGGGGCTGCGCAAAAGTAGGCTGCAAAAGAGTGAGATGGAGGATGAGTGAATGGGTGGAGTGGACTATCTCGCCGGCATCTTTGGCACGAGTTGAAAGTTTCAACTTGAAACCTTGCGTCGTTGTTCATTCATTCACTTCACTGCATGGGGAGACTAGACTACCTGGGTAATATGGGTGTGGATGTCGCAGTTACCATATCCCGAACCATGGCGCACATCCCTCGCGACCTGACTTCACGTTGACTCATTCAATGATCTGTTTTTTAGGCCCCTCAAGAATCATTTGGTGATTTGCCCACATCACCCTTCCTCCCCACCCCGTACGGGTGCTCGCGAGCAGTGGTGGGGAACGCCCACCTTCCACTCCCACATACAGTCGGAATGGCGGTGCCAATAGCTGCAGCCTGCTCAACCCCCCATGGCCCCTTCCGGCCTCCCCAATACCCCCTTGTTTCCTCGTCCCCCATTCTGCTGTATGTGCAGTACGGGTGTTCACGAGCAGTGGTGGGAACGCCAACCTACCTAGTGAATGGGGTGGCGGTGCCAATAGCTGCAGCAGAGTGGACCATCTATGACTGGCGCGCCCTGCTAGACCCCCTCGTGGACTCGCCTGGCCTGGCTTCGCACTCTCACTCCCCTCGGAAACTGGCACTTGAATGATGCTAGTCTCACTCCCCTGGCCGGAGTGGCGGTGCCAATAGCAGCAGCCAAATGGACCGTCTATGACTGGCGCGCCCTTCTCGACCCCCTTGTGGACTCGCCTGGCCTCCACTCAAGCGGCCACTCCCCTCGAAAGCTGGCGCTCGAGTGAATTAACTCACGGCAGCTCGAAATTTTAGGCGCCCTCAAAAGTTGAACATACAGGCCAGGACAATCAATATAGGGATGAAGTAGGTCGGATGGCTGGAATGTACCACATTGGTTCAGATGTGATATGGAATTATGCTCCTCATTGTACAATGATGAAAATGCAACAGGAGGCACATGGAAGGCTAAAATCTCTTATGCCACGAAATTCATGATTGTTGTACCAGTTGATTAAGTCTATAATACAAGGGGTCTGCCAGCACCAGCCGCAGCAGTTTGGGCTGAACCGGCCGAACCTTAGTGCCAGCTCCGAACGAGGCTCGGCAAGGGCGGCAGTCAGGCCAGGGAGTCCAGGTGTGGGCGACAGCAGCTTTGGTTGATTTTGGACGCTCGCGAAATTCGCCCATGCGAAGATCCTGGAGACACCCCACCAAGGGGAAGGGAAGCGGCTATTCAAATTCGCCCCTCGAGGGGTTTTTTTGAGCCGCATGTTTCCACCACCTTGCTCATCTGCCCTTCCTTATCTGAGTAACAGGTATTCAGATTTCGGATTCTGGAGGTAAGAGTCTTGGGTAAATCCGCGTAGCCCGCTCGCAGGATCTCTCTCGTCGCTCTCACTCTACCTCTGCGCCGCCGCCACCGCCGCCACCGCCGCCTCCGCAATCGTCGCCATGGGCATCCCAACCTGCGCCCGTCGCGTCGCTCTCTTCTGCCTCTTCCTCGTCGTTGCCGCGCCGTGCCTGCTGACGTCAGCGCAGTTTCCCATCCCCGCGCAGTACGACGGCTTGGTGTACGGAGGTGACGTCAGCGAGCGGCAGCCGGTGCTGCTGGAGGCGTTCTTGGATCTGACGTGTCCAGACAGCAAGAGCGCGTGGCCCGTGTTGCGCCACGTGGCGAAGTTCTACGGACGAAGAAACTTCGATTTGTCGTTCACCTGTTCTCTAACGCGTAAGATCGTCCCCTTCCTCAGGCTTCCACCACCGTTCCGCCTAGTCCTCTTGTTAGCGATTTCTGAGAATTCTCAAAAATCGTCCTCAAGCTTTCACCAGCGTTCCGCCTAGTCCTCTCGTTCTGCCCCCACTTCTCCTGCACCCCCCTCACTCCCTCCCTCTCCTTCCCCGCAGTTTCCACCACAACTCCTATTTCGCCTCGCAGGCCATCAACGCCGTCGCCGCGATCAACGGCTCGCTCGCGTTCGACTGGATCGACGCCGTCTTTGACGCGCTGGACGACCTATCGCTGAGCGCCACGTGGCAAAAGACGCCCGAGCAGGTCGCGGCGCAGCTGGCGCGGCTCGCGGCGGAGCGCCTCGGGATTGACGAGGAGATATTCAAGGGGTCGTTTTTGGACGCTGAGGTCGAATGGCGCACCCGACTCGCGTTCAAGGTGCGTGCGTGAGAGATGATTGAGTGAGTGAGTGAGATAGTGAGGTAGGGCGACCGAGTGAGTGTGTTGTGGGGAAATGGGAAAGAAAGGAGGATGAAGAACGAGAGGGGGGAGGGGGGGGGGGTAGCGCAAAATATGAAAGCTCATTCGCTTGTTGTAATTGTAATACTTTTTGGATAATAGTGGGGTGGATGTATGAGCTGCTCATACCCAAAACCAGACGTTGAGATCTAACATTGAGGTGTCTCAAAAGCATGACACAATCCTCCAGCGAGCTGGCTTAAAGTCGGCTCACTCGGTGATCCGTTTCACAACAACCCCCTTTCTCTCTCCCCCTCCTCGTGTGCTGTACGGGTGCTCAAGAGCAGTGGTGGGGACGCCAACCTACCTGGTGAATGGAGTGGCGGTGCCGGCAGCTGCAACCGAGTGGACCATCTACGACTGGCGGGCCCTTCTCGACCCGCTCGTGGACTCGCCCGGCCTGCCTTCACACGCCCACTCCCCTCAGAAGCTGGCACTCTCGAGTGAAGCTGGTCTCTCTCCCCTGACCGCACCGAGGTAAAACAGATGCTCTGTTTAACTTCTGCCCTTTTCGCTCCCCACGGAAGTCTGCTGTGCATGGAACGGCTCGCTCTTAGTATCCTTGAAAGATTCAAAAAGATTCAAAGCTTGAAAGGATCTGGAGGGAGGATGTGGTGGGAGAGAGCGCAGTGGGCTGTGGGAACACCTGGAGGGCTTTCTCCTGTGGTAGGTTATTATGTCAGCTTAGGTTGGGTTATGTTGTGATTGTACCTCCAGTTTCACTTGTATTCTAGTGCCCTTGGTTTAGCTGTTAGCATTGTTGCAAACAAAGCGGCGCATTCAAAGCCTTGGCTGCTTATCTTTTGACAACCGGAGGTCAAACATGGGAAAATGGTACCACTATCATACCTTTATGCAAAACATCTAACCGGGTGGAACATTTAAAATCACATAGGATCTGCCAATACCGATCGCAGGAGGTTTGGCCGGACCTGCCGAACCTTGGTGCCAGCTCCGTACGAGGCTCGGCAAGGCCGACAGTCAGGCCAGGGGGTCCAGGTGTGGGCGATGGCAGCAAGGAGCGCCGCACCTGTGGGTGTGACGAGTTCGCCCTTGCACCCTGCTGCAAACGTGGGGATATTGGCCCTGTTGTGGGGGGGAAGGAGGAGGAGAAAATAGGAGGAAAGGAAAGAACACATGGAAGGGGGAAAGGGCGTCCAGGTGTGGGCGATGGGAAGGGAAGCAAGGAGAGCAGCCTGTGGGAGTGACTAGCTCGCCCCTACAGCCTGCAGCGAACATGAGGATTGATGCTCTGCTGGGAAGGTATGGGCAGGGAGAAGGGGAGGGGGTTCAGGGAAGGGATAGAGGAATCCAGGTGTGGGCGATGGCACAGCAGGAGAATATCTGAGGTCCGCGCCTGTGGGACGTCACCAACTCAGCTCGGCCTTACACCCACCCTGCAGATTCAGTTGGGATAATGCTCTGCGGAGGGGGGAGGGAGAGGGGGAAAGGGAGGGGGAGGAGCAATGGGGTTGGGAGCTGACTCGTTGGCACAGAATCTCGAGTATGGTGGGGGCATGCCTGGACAGGTGGACATGCAATGACTTGAATCTGACTCGGAACGTCATCTCCCTGTGTTGCTTGGGTTGACTGGGTTGACTGCAGTGACTCACCGGCACAGGATCTCGAGCGTGGCAGGGGCAGGGGAGGGCAGGGGGCCGTGGACAGCGCCAGTGATGATGCCGCGTGCCATGGGGAGGGGCGAGGCTGCTATGTGCAATGGTGCGAGGTAGTCAATGGCTGCTGCTGCCGCCACCATGTCCACTATGCTGTCCACTGCTCCCACCTGCAGCATGCAAGGGCAGAATGTTCATGCGAGACGTGCATGTGAGTGAGTGAGTGAAGGCATGGGTGCCTGCGAGGTAGTCAATGGCTGCTGCTGTTGCCACCGTGTCCATTATGCTGTCCACTGCTCCCACCTGCAGCATGCAAGGGTGGAATGTTCGTGTGGGTTGTATGCAGGGTGTTTTTGAGAATTCTCAACAGTACCCTGCAGCTTCATGTGAGGGTGTATGCCACGAGCATGTGAGGGTGTATGCCACGAGCATGTGAGGGTGAGTGAGCGCATGGGCGCATGCAATGATTCAATGGCAGCTGCCACCCCCATCATGTCCACTATGCTCTCCACCGCGCGCACCTGCACATAGGGGGTACGGAATATATGGGTGCATAGGTTTACACAGACGTGTATAATTGCACGGGTGCACGTAAGGCATTCACTGCCACTGCCGCCACCATGTCAACTAGCCTGTCCACCGTGCCCACGTGCACGTTAGTTGTCATGGATGCGCGAGTTGATGGGTGCATAGTCATGCACGTAATAGTACAATGCTGCCACAATCATCATCACCACCATCATCCTTTCACCTCATGGAAGTGCACGTCATCCACGGCCATGACATGCACGCATGCCTCCATGGGTGCAAGATTATGTGCCTAACACAACCACAACCATTCTTTCCCATCACCATCGCCATCCCCTCACCTCATGAAAATGAACGTCATCCACAGCCATGCCATGCACACACGCCTCCATCCATGGTGCAATGCCTGCTTCTGCTGTGTGTGGACCCATGGGTGCATGGTTGCATGAATGCAGCACTCACCTCATGGAAATGAACATCGTCCACCGACATGCCATGCATGCATGCCTCCGCCTCCGCTAGCAGCCGAAACGCCCGGCTGGCAATGGCCCTGGCGCCACGTGGCAGGCTGCTATTGGCCAGCAGATGGCGGATGGCCGCATAGTCCCTGTAGGGCTGGCTCGCCCCGTCATCCACCGAGAAGCTGCCAGGAAGGTGCGAGAAACGGTACGAGGAAGGTGTGAGGAAGGAGGGATGCTTTTGATAATTCTCAAAAGCAATGCCAGTGGAGAAAGCAAGAAGGAAGCTCTTACAGTGGAGCAACAATAGCGGATCAACAATAGCGGATCAACAAAAGCGGATCATTGGGTGGCCTCCACCGTGCTGACTTTTGAGTCGACTCAAAGTCACCTCGACTCAAAGTCACCTCAACTCAAAGTCACCTCGACTCAAAAGTCACCTCGACTCAAAAGTCACCTCGACTCAAAAGTCACCTCGACTCAAAAGTCACCTCTTTTGAGTCGACTCAAAAGTCAATAGCGGATCATTGGGTGGCCTCCACCGTGCAGTTGCGTGGGATAGCCTGATCGCCTTCACTGCCCCCACATGAAACAGCACTTACAGCGGAGCAGTGATAGCGGATCGTTGCGTTGCTTCCACCCTGCAAGTGACATGAGACACCCCCATGGCCCGCACTGCCTCCTCCACCACTGTTGCCGGCACACCCAGATCCAGCAGTGCCGCTACTAGCATGTCCCCTACTGCACGCGTCAATGTTATCATGCCAAGAGAGGGCCCTTACAGCGGAGCAGTGATAGCGGATCGTTGAGTGGCCTCCACCCTGCAAGTCACATGAGACAGCCCCATCGCCCCCACTGCCCCCTCCACCACTGTTGTTGGCACGCCCAGATCCAGCAGTGCTGCTACTAGCATGTCCCCTGCCGCCCCTGCCACGTGGGCGTCTATGAACAGAAGCTTCCCCGCTCCTTCCCCGCGTTTCAGTGGGGGTTTGCGTGGGCGCCACGTGGATGGGAGGAAGAGTGGTTGATGCGGTGAGGACGGGTGGGACTGCGGCGGTGGTTGGTGCGTTGGTGAAGGGTGGGTGTGCGAGGAGGTGGGAGGGATGGAGGATGGGGAGGAGGAGTTGGACGGATGGCTGTGGCCGTGACTGTGCTCAGGGGTGTGGGTGTGGGCTCGTGAATGTGTGTGATGGTCATGGTCATGGTCATGCTTATGTGAATGTGAATGGCCATGGCGGTCATGTGAATGTAAATGTGTGTCATGCTCATCGGCATGGGCATGGTCATGTGAATGTGAATGTGTATGTCCATGACGATCGTGTGAATGGTTATGGGAATGGTTATCTGGATGCGAATGTGTGCTATGGTCATGGTCATGTGAATGCGAGAGTGCATTATGGTCGTGGTCATGCTCCGGCCCTTGGTTGTGATCGTGATCTTGGATGTGAGTATGACCATGAGTATGGTCGTGACTATGAGGCCCGTCATGAGTGTGACTATGCCGAATGGCACGTGCGCTTGAATCCGAGTCGTCAACGTCCTGCTTCTCTACAATCACGCCACCACGAAATCCTGTGCCTTCTGCTTCCTTCTGAATTTGACTTCCATGCCCTTGCGAACTTCCCTGCTTATGTCCCCTAACGAGCAATTGCTTATATCGAGTACCGCTCGCATTATTTGCGTGCTCGTTAAGGTTCTGGTAACACGCGCCTCGACGAACGGCCTGCTGCGAACCACGATGCGTGCCGGGAATCCTCAGATATATTGCCACCGGATTCCTAGTAACATTCCTCGATCGGCTCGCATCGCTAGTTAACCCTAACGACGTTCGCGACGACGGCCTATGTAAGCTTGCTCCGGTCGTCAACTGGACCGCGTGTGTCCGCGAATCACGTAGAGCCTTGGCATCGCAATAACGCGGACACGGTATCGAAATGGAGGCCATTTCGACCAACCGCAAAGCTGCGTGGGCAATGCGAGTAATCTGCAGCGCAGAGACGTGACGGCCTGTTCACAGATCAGAGCATACTAATTATCGTGTGGATAATGATAATCTCGATGTTGGCGCTATACCATGCTACCATCGTGTGGGAAGGCAAGAGGCTAAGTCCTGGGCTCTGCATTGCAAATCCGGCAATATTGAGGAATTGTACATATTTCAAATTGAAATGAAGCATAGTTGTCTTGTTTTTAGATCAAACCCTTATCCATCGCACAGCCAGCATGAACACCTGATAATGTATTTGGACTACCAATTTTTGTTGCTTGAACCTATATTCTGTGCTAACCAGCGTCCAATGTTGACAGATTACTCTGAAAAAACAACATTCACTATTTGGTCCTTGCACAATTGCTCTACTCCCTTCCCCATCCACTTACCCAATAACCCCCCCTTTCCCCCACTTAACCCCACCCTTCCACATGACATCCCTAACTCCATTTGCATGCCGTCCATCAATCTACATCCCGGACTTCCAATATTCCACTCCATTCACTACCAAGCCATGGATCCATCCAACTTCTAGGTTCTAGTAGGTACTGCGATGGGGAGGCGGCGGGCGCATGGCCCTGGCAGGGCAGCAGGAGGAGGTGGTGGGGGGGTTGGGGCCGGTCTTGAAGACGACGCAGCGGCGGGCCTCGGGGTACGTGGGGTTGTTGTCGCCGGGGTTGATGTTGAGCACTGTGCCGCCCTGCGGGATCTGCGCTGTGAGGATCGGCAGCCGCACCCACCTGTTCTGATAGAACGCCACCGCTTGCTGCAGGGGGGTTGGGAGGGGGAGGGGGCGGGCACCCACACAGCCAAGAAGCACATGTCAAGGACGTGTGCAGAGAGGACATTCGCAGCAAGTAGGAGTACAGAAGGTGCAACTTGCCAGCAGAAAGCGTTCACAGCGAATCATAAGGTCCACTTTTCCGTGGACTCTGTGCAAAGGGCGAGGAGCACCCCACCTGGCTGAAGGAGCGCACGAAGATGCGCGAGCTGTTGCCCTGCGAGGTGATGTAGAACTGGTTACCAGCGTCGCAGGGGCCGGTAAGCGCCGTGGTGCAGAAGAAGGTGGCGATGCCGGTGCTGGAGACGGTCACGTTGCTCCCCTCCTTCACAACCACTGGCGGGCTTATCGGAAAGTCGCCCGCGGTAGCGTTTGGTGGCACGATGCTGGATTTGGGGAGTGGGGGGAGGGAGGAGGAAGGAATGGGGGAGGGGAGAGATTGATCCAGGTCTTGACGGACAAATAATTCAGCGAGAGAGATGGCTCTTGGTCGACTCAGCAGCTCGAACCGCCATGAGGAAGCCATCCAACGCTTTTGATAATATCGAAGGATGAAGGGGGGGGGAAAAAGATCATGAAGACACTGTAACCCCCCAAACCACGAAGAATATTTTCCAGAGTAAGATTGCATGGTTATATTTGACTGCAGGCGGAGATAGCATTGGTGAAAAATGACCGCCATAAATTTCAGCAAAAAACGGAATGACTTCAGAAATGACAATAGTGGCTCCATTGAGTGCACCACGGATCTTCAGCAAGGCTTTCAGCATGAAGTGTCCACGTGAGCGCTCACTCGAAGGTGGGAATGGAGTCGAGCGAGCCTTCGAAGGCGAAGTCGCAGCCATCGAGCGGCCCTCGGGGGCCCACCTGGCACTGCGCTGGGCACGTCGGCTGTCCCACCTGCTGCAGCCCTCGCCTGCTCGACAGAGCGGAAGTTCCGGCGCCATTTGCGCTGGATGTGATGGACAGAACCAGAGGAAGCAGGAATGCGAAGAGAAGAGCCATGGTAGCGCGGATAGCTGGGAGGGCTCACGGATCCTTCAAGGAATCGGGCCAGAAGGATTTGCCAAGGATCCAGGACAGGAAGACAGGTTAGAGTGGGAAACGACAGGATTTTTCAGCGGGAAAAACCGGCGATGATAGAGAGAATTTAATCCCAAGACGCGAAAAACGGAAGGCGGTACGCTATACCGTGCCCTCTTGTTCCTGGTCGGTGGCACAACTGGCGGCCATAGCTGTGAAATTTGGCGTGGCAAAGAGGTGATCAGCGAGAAACAAGTGTCGCTCAGCTGCTATTCCAGACTGGTTGTTTGGTTGGAATTCTGGTAATTGTTTCCGAGCCGCACATTTGACGTTCGAGCCGCATGCTAGAGCAACGAGGCGGTAAGCCGTCACCCAATTTCCTATCTATAGAACCTAGAAAAGGAGCATATTGTAGTTAGAGGTGAGAACAAAGAGAGAAAGACCTCCTAATTTTAGCGCGTATAGCTTGTGGTTTACCACCGTTCGAGTCCCGATTCCCTCGATTGGTTCGTGTGATACCCGTCCTTCTTGTCCCACAAATCAAACTAGTCGAGAAAGTAGGAATTCGTGTTTTCTCAACTGAAAGTCTGTTCACGCATTTCTGCCTTTTATCGAGTACAGAATTCCCACCTTCATCTCCCTCCAGCCCCTCCTCCACTCCCCTCCCAGCCCCCCAACTCCCTCCTTACGCTAACCCTAAAATCTCCTCTCCCACTTTCTCTTTCTCCTTTCCCGCGTAGTCTCGTCCCTTCTCTTCCTCCTCCCCACACGTCACCATGGTGAGCAATGCGTCAGGGACGGCATTAGCCGTTAGTGTGATTTGGCCGTGTCGCGTGCACCAGGTCTTCTGGCGAAGTGCCGCCGGGGATAGCCTGTGCTCCCGGAACTGGTTGTTTAAATGCGAAACGTCGGCCTCCGCGATATGTTGCTCGCTCATTCTCTGATCACTGGCCGTGCCGACTGCTGTGCCGATGCCTAGCGATCGCCGCCTTATCCGCAACTCTGCGTCTCTGTTCATATCTTTCCGTGTCGTATCCGTCTCATCACAACTTCATTCGTCTCATCGCGATGTCATTCGTGTGTTCTCGTGTGCTCCCGTTGTGCAGGTGAAGTACGCGAGGGAACCCGCCAACGCCACCAAATGTACGTTTCGTCTTTTCCTCTGCCTTAACACTCCACGGCATCGCATCACGTGTCCCTGCAACACATCGATTCCCCGAATCCTCGGGCGACTTAGGTCTAGTGGGCGGTTGATCGGCGCCGCTCGCTTTAGGTGTAGCACTTCGCCGCCTCCTCCTTCGTTAGGCTAGATGAAATGATTCTCAGAGCCCGTTGTTCGATGTGTCGATAGCAACTACTGTAGAGATTCGACAGTTAGTCATGTTCGTGGAAAGCTCTAGAAGGGCCAAGTGGGCCATTCTAGTCGAGCGTGTCGCGATTTGAAGTTTCGAGTGATCGTTCCGTGTTGCGCGCTAGTCTATAGTCGGCATGTTGAAGCACGAAGCGCACGTTTCTCTCCGCAGGTTTAGACTAGAGCAGATTAATGCAGGAATGGGTCGGAAGAGGCGCCCTGATGAAGGCAGATCAAGCCAGGCCAATCGATAGTTACAGGTTGACTCAGGTTGAGTAAAGTAGCTGGTGTTGCGCGGGGCAGGTTAGTGTGATGCGTTATAAAAGCGGGTGATATATATACGCCTAAGAAATTGTTGTCTGGAAGCTGTTGTGTACGATGAGTTCCTGCGCTGGGCTCGATAGGAACGGATCTTTGCCATGCTGTAATGAAGGAAATGAGCGACTTAGTCCTGGAGCCGCGGTTCGTTCGTCCTCTTCTCACATCTCCCTGCCGTTCCCCATTCGTCCTTCCTCCCCCCCCCCCCCCCCCCCCTCTATCCCCCATTCTTTGCTCCCTCTGTTCGCCCCTCTGCACCTTTCTGAACCTTTCTGCACCCTCCTGCCCCTCCCCCCTGCATCTGCTCGACCCGAATTGCAGCATGCAAGGCGAGAGGCTCATACTTCCGCGTCCACTTTAAGGTAAAACCCGATTCTCTTATAATTGTTCTGCAGCATTTCCCTCTGGTTTCGTGCTCTCCCCATCCCCTTCGTATGCATCACTCCTCCTGTACCTCCTGTAGCACATCCACCCTCCTTCCTCTTTCGTTATCCACATCCCCCTCTCCCTCCCCCACTCCCCCTTCCCCCTTCCCCCTTCCCCCGTCCCCCCATTTCCTCCGCAGAACACGCGCGAGACAGCGCAGGCGATCAAGCACATGGATCTCACCAAAGGCTTACCCTCCACTGTCCCTTCCTTTGTCCCTTCCCTCCCCTTCCCTCTCCCCCACGCCCTATCCCTCATCCCCCCCCTATCAGAACACGCGCGAGACAGCGCAGGCGATCAAGCACATGGATCTGACCAATGCTCCTCCTCCTGCTCTGCCCGTTTCCCCTTTTCGCAGAACACGCGCGAGACAGCGCAGGCGATCAAGCACATGGATCTGACCAAGGCGAAGCGGTTCCTGGAGGACGTGATCGCGCACAAGCAGGCCGTGCCCTTCCGCCGCTTCTGCGGCGGCGTGGGGCGCACGGCGCAGGTGAAGCTCCTGCCCTCCAACGGCCAGGGCCGCTGGCCCGCCTAGTCCGCGCCCAGTGCTTTTGCTCCGAGACTTAATCAATTCTTGGGTTTTGTTTGTTTGTTTTCTTTTCCAGCTCTTCAGTGCATCCCACCCAGTACGCGTTGTTAAAAAACTAACGGAGACCCACGGTTTGCTGCGATTCGAACCCCTTTTCCCACTCCCCGCGGCGCAGGTGAAGCTGGTGCACTCCAACGGCCAGGGCCGCTGGCCCGCCAAGTCCGCTCGCTTCCTACTCGACCTGCTCAAGAACGCCGAGAGCAACGCCGAGGTACGTCGCTGTTTGACGTGGCACGCGTCGGTACACGTCGTTACACGTCGGAACTTGTCGATATTGGGGACGTGTGTAGGTCGCTTCCTGCTCGACCTGCTCAAGAACGCCGAGAGCAACGCCGAGGTCAGTGGCGCTTTGCAGGCGCTTAACTAAGAGGGAGGGGGGGGAAATAGCTACAGTAGCTGATTGGAGTTCAGGGGTAGTTTTGCAAAGAAACGGGCTTAGAGATCGGAAGCTGTGGGCCGTTCGATCGGCGGATCTTGTTTAGCGCCTGGGATGGTGACGGTTTCGTCTAGCGGACTTACGGGCTGTGACGCGCAAGCGTGCACGTGAGTAGACGGCGTTTTCGGGACTGTTGGTGGCGTGCCGCTGTGCAGCAATGCTGCTCTGGCGACCAGGCATGTGGGTAGCGTGGCCGGAAGCAGAAGTTCAAGGGGAAGCGGTGCGGGTTAGCGGAAGCGGAAGCTGAAGCAGGTGCAGGAGGGGACGGGCGCGAAAACGGGTGCGGAAACGGAACTGGGTGAAAGAGGAAGCGGGTAGGGGTGGGCCAGGCCTGGCGGTCTTGGTGACTTGCGAGTCGACTCTAAAGACACCTCCATAGTGGGCGCCAGGCCTCGTGAGCCTTGGGAACGGAAAGGCGGAAAGACGGGACTGGTGGAGGTCACGCGCGCGACTTAGAAATGGCTGGGGCTGCGAAGTTTCAAGTTTCCAGAAACTAGCATCATGAGACGCCTCAGGATTTCCCGTGCGCACCGTACCCGATGCAAGAGGCGAAACACTCGGCTTCATGTAGCCACACGTGAGCCGCGACCCCAAACGAACCCTTTCTCTTCAACCCCCTTCTTTTCTCCTCCCCCTCTCTTGCTTCCCACTCTCTCTCTCCTCCCCCCCACCAGGTGAAGGGGCTGGACGTGGACTCGCTGCACGTGAGCCACATTCAGGTCAACCGCGCGCCCAAGCAGCGCCGCCGCACGTACCGCGCGCACGGTCGCATCAACCGTGAGTGCCAAGCCCCTCCCCGCCCTCGCTGCCCTTCCCCATCCGTGTTTGCCCCCACCCTCCCCCACCATTGCTGCCATCCGCTCTTCCCTCCCCCCAGCCGCTCTTCCCTCCCCCCAGCCGCTCTTCCCTCCCCCCAGCCGCTCTTCCCTCCCCCCAGCCGCTCTTCCCTCCCCCCAGCCGCTCTTCCCTCCCCCCATCCGCGCTTCCCTCCCCCCATCCGCTCTTCCCTCCCCCAATCCGCTCTTCCCTCCCCCCAGCCGCTCTTCCCTCCCCCCATCCGCGCTTCCCTCCCCCCATCCGCTCTTCCCTCCCCCAATCCGCTCTTCCCTTTCTCCAGCCGCTCTTCCCTCCCCCCAACCCCTCTTCCGTCCCCCCATCCGCTCTTCCTTCCCCCCATCCGCTCTTCCCTCCCCCCATCCACTCTTCCTACCCCGCATCCGCTCTTCCCCTCCCCCATTCGCACTTCCCTCCCCCCATCCGCTCTTCCCGTTCCCCAGCCTTTCAATCGTGTGCAGCCCTGCCCCACCTCTGCCCCACATCCCATGTCACCCCTGCCCCACATCCCATACAAGCTGACTCGAGCCACCTTAAAGCCCCTGCTTCCCAATCTTCCACATCTTTCCACATTCCTCGCCCATCTATTCTGCACAGCTGACATTTCGTGCCCATTCAGTTAGCCACTTGAAAGTTCAACTCTCGTCCTCACGTCTCTTCCTCACGTCTCTTCCTCACGTCTCTTCCTCACGTCTCTTCCTCACGTCTCTTTCTCACGTCTCTTTCTCACGTCTCTTCCTCACGTCTCTTCCTCACATCTCTTCCTCACGTCTCTTCCTCACGTCCTTCCCGCCCTCCCCCCTTCCCGCCCTTCCTGGTTTCCGTCCTCCCCCCTTCCCATCTCTCCCCCTTCCTGCCTTTCCCTCTTCCTGCCCTAACCCCTCCCCGCCCTTCCCTTTTCCCTCTCTTCCACCATCCTTCCCGTCTCTCTTTTGTCGTTCCCCTTTTTCTTCCGTTCCCCGTCGCTGTCCCTTGGCTCCTGTGCAGCCTACATGTCGTCCCCGTCCCACATCGAGCTGATTCTCTCAGAGAAGGAGGCGGAGGTCAGGAAAGAGGTGAGAATACGTGCACATTGACAGAAAGTACCTACCGTATGTTATTGTAGGCTTTTCAAGCTTATAGAGCGTTGAGGTGGCGTGAAGTCACTTTTGAAGGGGATTTCAAGGTTTTTTTCAGGCAACGTGCAGGCCTGAAGCAACGGAATGGAAAGGGAAGTTATGCCGTGCTGAGTGTAGCCGGATGGTTTATCTTCAGCATATGTTGATTATTCTCTTCCCTCCCCCCTCGCTCCCCTGTTATTCCATATTATTTTGTGTAACAGGCTGAGGAGGGTAGCCGCAAGACTAAGAAGCAGAGCCGGATCGCAAACTGAAGCATTGACTAGATGTGGCCAGCATGTGCAGTAACCCATCTAGGTTGCAACAAATGTATGGTGGTTGCGTGCTCATGTGCCTGTCCAAATTGGTTGGAAGAAAATCATTCTGCCAATTTCACTAGACACAACTCAAAATGTAGATATTCCTCGTAATCCACAACACATAGTTAGCCTGAACAGGCAATGAGAACGAAACTACGTTGTGTAGGTTTTTGTGGAGCTGCTTATTCCGTGGATCCGCAATTCAGGCAGACAGGATTTTTTTTTGTCTCTTTTGTCCCTGCGCGACGAATACACCGGCAAATGCACAGGTTTTCCAAAGTTAGGGTTTCGGGCACTCTCCAGAAAGCCTTTTCTTTTTGAATCAAATGTGCGTTGCGAAATCGTAAACGAAAGCCTTTTCTTTTTGTATTACGATTTCGCAACGCACATTACAGTAGCTGCTCGCAGGCCAAGCTTCTCGGTAGCGTTTCTCTTGTCGCCCTCGAAAAGACCCCGTTTCATTTCGACTTCAACTTAAAAATATTACAATGTAGCATAATTACGCAAGGAAAAGGAGTGGAAACGGGAAGAGAGGAGAAAAGGAGGAATAACGTGAGTAGAAAAAAGGAGAGAGGAAGAAAGGAGGAGGGGAATAGGGGAAAAATGATAGGAGGAAGAAAAACAGGGAAGAAGGAAGAAAAAGCAGCACACACAACCCCAAGAAAACCCCAATAGCACACACATTTAAAACACCATCAAGCCCTCCCATCAAAGCACCCCAACTGCACTCCCATCGAACCAAACCTCCCCCCCTAAACCCACTCCCTAAACCCGCATGTCTACCAAGTATGGTGCATCCGCCCACGGAGCATCCCATCCCATCTCCTCCTCAACATCCTCCCGCTCCACCCAAACAGCCTCTGGGCCTCTCATCATCGAGTGGTTTAGGGTTGTTTCGAGGGTGTTGTTGGGAAGCAAAACAAGGCCGTCGTTCCTCCTATCCTTTTTTCCCCTATTCCCTTCCTCCTTTCTTCCTCTCTCCTTTTTTCTATTCACATTATTCCTCCTTTTCTCCTCTCTTCCCGTTTCCACTCCTTTTCCTTGCGTAATTATGCTACATTGTAAGCACTTTATATTGCACATAAAAAAAAAACAAGACTCGTCGTTCAACGTCGTATGGGTTGCGTAGGTGCTTAATACTCGACATAGACATGACACCGGCCAAATTAGTGACAAATGTTTATGTCTTATTCCCCCATCTACAATTGTTTGTTCCCATACATAATGAATTTTGGTCCGTATGTTACGTTGAACGAATATATATATTTTTTACCTTTAGCGGGATTATATTTTAGACATATTATGATAGTAATAATAATAATAATAATAATAATAATAATAATAATATACAAATTGTACTCATTATAATAGCCGATTCAATGCAACTACTTGTAGCGTGATAAGAATTTCTAGAACTGTAAAATTGTAGGGAACAGGGGTCTCCGTTCGTGCTTTCGTCATGCTGTATTCTAGAGCTGAGTCACCTGAATTTTATTTTAAAGAAGCAATTAATTAAGTTCTTCATTTTAACTTTAAAACGGGATATCGTATATGGTGCTTCGTTCTGCGCTGGCAGAAGCTGTATTGTTCTGCGGTGGCAGAAATTGTATCGTTTTGCGGTGGCAGAAATTGTATTGTTCTGCGCAGGCAGAAATTCTGATTCTGCGCTGGCAGAAATTTTATCTCTGCGCTGGCATCCCTCCCTTTCACAGCTGTCAACTCAATTTCTGCGCTCTTTTCTTGGTTCTTGTTCTGGTTCCTCTCGATCGACTCGACAAGCACACCTGCTCTGCTCTTATTTCTCTTCCTTCCCCCCACCCCAATTTCTCGCCAGTTCTCCCACCCAGCCGTCGCTCTCGCTCCCATCCCGCCGTATCCTCTCCCTCACTACCCGCCTTCACCTCTCCTATTCACCTCACAGTCACTCAGTCCCACCCCGCGATCTCCTCTTCCTTACCTCCCCGTCGTCGCCTCTCCCTCCTCCCCGTCGTCGCCTCTCCCTCCTCCCCGTCGTCGCCTCTCCCTTACCTCCCCGCCGTCGCCTCTCACTCCTCCCCGCCGATTCGCCTTTCCCTCCTCCCCGCCGTCGCCTCTCCCTCCTCCCCGTCGTCGCCTCTCCCTTACCTCCCCGCCGTCGCCTCTCACTCCTCCCCGCCGATTCGCCTTTCCCTCCTCCCCGCCGTCGCCTCTCCCTCCTCCCCGTCGTCGCCTCTCCCTTACCTCCCCGCCGTCGCCTCTCACTCCTCCCCGCCGTCGCCTCTCACTCCTCCCCGCCGATTCGCCTTTCCCTCCTCCCCGCCGTCGCCTCTCCCTCCTCCCCGTCGTCGCCTCTCCCTTACCTCCCCGCCGTCGCCTCTCACTCCTCCCCGCCGTCGCCTCTCACTCCTCCCCGCCGATTTGCCTTTCCCTCCTCCCCGCCGTCGCCTCTCCCTCCTCCCCGCCGTCGCCTCTCCCTCCTCCCCGCCGTCGCCTCTCCCTCCTCCCCGCCGTCGCCTCTCCCTCCTCCCCGCCGTCGCCTCTCCCTCCTCCCCGCCGTCGCCTCTCCCTCCTCCCCGCCGTCGCCTCTCCCTCCTCCCCGCCGTCGCCTCTCCCTCCTCCCCGCCGTCGCCTCTCCCTCCTCCCCGCCGTCGCCTCTCCCTCCTCCCCGCCGTCGCCTCTCCCTCCTCCCCGCCGTCGCCTCTCCCTCCTCCCCGCCGTCGCCTCTCCCTCCTCCCGCCGTCGCCTCTCCCTCCTTCCGCCGTCGCCTCTCCCTCCTCCCGCCGTCGCCTCTCACTCCTCCCCGCCGATTCGCCTTTCCCTCCTCCCCGCCGTCGCCTCTCCCTCCTCCCCGTCGTCGCCTCTCCCTTACCTCCGCCCCGTCGCCTCTCCCTCCTCCCCGCCGTCGCCTCTCCCTCCTCCCCGCCGTCGCCTCTCCCTCCTCCCCGCCGTCGCCTCTCCCTCCTCCCCGCCGTCGCCTCTCCCTCCTCCCCGCCGTCGCCTCTCCCTCCTCCCCGCCGTCGCCTCTCCCTCCTCCCCGCCGTCGCCTCTCCCTCCTCCCCGCCGTCGCCTCTCCCTCCTCCCCGCCGTCGCCTCTCCCTCCTCCCCGCCGTCGCCTCTCCCTCCTCCCCGCCGTCGCCTCTCCCTCCTCCCCGCCGTCGCCTCTCCCTCCTCCCCGCCGTCGCCTCTCCCTCCTCCCCGCCGTCGCCGCTCCATCCTCCCCGCCGTCGCCTCTCCCTCCTCCCCGCCGTCGCCTCTCCCTCCACGCGGTTGCCTCTCCCTCCTCCCCGCCGTCGCCTCTCCCTCCTCCCCGCCGTCGCCTCTCCCTCCTCCCCGCCGTCGCCTCTCCCTCCCTACTTTGTTTTTTAGTGCATCAAGGAAGCTGCATTCTCTGATTTTGTTTTCTTGTGCAACTAATGCACTTTGTATTCTCTGAATTTGTTATTGTTTGTGCAGGGAGAGAGTTGCATTAGCTTATTTTTCTTTCCTGTGCAGGGAGTTCAAGCTGCAGCCTCTGTTTCTTGCGGAGAAAAGGGATGGGGAGAAGGGAGATGAGGGAAATGAGGGAGGGAGGGAGGGGAACAGGGGACAGGATAGTGATAAATAATTTATACAAGGCTGAAATTCATTCAGGGTGTATATAGTGCATGCTTATTACAGTAGCTGTATGTTTTTTGCGTTGTGTGTGTCTGTATATGTGTAAGCCTGTATGTGTGTGAGTGAGTGCGTACATGTGCATACGTGTGTTGTGCGTGCTTCAGGGTGTGGTGCTAAGTGCCTCGTGAATGCAACTCGGATTGTGATCGTCGGTGGGGCAGCTTTGCTAGCCTCTTCCGTACCATATCAATCTTAGTTGCAGCACTGATGCATTTAGCATTCGCTTTGAAACATTCTTAAATGTTGTCTTCTGTTTTTGTGATCATTTATGTGTTATCGTCTGTGCTTGTTTCGGGGGTGTGGTGCTAAGTGTCTCGTGTATGCAACTGGGATTGTGATCGTCGGTGGGGCAGCTTTGCTCGCCTCTTCCGTACCATATCAGTCTCAGTTGTTGCATTGATGCATTTAGTATCCCCTTCAAAACATGTACGACGGTTCTTGTACACCATCGTTTTTGTGTTCATTCGTGTACCCGTATGTGTGTCTCTATGTGGTACGGTATTGTAGTATTTTTCGTGTTGTGTTGTCTTTTGTGTTCGTGTGTCATTGGGTACCGTATCATCTTTAGTGCTTGAAAGATTCTTCAATTGTTCCATTCGCCGTACTTATCGACGATTATGGAATGATTGAAAACATTTGTTTTCATTTTTTTGGGGAAGCTATGTGAACAGTGATTTCTCTCAAAAATTTTAAGAGAAATTCACTGTTCACATCAGCCAACCGAAAAGTGAAAACGAATGTATAAGGTTGCTACGCAACCCAAAAAAGAAAGACCGCTCGATGGCTTGGCGAGTCAGATTCGCCGAAATGAGATAAGAATCACTGTCGCGCTATTTTGTCAAATTCGCCCCTTAGCTGATTCAGCAGAGCAATTCCGCACAGTAAAGCAGTCCCTAGCGCTTGCACGCGTAATCACCGCCAGCACATATGAGTAAACACCGCGATAGCCGTGAGTACAAGCTATCCAAAGATGAGGAAAGGCACAGCCACAGCCTTTCCCACGACAGCAAGACCATAATGTTGAGCAGTCCTACTGTGGTATCGATTGACCTCCTCGGACTTGGGAAAAACGTGGCGCGAATGCGTCCGCTCCGCATCATGGCGGACAAAGCCAAACAGGGAAAGGGCCGAGCTGGTTTGGGTAGCGCCTGGGAACTCTACATCCAGTTGGCACAGACGAGCCGCAAGCCTATTTCAGTGCAAGCATTTTCTCGGAGCATATCACACACCCTACTTTCGAAACCATGGCCACCGCGACACCTCTTCCCGCTCTGTTGCTCGTCCTCGTCCTCACGACAACTTCCAGCTCCTCTTTAGCCCGCGCGCGATGGCTACCGTCCATGCACAGCGGCTCCGAGAGAATACCGCACTTACCCGCAGCAGCAAGCACTGATACTCCACCAGATGCGGACGCCGCCGCCAATCGCTGCGGCAATGTCGCAAATTGCGTCTCCGCGGGGCTGCGCGAGCTCTCCGGATTCCACGGAGCGTCCAGCCGTCGCGTCTTCTCGACGCGAAGCGTTTTCATGGCGCCCGGCGCAAAACGAATGGACGTCATTCTCGCCTCAGGAGAGAGCGGACGGCCTAAAACGCCTTAGCGACTCGATCCCTAATCCGTCGTTCGCTGTCGAGTCAGTAGCATCGTATCGCCTCCTCGACAGCCTGTACAAGCCCGCGGATCATGCCCTTGTTGTCCTCGGTTCCGTCCATTCCTCCGCGCCTGGCGCGGCTGAGTCTGGAAGTGACAAAAACGGGGGGAGATTCCTCACTTTCTGGGACCAGATTTTGCCATCTGAAGACGCTTATAACGAAGATTGCTCCAAATGGGGTCTCAGCTGGCTGATGTGGCAAACACGCGACGCGAATGGTCTCCCCGCGAAAAGGGTTCCGTTCACTGCTAACGTTTCCGTCGATTCCGTCGATTCAGCCGTTTCCGCCGGCACCTCCGTCTCTCCTGACCTCGGAACTGCAGCGACGGCGTCAGAACAACCGGCAGCAGAACTGGCGAACGACGTGACTCCAGACGCTCTCAGAATGGACAACGATTTCGGGCACCTGGACGAGGTCAAGTCAGCGCAGAGTGGCAACGAGGAAGCTACTAACGAGGACAAGCAGCAGACGCTAGGAAAAAATGAGGAGCCGCGGCAGTCAGATGTGATTTTCTACGTCCAGACGGCGTGGAGTGCGTTCGTGTCTGCTCTCGCGGCTGATGACGTGGCATCGGCCTCGTCTATCCTGTTTGGTCCCGAAGCTGTGACGCTCATGGCTCCTGGTGCTGACAGCGTGACTCTTGCGACGGAACAGGAGAAGGCAAACCTGATTGATGTGAGCCCATTCTCCTCATTCTGCTGTATTGCGATGGCTTGTTCTTCCTTTTCCCAGGAGCATTTGTGTGCCTCGATGTCTCACAGAAGAACTAAACTATGTCCGTGCAGGAATTGAAGGCGTCCCACGTGTCGCTGTCGGTGATGGTGGAGGAAGTCGCACTGCTGCAAGGGAGTGAAACCAAGCAGGGCTCAGGATTGACCATCAGCGCACTCGTCAGGTCAACATACAGCGTTGCAAATGCCCAAGGTACGTGCGTGCGAGCAGTCTAACTGAATACGTTGCTCAGATCCTAGAGATGAAGCCGTTTTCTGACCCCAAGCCGTTGTTTCATTCTTGGCGTCATCACTTGGCCCGTGCAGGCATAGATGTGGAGCATGGAAAGAGAGTGGAGCTATGGCGGGCGAGTGCTACTAATGGGCGAGAGTGGCACTTGTCATGGTCCATGTGGAATGGCAACGGGCATGTGCTTACAAAGGAGGAGGTTATGGCTGCCTACGAAAACGATAAGTTTGTTCCACACGACAGCAACCGTGTATATTCTAATCTTTAGACGGTTGCTTTCGAGCCATTACTAAGAGCTTATGGGGTGCGAAAGTACCCATATAGCTATACGTGTATTCCATTTGTTTTACAAATATGTGAAAGTGAGATAGTTCGCAACAATATGTACTTTTTCCGAGCCGAAGTGTAGCGGGGAAGCTGAGCTACCGTCGGATTTCTTCTTTCGCTCGGAGTGGGGAACGAAGACGGGGCAATCGGTCAAAGCGGAAAAACCCTCCCCAGCATCCCGCCGAGCCACCGGTTGAAACCCCATGAACTGGATGTGATTTCGGGGCAGGCCACCCGAAATTCAGAACCACAAGATTTTTATGCAGAGACCCGACCAAAATACACTCCCAAACTCACTGAGAATATTGTTGTACCCGGTTTAAAAGATAGGCGGACAGTGAGCTGGATATACTGTAGTTGACACTGTAGGTTGTCATACCCGTCTATTTCCATTTCCATTCCATATCTATTACCACACAGTAAAGGAGGGGCAGCAGAATGAGGTGGAGTGGGGAGAGGATGATGAGGGAGCGAAAGGAAAGAGAGGAGGGAGAAAGGGTATGAACTCAAGGGAGGTAGAATGGTGAGAGGGGGGAAGCGGGATCGGAGGAAGAGGGAGAGTCGAGTGTAAGGCGAAGAGGGAATCGGGCCAGATCATGAGAAAATGGGTGGCAGTAATCGCTCATCCAGTCACCGACGCACAGTTTTATCTCCTGCGCTTCGCCGATTGAGCCGGCTGATGGCGAACGGCGCTGAACGAAGAACCATGCACCTTCAAGCGTCGTCTGGTCTGGCTATAACCAACGAACCGTCACTTGAATCGGCAACTCATTTCTGTTTTCCAGGTTGAGTTCTCTTATTTTGGAGCAATGGCGGCGGCGAACTCGCTTCCCGCTTTCCTGCTTCTGCTCGTCCTCTCCTGCAGCGTCACATTCGCTTCTGCTCGCCGGCTACCCTCCGTGCAGAGTCAGCCAGAAGCGAATGCTGAAGCTGCTAGCGGAGTCGCAACCGCCGCCAAAAGCGGCGGCAATGTCGCAGAATGCGTCGCCGAGGGATTGAGCGAGCTCGCCAGCTTCTTCGGAGCGTCCAGTCGCCGCGTATTCTCGACGCGAAGCGTTTTTATGGGACCGGGAACGAAAGAGCGGGTCTCCTTCTCGCCTCAAGAAAAGGGACAAGCCCTAAATGACCTTAGCGGGTCAATCCCTAATCCGACGTTCGCGGTCGAGTCGCTCACGTCGTATCGCCTTCTAAACAGCCTCTACAAGCCCGCGAATCACGCGTTGGTGACCCTCGGCTCGGTCCACTCAACCGCGCCAGGCTCTGCATCCGGAGGTGACACTAATGGGGGGAAATTTCTCGCATTCTGGGATCAAAACCAACCCTCCGATGACCCCAATGACTGCTCTCAGTGGGGCGTCAGCTGGCTGATGTGGCAAAACCGCGGGACCAAGGATCAACCCAAGAGGGTTCCGTTCACTGTTTCTATTTCTGCGGATTCCGTCGTCCCTCCTGACGGCGCAGCGGAGCTTTCGGCGGCAGCGCAAGCGGCGACAACCGACGTCCCTGACGTTCTAATGATGGACAAGGATTTCGGACATTTGGACGCAGTTAAGGTGGCGCAGAGCCAGAACGAGGAGGTCAAAACGCAGCCCGCAGTGGCCTCCAGCGAGAACCAGGAGGCAAAGAAGGAGCCGCAGCAGGCGGACGTGCATTTCAACGTCCAGACGGCTTGGAGTGCGTTCGTGTCTGCTCTCGCGGCTGATGACGTGGCGTCGGCCTCGTCAATCCTGTTTGGTCCTGAAGTTGTGACGCTCATGGCTCCTGGTGCTGAAAGCGTGACTCTTGCGACGGAGCTGGAGAAGGCAAACCTGCTCAATGTAAGGCACTGGACATCTGTCCTGGTCATATCGAAGTGGTATCATGCAGTGCGTCCCACAATATCTAGTGATTTTCCTCATTTGTTTTTCATCACTCTAATCATATTTCGCTGGTTCCTTTTGTCTTGTTATTCTCCTTTCCTCGTCCAGGAATTCAAGGGATCGCACCTATCGCTGTCCGTGATGGTGGGGGAAGTAGAAGTGTTGCAAGACGAAGGCTCCAAGTCTTTCGCCGCCCTCACGCGATCGACCTACACCATTGCTGACGCACAAGGTACTTGAATATACACTATTTGGAGCCAAAGAAATGGAAAAGGGTCCTTCCTATGTAATTTCATCCTTGTTTCTTGCTCTTGGTCGCAACCTTCACCATGACTAGCTCCGTTGGTGCTTGTTGCCCCTTTTTGTACCTCCAGGTGTGGAGATTGAGCACGGAAAGAGGGTGGAGCTATGGCGCCCAAGTGGTACTAACGGGGGAGGGTGGCACCTTGTGTGGTCCATGTGTAACGATAATGGCCCTGTGCTTAGTAGGGAAGAGGCCATGGCTGCCTACCAGAACGACAAATTTGTCCGTCAAGATGACCCAGTGACCTCGAATTCATAGGCACCAATTTGGTTCCATTTAGTTGATTGAAGCTAAATCCACCCCTTCCCCACACTGATGTGTTTTTTTGGGTTGCATAGCAACCTTAAAGCCGGCAGCCCAAATTGCACAAGTTTTAAAAGGTTGACGCGAGGGGGTTTTTGTGGTGAGGGTTTTGGCGAAAGATTCCGATTTCGCTTTTTTCGTTTTTTTCGCCAAACCCAGCCCGCCCTCGTATTTCGCCCTGGGGGTTGGTTCAGTTCCCAAAAGTCCCAAATTGCAGGCACGCTTTTCTTCAAACCTTGAAAACACTAGTTCGTCAAGTTTTAAAAGCTTGACCCGCGCGGCCCGCAATTTGGGACTCGGGCTTTAAAGCGACGGGCAACTTTTGGCAGTGTTGGGTTCAGAAGTTTTTTTTTTGAACCAGGCTTGCCAGCGCGAAAGTGTTGGCTGGCGAAAACCAGGATTTCGTGCAGACACTTTTCATCTGCAGTAACAGTTCGCCAGGGTTCTGGGTTTTGGGTGGCAAATGTGCACCGTCGCTTTAAACATTCGTTTTCACTTTTCGGTTGGCTGATGTGAACAGTGAATTTCTCTTATAAATTTTGAGAGAAATCACTATTCACATAGCTTCCCCAAAAAAATGAAAACAAATGTTTTCAATCATTCCATAATCGTCGATAAGTACGGCGAATGGAACAATTGAAATTATAATTTTTAAACACACATGTAGTGTTTTTTAAAATTGTGTATTGTGAAAGCGAAGCTGCTTGTACTGCACAATTGGCATCGTCGAAGCGCGCTAAACGCCCTTCTCCAACTACAAAAACCGTGGGTTGGAGCTCATTTCCCTCCACCCACGTTTCTCAATTTTCAAACGGCTCACTCAACATTTCCGCTCGAGTAGTTTTTCCCTCCAAGCTGGCTAGGATTAAATCGCTTCCTAGAGGCGAGTCACCCTCTACTTTACTCAGCGACATTTTCAACTTCAATCGCTCAACGATGGCACCTACGCCGACGCTTAACAACCCCCGCTTCCGACTCCGACCGTAACGCCCGCGATTCTGCGGGCGAACGCCGTAACAAGCGTCGGGCAGAAGACGGACCGTCCGCCCCGACTGCAGTGGACGTGCTGCTGGGCGGGCTCGAGGTCAACAAAAACGCCGAAACCCAGCAGCACCCTTCGGTCCCTGTGGCGCCAGTGGCGCCTGTGGCGCCAGTGGCACCTGTGGCGCAAGTGGCGACGGGGGCTGGCGCGGCACACGCGACTGACGCCGAGCACACGCCAGCACCCGCTGCTGGACCGTCGCGTCAGCGCCAGAGGAGGCGGACTGCAGTCTCCTCGTCTGACGCGACCGCCGCCCCTGCGCTGACGCAGGCGTTGACCCCGGACCAGGTCAACGCGCTGCTGTCCCTTCTACAGCAGCAACCCGTCAGCGTTACAGCCGCGGAAACTGCACTACCCGCCGCATCTGCGTCGGCTAAAAAAGAAACTGCAAAAAAGGAAAAAGGCACGCGAGGAGCACGGACGAACCGGCATGATAACGACGCAGCGACCGCCGCTCCCCCTGCTCCAGCGGTCGACAACGACACCGACGACTCTGAAGATGAAGCCGGTGAGGCTCCCGTCAACAATGCTAATTTTATTGGCACGGAACACCTCCCCCCCCTCCCTTCTTCTAACCTTACCTTCTCGGCGGCAACCTTCGTCAACGACTCCGTGCGAGAGCAAGCGGAGCTGCTGGAGGACCTGCGGGCGTACCTGCTGCACGCCGAATACAAGGCGCAGCGCGGCGATCCGGCGGGCGGACTCGAACTCATCTCACACGCTCTCAACCTCATCGCGGGGCGTTTCGAGGTGCTTCAAGTGGAGGACGCCTCCGACTTCCGCACGGCGAAGCGCTTCAAGCTGTACCAGCAGAAGAGCCTGCTGACTTCTCGACCCTTCAAGCAGGCAGTCGCGGACATGGCGGCGATGGACCGTGCGGCAAGCGGATACGCTCGTGTCAACCGCGGCGGAAACAACGGGCCGATGCCGTTCTTACCCAAGCGAGGCCCCCCGCCCACGGCCAATTGCCGTGGGTTCCGAGGCTCATGCTTCCGCTGCGGCCAGCCGGGCCACGTGGCAAGTGCCTGCCCTCGGAACGGGCATGGCGGCCAGGGACCCGCTCCGGTGGTGTAGGAGCGGGCCATGGGACTAGGCGCTTGGGCGCTAGGCACGGTGCACTCTTGAGTGCGAAGACCGTGGGCAACCCTAGGGGTTTGCGATGGCAAGAGGCCAGCCCTAGTAAAGGGTGGGATAGGCTTTGGGCCTAGGAGAGGGAAGGGGAACAACAACCCCTCGGTCCCATATGTTTGGCCACTTGGTGGCATGATGCATGCTAGGAAAGCATTGCTATGTGTGTTGGTTGATTTAATAAAAACTACCTTCCTAAAGGCCTATGGTTTTGGCAAAGAGACTATGAAAATCAGAGAGAGAGAGAGAGAGAGAGAGAGAGAGAGAGAGAGAGAGAGAGAGAGAGAGAGAGAGAGAGAGAGAGAGAGAGAGAGAGAGAGAGAGAGAGAGAAGAGAGAATGAGAGAAAGCACAATGGACAACGGTGTCCATGGCCCTAGGCATCAGCCCCCACGCACTAAGGGCAGGCACAACCGTCCTACCAAGTGGACGACGGGACAAAAAAAAAAAAAAAAAAAAAAAAGAGGAAACGAGGAGAAGAAGAGACATGCGTTGACATGCGTTAACACTCCCGACACATTCGTTGACATTTCATTCAATGGTTAATTCTCGTCACACCTTCGATCAATGGTTGCCCGTACATGTACATGCACACGCATGCTTTAACATGGAATACTCAACCCTTATACCACTTGGCCTCACATGTACAGGAGCACGACGGGTCGAGGCGGCATGCTACGACGATCCGTACGAATTTGCCGTTACAGACAGAACTATTACACACATGCGCGGTCGTCTCCGCGCGACATTTGCGTGGTGGAGCTCATGGTGCCCCAGCAGCCTTGTCCTCTCCGTCATCGCCAAGGGTTACTGGTTGCCATGGAGCCACGGCCCACCGCAACATTTCCACGATCGCAATCATGTCGGGGCAAACACGCATGCCACGTTCACACGTACCGCCATCCAAGAACTCATAGAGACGGGAGCGGCAATTCCGATGGCCGCAACGGAGCTTACGTGCATAAGTCCACTCAACGTGGTCGAGCAAAAAGACAAATGCAGGCTCATTCTTGATCTGAGGAAAGTCAATGCCAACTTGATCATCCCCAAGTTCAAGTACGAGGGGCTCAGCCGCGTCGCCGACCTGGCGCGCGTTGGGGACTGGATGTTCTCCATTGACCTCAAATCTGGTTACCACCACATCGACATCCACCCATCGTGCTGGAAGTTCCTTGGCTTTGAATTTGACAAGCGCACATACGCATTCCGTTCACTACCATTCGGCCTCGCGACAGCTCCATTCGTTTTCACGCAGCTCATTAAGCAACTAGCTCGGCGTTGGCGAGAACAAGGCATCCGAGTCGTCCCTTACGTGGACGACATCTTATTTCTCTGCCAGTCGAAAGACGACGCGCAAGCAACTTGCCAGCGGGTGATATTGGATCTTAAAGAGGCAGGCCTTGTGATAAACGCGAAGAAATCACAACTGTCACCATCGCAGCGTCTCAGATTCCTGGGCGTAGAACTTGAGACCGATACCGGCCGATTCTCCATCGGTCCAGACCGACGAGCCTCACTACATGCAACCATCCGGAACCTCCTGAGCGCAAGCAAGGCATGCCGACCAGTCCCGGTCCGCCACGTGGCCAGAATCACTGGCATGCTCGCATCGATGGGTGTCGCACTTGGCGCGACCGCTCGCGCATTCAGCCATGCTATGTTACAAGTGATCAACGACGCACCGTCATGGAAAAGCAGCGTCGTTATCCCCCCATCTGCAGCAGAAGAGCTCCAATTTTGGCTCGAGGAGTTCGACCGTTTCAACGGCGCACCTTTTCACGTCAAGAACAGCTACGACGCGGTAATCCATGTGGATGCCAGCTCTCATGGTTGGGGCGCCACTCTGACCACATTTCCGGGTGGCCTCGAAGAAGCTAGCGCGACCATGTCAGAGCCGCTACGAGGAACGTCTAGCACACGACGGGAGATCGAAGGCGTCCTTTGGGCGCTACAAACGTACGCGAACAAGATCAAGCAAAAACACGTTCTCTGTCAGAATAAGAGACTGGAATGACTGTACTAACAGAAGGATGGATACAAATAGGAAACCCTAATCCAGTGTACCCCCTAAGGTATCACCCACTACTGCCTACAATCATATAAACATATAATGTTTGACACACCCCCATAGGCAAAGTGGGGGAGACCTAGGGGTCACAAGACCAGTCAAGGCAAAGCAAGGCAACAACAAGCTCAGGGTGGATCTCGAGGATTCCACACAAATTCCGAGCACAAGCTAGTGGTCACAAGACCAGTTCACATGCAGGTTTATAACAGAGCAAGAGATACAGTGATCACAGCCTAGCAAGAGTAAACATGCAGGTATAGATATATATAGTGATCACAGTACAAGCAAAGTCAAGAGGTAAGTAAGTGAGGTCCAGTAGGCACAAGGCCTAGTAGAGTGCAGAAGCGCTGATGGTCACGAGGCTGAAGCGCCTTGGTGAACACATCAGCAGTGTTGGCCTCAGTGGCCACGTAGCGAATACAAAGCTGACCACGCTGCTGCAGCTCTTGAGCAAGGAAGTACCGCAGGGCGATGTGCTTCGTTCTGTGCTCCAGTCTGTGCTCCTCACACAAGGCAATGGCAGCCTTGTTGTCGACGTACAGTACTGGAGGAGAACGAGGCCGCTCTCCGAGGTCGGTCAGCAGGTAGGTCAGCCAGCGTAGCTCCTGGGCAGCCATGGCTGTAGCGTAGATCTCAGCCTCGCAACTGGAGCCGAGAACAGAAGAAGAGCGTGTAGAGCGCCAAGAAACTGAGCCAGAGCCAAGGCTGAAGGTGTAAC